ACGTGTCAAGAGGTTGTTAGGGTGGAGGGGGTGGAGGGGGTGGGGGCGGTGGGGGCGGTGGGGGCGGTGGGGGCGGTGGGGGCCATAAATTTCTAAAGAGAGTTGGTAATTGTTTCCAATAGTAGGTTGTAGGTGCAAATATTTATCACATCTATTGGGAGTATTCAAAATTATGTTTGATCAAGTAAACTTATAAGTGAATAATAGATGATTATAGAGTTTCTGCTACTTGACATGTCTTGCTTTGGATCATGCTTATCAAGAAAATATTTGAGTTTCTTGATAGTTTCAAAGTACTGATAACTATTTATGAAATAAATTTATTGAAAATGCTTTTTAAATTACTTAAAGTGCAGTCTTAAGAAATAGGGTTACCATGTAATGTATGGTTTTATATTTTCATAGTTTCATACAATTCTTGATGCGAGTTGTTGAAAAGCTATCTAGCTTTCAAGCCAATAACTTAAGGTAATTAAAAAAATATTAAGTATCTTCATGATTATTTTGGGTGAAAATTATATTTTGGGTTGCTTTCTAGGAGATGTCATATGATTTAGCAAATGTATCATTCAGCATAGTGTCCATATACTATGGTTTAATCATTTTTTCCATGGGAAGAGGTGCTACTAGCCTTTTTACTATTCTTTTCATTTTCATTACTTCTTAATAAGTCTTCATTACTATGAGTTAATAATTAGTAAATAATATAGTTTTAGCCTTAACTCATGATAAATAGACTTATATTTGTGTTAAAGTGTGAAAAGTGGTTTTCAGTTGATTAACGTAAATTTTTTGGTAATTATGTGATTTTATATAATTTTTTATGATTTTTACAGTCTTACTTTTGAGATAAATGAAGAAAAAGAAATAAAAATAAAAATAAGACAAAATGGGGGGGACCCGTTGGCCAGCCGAGCCTGCAAGCAGGTCAGAAGCGCAGTCAAGGAGTAGCCGCGAGTAGGGGCTCGAGTGGCTTGGATCGATAGGGGCATGTGTACGCCACCCCCCTTCCACGTCACTAGTGGCCAGTCGGTTGTGGGGCAAGGAGTGGTCTTACACGCACGAGAAAGGGACTTAATCAGAAATGTAATATTACTATATATTCATCAGAAATTTTGACGCACAATTGATGTGGGACTAAACCTGTGTCACACCCTCCCCAAAAAAGGCGGGCAACTGGCGCATGTTCAAATCCTCCTAGAGCCAAAATTCATATTTTTCATCTGATTATCGCAACTTTTTTGTAGATCGCCGGTGAAAGATTAAGCAACTAGAATCACTGGATCATCAGCGAAAATCTCGTCAACGCGATTCGCGGAGCATTGTTACTAAAATTGTTGAACGATTTGCGATAAAAGGATTGCGAATCCATCAAGTAAAACATCTCCGATTGATTGACGAACAAGCCGTCGTTAGGAAGAGGACGATCCACCGAGAGATGAGTCACCACCTCCTGAGAGCGTACCAGATGCGATGAAGAGCCTCCTCTTACTACGCGGACCTGAAGATGAAGCTCCCTGACACGCACCCCACCTCCATCCAGCTCTTCTCTATCGGGTGACAGCCACCGGAGAGCTGCAAAGTCGTCGTTTTTCCGCTCCGCCAAGTGACAACTGCAGGAGACGATTCGACGACCCATTTCATTGATCTCTAGACTTCGCAAGGAGATCTAGAGATTGCCCACATCGTCCTTGTCCAAGGAGAGTCTTCAAGGCCATGGACACTACATGACTATCCTCTCAAACGCTTAGGATTCCGGTGCATCGTTGATGCATCACCGCCGCGACGCCGAAACTCTATTTTCTTGCTTTCAACTAAATTTTTGTTTCATTTAGTGATAATTTGTCCGATTTTAATTTACCAAAATATACTTCATTCAATTAAGATTCTTCTAACTTTTACAGATCTTAATTTGATCAATTAAATCGTCTATAATCACTTATGTAAGAATCATCAGGCGGAACTCTGTTTCCGCCTAATTCACGTTCACCTGGCGCTGACATCATCCTGACGTCTGCACCCTTATTTTCCTTTTTTATGAATTTTAAATATATTTCCTTTTTATTTACTAGTATAAAATTCATAGAAAATAGTATTCTTTGAGAAAAATTCTGAATAATTACTAGATATTATATTACATCTCTGTGATCGACTTGAAAAATTACCGCTATTTTTGGAAGTTTTATTGAATTATAATTGATATATTTGTTCAGAAATACTTCTAAATATCTGAAAATTTGTATTTTCTAGTTTTATAAATTTTAAATTTGTGTGATTTACTATACAACGACTAAGTCACATCACTTCTACATGATGACTAACTAGAACCAAACTCATTAAGAGAACATATAAATCCTGATAAAACTCTCTTTGAAAGAACGGGTTGTGTTTAACAAAACTTGTATAATTATTTTTTACTTCATGGTATCACAAGTTAGCATAGACAAGAACTTTCGTAGTTAATAATTTAACAGAATTTTGTGCTTTAATTACTTTGACCTAGTGAAAATATAGATTGTTGATTCTTCCTGAAGTGTTGGTGACGCCTTCCACCTCAAATAATGGCAGATTGGCACTGGCTACAACAAATAGCCAGCATTGAGGACTGTCCAACCCTTTGTATTAATTATGAAAAGAATTAATGAATGTCAATAGAGGGCACTAGGCAATCCAAGCATGTGGTGCAACAGTGGACATCGGCACTAAGCAATGACCAATTTCATATATCAAGACCGTACATTTGTAAGTTAACCAGGGATAAGATTTAGAAATTTACAACAACTCTAAAACCTGAATCGTGTATTCTAGTGTATTACATGCTGATCCTGAAACCCAGATGGGCTCAGGCATGGCTTACCCAGCGGCCTGAGCCTCTCCCATGGGGCGTGAGACATCCCCAACAGCCAATTATGATATTGCCAACTTGGGCCCATATACTTCCATAACTATTGCAGCAGCATTTGAAACCTAAATCATGCATCCCCATGCATTATGTAATTGCTTGGTCCTAGCATGCAGAGTGGAGTCACCACTAGTCAAGTACAATAATTTGCAATTGGTGACTACAAATTAAGCAAGTTATCTACTGATGATATGTCAAAAATTAAGGTAGTGGTTACAAGATTCGAATTTTTTGGCTGGCCAACCAAAAGACCTTGCATCAAGAAAATATTTCAACGTATTTAATTACTTCCTAAGACAATCAAGTAGCAAAGAGTCCCTCAAGTTGTTGACCTCTTGTTAACCACAAGGTGGTGGATGACAAATGTTAGATGTTAATGCTTGATTTTTTGTTTTTAATTTGTTTCATTTAAGTAGTTTAATGTTTAATTCGTAGAAGAAAATATAGTTTAATATACTTAATTTTGAAGGTTAGAAGTTAAAAGAGTTAATATATTTCTTCTTTTAAAAAATAGTTTTTAATAATAATATAATATATATGATATTATATTTGAGCAGGCTGCAGACAACCATCCTTGTGGCCCATGATGAGAATTTAAATACAATGTTAAATGCACATCATTAGACAATTAAAAATTGATTTTTTCACATAACTAATTACATCATATTTTATTTTCTTTTCATTAAGATATATTCTTCTATTATTTAGTAAATCTATTAATGAAAAAACTATTGAATAGTCATTACTCCAATAGTGAATACAATTCTTAAATGCCACTAAGATTTTAGCCTCACACATTTTTTATGTCACTAGCTTTCTCCCTTTCTCTCTAATAACAAAAACACACATTTTTACGATAGGTAAACATGGGCTTAAACTAAATAAGGAAGATGAGAATTGAAAAGAAAATACTTGAGTACTAATGAAATTAGAGTATACATTAAATGTGTCATTGTTAGAATTTTTAATTGTCTAGGTGATATTGGATATTCAATCCGTTAGAGACTATTTCCAAAAAACGAATCCCTACAAGAACTCAGGTATATATGGTGTTTCATGCAATCTGATTTAGACTAAAGCTACCACAGTAGCCTGTGGTTGTCACCTGAGAAAAAATGCCAACTAGCCCATTATCGAGATTTACCATCTGAAGTATTTTTCAAAATTAATTACACCCAGGAATAAACTTGTTAAAAATTAAATATTGATGGTCAAAGTATTTTTTATATCAGCATAATCACACTCAAAGTTTCTAAACCAAGCTGTAAATCTCCACTCAAATGGTCTGCAAGAGTGTCATCTTACTATTCACATGTGCGACAGATGGTATAATATATTTTTTCTTAATTAAATAGGCAAGATTCAGTCAACATTAATTATCCAATATCTCTAATACATTATGTCATCTAGTTTGTATCCTCATTTATTTTCAGATATAATCAATAATATGGTATGATCTCAATGTGCAGTTCTATCTTCTATCGGATTGACACACTGCCCCTATAGACTGCTATTGAAATTCAAAACACGATGAGCACACATCTGGCAACATATTTATACAAGAGATTCGGTAAAATATTGTCGTAATTATTACCAGATAGGCATTTAAGGTTCCTCGATTTGAAAATCCTGCAGCCAGTAAAGGAAAAGCTTGAGGTCAGGAAATTATGTTCTGGGTCAAGCTAAACCAGGTTGTGAGAGGAGTTACTGGCCACAAGTTTCTTTCCATTTCTACGTTTCCTTCGAATTTATTCATAAGTAATCCATTGTGCGACTCTTCACTAGACACATTGACTAGAGTATTACGGATTGTTGACAAAGTAAGCCATGTCATCCAAATGGAAAGAAAGGTGTGAGATGAATCTTGGAAGGCTGCTTGTCAATAAATACTCAATCTCGTTTTTATACAAACAAAGAGAAAATAAGAGGCTAAAACAACCACTCATAGGCACTCCACAAGAATAAAGGCTTCCTCAATTCTCTCTATTAAAGCAATCCTGAGAAGTGCGGTTTCCTATAGGTAGTCATGGAGGATCCACGGATGAAACCTCACCTATTAGGTCCTGTCATGCAGCCACCATTCCCTCCTCTCCCTCAGATGCAAAACAGACACGTCGTGGGACCCTTTGTTCCCAAGAAGAAGATCAAGATCCGGTGGCTAGAGGAAGATGCTCGAAGGCGAGAAACCTTAAGGAAGAGAAGGAGCGGAATCATTAAGAAGGCCGAGGAGCTGCACATCCTCTGCGATGTGCAGACATGCATCGTCATCTTCAGCCCTAATGATGACCAGCCAGAGGTGTTTCCAAGCATCAAACAGGCAGTGGAAATGTGTAGGAGGTTCAAGCAGCTGCCGGAGTTCAACAGGGGTAACCTCATGCACACCAATGTGCAGTTCATTCAGGTAGAAACCAGATGCGGAAAGGGTAACGGATAATCTGACAACCTTCTTTTGTTTTTGAGGAATGATTTGTGCACGTATATATTTTTATTCGAACATAAAAAATGCAGGGTTTTATCCATTAAGTTATTGACGAAGGTTACATTTGTCTTGATATTTGGAAAAGTAAATGATTAAAACTGAAAAAAAATTCTAGAAGGTTGAGGGCAGTAATTGAATTTTCAAATAACCATTTAATCTGTTTATTGACTGATGAGAACCTAAGGATTAAAATTTAACGAATCTAATGTTGCCGGCTCTGAGAAGTAACTTCGAATTCCATGAAATTTGCGTGCAGGAAATGGTGGATAAGAAGAACAAGAAGATATGGACGAAGAACGATGAGATCAATGAATTAGAAACTATGTCCCACATCTACAGCGGGCTCATTGGTACCTACATGGAAAGTCTTGACACTGAGTTATTTCGCAGGGCACAAGCGACGGTCCAAGGACTGTTAAATAAACTCTACAACCAGTGCAGCATACTGCGCTATGAGGCTCCATCTACTCCAGCACCGTTGGAATTGCAAGAGCAGCCAAGGATCAACCCCCTTGGACTGAGTGCCGAAGATCCCGCCACAGAGGATCTTGTTGCCAGATTCCGTTATAGGGATAACATAGCCCCACATTGAGGAGACGGGTGTGAACCACACCCAAGTCATCTCAACTATTGAGAGCATTGAGTCTAATGTTTGTGTTTTTAGGTTGGTGGGATCAAATGCTTGTTCAATGTGAATTATATTTCTCAGTCATTGTTCTTATGTTCTTGCTTTCTTTGCACCATTCATATTCTTATTTAAATGTGAAGTAATGAGTGTGACCTTGCACCATAATCTTCTATTGGTGCTTCTATACTTCACGGATAACAAAAGTGTACATTCCCTCAAGTTTGACGTAAATATCAATAATTCAACAAAGAAAACTACAGCTTTCACCTAATTATAGGCAGCAAAAACACATAATTAAGTGCGTATTTCACCTAGGATTTAATGGAACCCAAATAGGCAAGAACTTGTGTGGTACTTGGAGAGAAGAGTTGCTCAGATGGCATAATCACTATATAAACTGTACGAAATACCATATTCTGTATTTTGGATTTTAGCTATCAAGAGAGAGTGATTAGTGGAAAACACAATCACATGTTGAGATATTAAATCCAACTGTATGAATACAAGAGCAAGTGATTGTATCTGCATTTGAAATAGAAATAAGATTACGCAATTACATAGATTAAGATAACGCTTTATGACACATCAGTGATGTCATCATTTGACGAAGATATCTATTAAAGATACATTCAATTTTAAAGCCTATAAAAACTATTTCATAGATAAGGAGCAAAGTAATTTAGTAATGAAGCACATAGATTTTTGGTTTACTTTAGAACAATCTCACTTTCGTAGACTTAGAAGTATCGTTCTTCTTGTTGAGCCCTTGAATATTTATTTCAGTAAACGCGCAGCATGAATGTTATTTCCGCTTAGCAATGTCGATGAGATGTAAAAACCTAGGAGACTAAACAAATGTATCACTCACATGAAAGCTGAAAACTCCTTGTGTGCTTGGACTTAATGAGCATCAAAAATATGGGTAAGTTGACAAATCAGTTTAGTGTATCTTCTGAATAAACCACATAAATGTAAATAAAGATTTATAAGAACAAAAGAAACACACAACAGTTTTGTCAGTAGTAGTAAATGAGAGAATAAGAAACTTAACTGAAGTCATGCCTTCAATTCCAAAATATTATCTTAAAACTCCGATATGTACGCTGGACGTTTCTGAATGTTGATTCCCATTTGGATTACTCTTGTTGATAAAAGGCCAGATCGCCAAAAAAAGGTCACAGAGGTAGGCTGAGAATGATCGACCAGTCTGGTCCAGGGGGATACTACTCACAAAAATGAGTATTGAGATGAATATTTTCTTCTTTCGGAGAGATCTGTGGATTGAGATGAGCAGCAGGATGGAAGAGAATGAGGCAGCTAGAGGTTCAGAAAATCACGATGGCTCTCTGCCTCCTTTTTTAGGTAATCTGAGAAACTAGGAAAACAGCATGAGGTAGCTAGGGTTTCCCAAAGGAGCAACTACATAGAGCGTCGCAGCTACAGTTTCCACAGCTGTTCACGTCTTATGAAAAATTGCAAAAAGTGACGTATTGAAGGGTCATGGGGTGGGGCATGAATATCTAAAGAAAGAGAGCAAGGTAATTGTTTCCAATAGCCGTTGGTAGATGCGAATATTTTTCACATCTGTGCAGATTATTATAGATGATCATATCTGACACACTAAGTTTATATAAGGGAATAGTTACGACTATTCACATGTCACATATATGTAAAAAATAGTAACGTATTGAGTTTATGTTACTTGTCAAGTCTAGTTTCAGATCCTACACATCAATAAAATATTTTGTCCAAATGATTGGAAAATATTCACAACCATTTTTAACATGAGTTTATTGACTTTATTTTATAAATAAGTTGAGATAGACCTTTCACAATTGGGTTACGATGTGAACTATGGCATCATTTTTAATGGTTTGATACCATTTTTGATGCTAGTCATCACTAATTATGATTTTGGAAAGCTATGCAACCTTGCAATTGATCCTAGAAGGTAAACATTTTTTAAATTCATGGGAACACAAGTTAGCATACACAAGAACTTTGGCCTTTAATTAACTTAACGTAGTGAAAACAAAGATCGTTGATTCCTTGCGAAGGGTTGCTGACGTTTGCCTCCTTGGATAATGCCAGGCTGGTGCTGACGGCCGCAGCCAACACCACTGTAGACTGTGCAATCTCCAAAAACACCAGAAAGCCGAAATTAAACTTAGCGATGTTATAGAGCTATTTTCGGAATACGATAACCTTCGTATTATTATGATAAGAATTAACGAACGTACAAGGATGGGCGGCTATTTAGAATCCAAAAGAGTTCAAATATGACTCCTCCTAGCCGACACGATTCATGCGTGTGGTGTAACGAACAGTTTCATATTGTAAGACCGTACATTTTGTGAGTCATCCAGTGATGAGATTTTGAAAATTAGAGCAACAAATATTTAAACCTCAATCGTGTTCTACTTTATTGCCCGCTGATCATGAAGACCAGATGGGCTCATGCATGGCTTAATCAGCTGCTTGAGCCTTTCCTGTGGAGAGCGAGATTCCTCCACTGGCCAATTACGACATTGCTCGCTCGGGGGAGCATGCGTTTAGAAAGTTACCAAGGAATAAGATTTATTAATCATTCCAGTAACGTTTCAAACCTGAATTGTGCGTATAAAATGCAGATTGTCGTTTAATGTGGCTTGTCTAAAATGCATGCATTAAATGGCCCATTTATGGGCTGAGCACATCACGAACTGGGCAGAAACCGTTCGGTACCTCGCAGGTAGCTGTGAGGTGCCTAAATAGAGGGGTCACCTCCTCTCATTTGAAGTAGCACAAGCAACCCTCGTTTGAAGTAGCACAAGCAACCCTCGTCTACCCTTGTTCCACCATAGAGAGAGAGTGTTTGATCAAGGATCAGAAGGCTAAGATCAAGGATCCGTTCTTTAGGATCTTGGAAGGGTCAAGATAAAAGATCTGTTCTCTGGGATCTTGAAGAGTGGTTTTCTTGTACTATTTTTTGCATCTAGTGGAGTTTTCATTGTTGTTTGTGGATGTAGGAGGCCAACCTTTGGACCACGTAAAATCCATGTGTTGATACTCTTGTTGTGAGTTGTTCTTTCTTCTATCTTACTTCACGTTGTGAGCATCACTTATGTTGAAGTCTATATAAGATGTTTTACTCTATCACAGATGAGGTCAAAATGTACGTTACTTATTTTCCTAATCTAGGCGTGTGGAGCAAAGGACTCGCCATTGGCCAATTATAACAGTTATCAATCCGATGATTACAAATTTAGCAAGTTATCTTGTGATGCGATGTAAGAAATCAAGGTAGTGATTACACGATTCGGATTTTTAGGTGGTCAATCGGAAGATCTTGCATCCATAAAATATTTAAATGTATTTAATTACTTCCTAGGTCATTTAACTAGCAAAGAGCCTCTCCAGCTATTGACCTCTTGTTAACCACGAGGTGGTGGAGGACAGATGTTAACCTGTCAAGGTGTAATGAAATATTTGGTTAGTCATCAAGACCGAAATCAGGCAATGGAGTGCGTCTTGATAGTTTTCTTTTAAATGAACGTTAGAGAGTGTCTTCCCCACCAAGAAAACAGACCGAATCGCAAGCCCTAAGCTTTCAGCTCACGGACTTAACCGTCGTCCAACGTTAGAAGACCTGTGCCATAATCTATGCCGGGGACGATGCCGAAGTGGAGGTGTGGCCGACTCTGAAGATGGTGGGATTGATATACACGAGTTTTGAAACCAACTGATTCTGACCGAATGAAAATGATGCGTTCTCATTCCCAATTCCAGTAGGTTGGAAACAAGAAATAACGACGTGTTGTTGACAATCCAGTGATTACTTTTTATCTGAAAATTTTAGACGATCGATCCTCCTGTATCCTGTTTTCAGCCAAAGGTCGACTCCATGTTTGAATTTAAACGAAAGTTGAATCGAGATGCACAAATTTTGAAAGGTTTTGCGTGATGTGAATGATTAAAACTAAGACAATCTCACTTCTCCGATCAGTGGGTGCGTTGAGCTCCACAAGTAGACAGTAAATTTCCAGGATGTAGTCATGGAGAAAGCCAAGAAGCGGTAGAACAAGCACGACGAGATCGAGGCCCAACCCTATGTACGTTCTGTACGATGGCGCAGGGGTGCTGACTTAAGGAATATGGGAAGGGAGCGTCTTGCCGGTGTGATGGCATGACCTTAGGAATGATCGAGGTCAGTCGGCTTCGAGATGCAGTCTCTGTCCGCTGGTTCGGAGCCAGCACCACGGCCCGTGCAGGCGAGTAACGCCAACCTTGCTGAGGACGGGTGTGTCAGGTATCCCCCATAAGTTAGCCCCCGAGTCACTAATTTCGTTCGCTCTGAAGTCAGGCTTCGCAATAGTGAACTTAAACGTATTCCTTGTCTAATTTATTTTGTTGACTTTTCTCGTATATAATCCCGTTGGTCTTCTTTCTCTTTCTCTCTTTCACTCCTGAACGTGAAACAAAACAATCAGCGTGCCATTAGACGGAACGTTTTTCAAGGAATAAAATTTATCCATCAGATCGTAAATTATCCGACAAATATTTATTTGGGCAGTTTGTTAGCGTCTAACGAATCTTATTACATATTATCAATGAGGCTGTCAGGGTTATGTTCGAAGCATCACACCAGAACTGGGCACGATACAATAATTAGAGGTCACATATATCTGAATTTTTTATTACATTTCCAGTCCTGTATGCAGCAATTATGATGTGCGTTATTTCATACCTAATTTTTAATTTTTAGTTGGGTTATGCATTATTTTTTATATCACACAGACAGCTTTCACGTAGGCATAACCCACGTATGCATGCATGCATGCATGCATGCTTAGGATTTGATTACCTCAAAGTCCACCTTATTCTTGACATGTTCGTGGGGCTTGTGAGAGATAAATAGAGAAATAGATAAGTCAAACCCTTGGGATCACCAACCAGCTCACATATATTTTTCCTTAATGGGAAGAAATAGTCTGTCGATGTGGAAAATTATTTAGTCCTAAGTTAAGGGATTTATCTCCCTCTTTTATCACTCTTTTCCATCTTCTTACCACATTTGGAGAATTTTCTTTTTCAATCCAAGGAGAGGTTGACTGTACCTCCCTCAAGACGAGCTGGTCCGAAGGCTTATGCAACAAGGAGATCTTCCGAGGCTTCTCTCTCTCTCTCTCTCTCTCTCTCTCTCTCTCTCTCTCATGTACACTGCAGATATCTTGGAGGCCCATTTGAAAACCCATGGTACCAGCTCATAGATAACGTTCTGAAGATAAGAGGAGGCTTTCATAGGTTCAATCAACATTTCTGAAGTTTTTGAGGTCAAATCATGACTGCCGATTTCTCATTAACAATATTCACTACTATGATAGTGACTTATAGTCCTTGTTAACTTTTAAGAAGAGAAAAATTAAAGCAGTGCCTGATGGTCTCAGATCTTCCACAACCATCAGGCCAGACAATGAGAATGAATAAGAAGACCCACAGATGGATTAGGTTAGATCACTATTCAATATACACATCTCCCCACCATCTATCTCCAGTATATCTTGCTGTAACAAGGAACAGAAAATTTCCAATCAATACAGACTTTGGGAATTTCTCCACAAAAGATGCACAGGTTTCCTGAAATGGAATCGACAGAGAAGATAATTGGATCAAAATGTGGGATTAATATGGGCATCAAGCCATGAAGAAACTCGCATATGAAAATTCCTTTTCCCCCTTGATCATAGACAGTATCCTCAGCGAAAGTTACCCATGCGAGATCTCAGTGGATGGGCAATTAGACTTCATTCAACATGTAAATGCACCCAGATGCAAGATCATTCCAGAGGAATATGGACACGATTCTTTTGGGAAACAATTGCATTCGATAACGGGGATATGCAAGTTTTTCTCCTCAGATGCAAGATTCTTTCAAAGGCATTCAGCAAAGCTTGTTCGGATCAGCATGTTTTTCTTTTCACTATGTCTGATAAAAGAACAAAAACCAGATTCTTCCTTCGAAAATCTTCACCCAAAACCCGAATTCTGTCGGCCCTCTCGAGGGGGCTCCATCAGAGTAGATCATCCACTTGACCCAATGGAGAAACTGAGACATCGTTTCCAAAGCATGCAGATAGAAAAACGCTGAGCTATGCCTTCGAATTGTAGCTACTTCTCCTTTCTCTATCATCCGTCGAATCTACAGCTTAGGAATCGATGCCTTAGAAAGCTACTGTTGAGGAAAAAAACAGCCGAATTTCAGCGCTGAAGAGAAGAAGTGACACTAAGAACACGTATCAAATACTATTCGACGAAATCGGAGCTTCTTATGATCGTCAGCTACTCAAACACGAAAGACGTTAAAAGAGAGGACGCAAAAAGCAACTGGACTTGCCGTTTTCGGTTCGCTGTCTACCTATTTCGTCACACGTCCAGCGAATGAACCGAAGGAGAAAAGGAAGAGAGGGAGAGAGAGAGACCAGAGCAGGGCGGAGGAATAGAGGGTGGCCTTCAGAAGACGGTGAGACGAAACCGCGCAACACCCATCATAAGGCTACCGGGAGGAGGGAGCGAAGAGACGGCGTGGCATGGCGAGGCTGGCGGAGGGGCACGCAGAGGAAGAAGAAGAGGGCATGCTGAGGACGAGCAACAGGTGGGAATCGGGGAAGGGGAGGGTGGGTCAGATTGAAAACTATACGAACATCATAGCGGATTGGTCCCGCTTCTCAGAGATGGTTCGCTTGGTTCGTTCCATTCTCCTCATTCCCACCCCCCTTCCCATCCGATTTCCCAGATGCTGCTTCCAACCCCCCTGCTCTGCGCCCTTCGTGCTCTTCCGCGCCGACTCTCCTCCGCCATCTTCCGCCGCCGCCCCGTCTCGCTGTCGCCCTACCGGTAAAGGCATAAAAAATGGCTGCAAGGCGGGCTTTTATATGAGGAACACCTGGAGATTGGGGTGAAGAGAAAAAAGATCGTCCCTTTGATTGCGGCGGACGAACCCATGGTTCCCCGAAACCCTCTCCTTTGGTCCTAGTTTGAGCACAGGTCACCTCCAGTTATATATATATGTACTTTAGACAGTAAGTAGCCCATCCCGCTCACTAAACTTGAATAAAACTATTATACCTCTCTCTCTCTCTCTCTCTCTCTCTCTCTCTCTCTCTCAATCTTCTATCATTAAGTAGCTCATCCCGATTAGTAAACTTGAATAAAACTATTATACCTCTCTCTCTCTCTTTATCTCTCTCTCTCTCTCTCTCTCTCTCTCTCTCAATCTTCTATCATTAAGTACCTCATAAAAGTACCATAAATGGAAAGACACGTGGTATCATGGATTTGCTGAACCCCCCATAAAATTACGAACACATTGGATGAGATGTATAAGTGATGCATTCGTTAGCATAGATTCTAATGCAGTTTGATAAAATATCATGCATAGAGGTACTCACACCGTCATTCATACTTGTTCAATTTTATTCCAAGTATAAATAAAAGCACCAATTATTTTTTTCCCACGAGGAATCTCAACACCAAGTAAACCAAGGAATTATAAAATATGTATCCATTAATTAGGGTGTATGTTAATAGATGCCAACTTACTCCATAGCATCATAATAACCTAAGAAAGAGAATGGCAAAGAAAAATGCCCAAATGAGGAACAATCCTCTATAATTTCCAATTGTGGTACACTGGGCTTGGTTTGGTTGACTATGATATCATGATTGAGTTATTCAATGGAATATTATCAATGAGACTGAAATTTTTCTAGAGAGAAGCTCAATTTCTAGTTTGGAAAATTATTTATGTATAGTATTTTTTTTAACAATAATGATGCATGAGAGTAATGTTCAATGTATTTGTGACAAGTTTGGCCAAGAAATTGGAAAAATATTGGAATTTTTTGTAGAGGGTTCTGATGTCATAAATATCGAAAAGAATAGCATTGGAACACCAGATTAGCTGATCTTGCATGAGAAAAAAAATAATATATTTAGAAAAATGGCTAAAACATGCTTTAATAAATCTGATCCAATTGCCTTAATTAGTTAATTTGTACCCAAGAAAAATACATCACTTTGGCTACTAAAATGCCGCTGAACGAGTCAGCGTATCCATCCAAAATTTGACCACAATCAGAAGATTGTTCGCAATTACATCGTTCTCTTAAGCTTTTAGTAATAATAATAAAAAATATATATATATGATTAATATTTATAAGGGAAGAGGTATTATCAGCTGGCCAAGTAGACCAACAAGGTGACAAAAAAGCAGCAGACTGGAGACTTCTCGGGTTCCAAAAGGCAGCCACGCGGGCGTCCAATGGCAGCCACACCCCTTCCCCTCCCCCCCTTCCAGCGTCTTACCGATTCAGGTTTATGGTGGTGGTTCGGAGGGGAAAGGGGAGGGGATCAGAAGTAGAGATCTCAAAAGCGCAGCTGACCAAGAGGCCCGCGGCTGTCCACGCGGCCGCCGGCCAGAACGGGCGGACCAGCGCTGCCCTGCCCGCCCATAGAACTATCCTTTAACTAGCAGGAGGGCAGACTGAGGAGGAGGAAAGTGGAGCGGTTCCCTTTGCCCTTTGCCCTTTGCCCTTTGCCGTTTCCTATCTGCCGCCGGTTCTCTCTTTGCGCCGTGGGAAAGGGGGGTAGCTCGGAGGGGGAGCAGATGGCCGGGACCCTCGTCTGGGTGGTGTTGCCCAGTGACAGCTGCTGCGGCTGCAGCAGCAGCGGCGGCAACCAGGGGCCTCAGCTGTTCCGAATCCGGAGGAAGGGGAAGAGCTGGGGGAGGAGAAGGGAGCCGGGGGGGTCGGTTTCGGCGAGCCTGGTGGCGACCCCATGGAGGTCTTCGGAGGAGAGGGTCTACGATGTCGTCATCAAGCAGGCGGCGCTGGTGAGGGACCAGAAGAAGAGCTGGAAGTCGGAGACGGACATGCCCGCGTCGGTGAACTGGGGCCTCCTCAACGAGGCCTACGAGCGGTGCGGAGAAGTCTGCGAGGAGTACGCGAAGACCTTCTATTTGGGTAATCCATGGCCGCCTCCCTTCCTAGTTTTCTCTCTCCACCCATCTACCGAGGTAGTCCAGCACAATGAAACTGGAAAAAAATTATGATTGAAATGTAGATGTTCATGTAGATTTCTCTCTGTGGATCTCTGAATTTGATGATTTTTTCTTCAAAAAAATTAAATTCAGGAACCTTGCTCATGACCCCCGAGAGAAGAAGAGCAGTCTGGGCGATCTACGGTACGCTTCTCAGAGCTTCCCCCTCTCATCTTCCTCACGAACGCCATCTTCGTAGCACAATGCTCCATGGATTTTCATCTCTCCCTGGCCATGTTTTGACGGCGATCTTCTCGATCCAGTGTGGTGCAGGCGCACCGACGAGCTCGTAGACGGGCCCAACGCCTCCCACATCACCCCCACCGCCTTGGACAGGTGGGAGAAGAGGCTGAACGATCTCTTCGAAGGTCGCCCCTTCGATATGTACGACGCCGCTCTGTCGGACACGGTCTCAAAGTTTCCTGTAGATATCCAGGTGGGCAATCTCTACATGAATCTACATGAATTACGGAAATGAGATGTCGCCTGAAGATTTAATCTTGATCTTCCTCGCTGCAGCCCTTCAAGGACATGATCGAAGGGATGAGGCTGGACCTAAAGAAATCAAGATACATGAACTTTGACGAGCTCTATCTCTACTGCTACTACGTCGCGGGGACGGTGGGGCTGATGAGCGTTCCGGTGATGGGCATCGCCGCCGACTCAAAGGTCTCAACAGAGAGCGTGTACAACTCAGCTCTAGCCCTCGGGATCGCCAACCAGCTCACAAACATCCTCAGGGACGTCGGAGAAGAGTAAGCCTCTGCCGACATGGCGGGAATCTGTCACCCTCTTCCATGTTCTTACCTTATTTGGTGAATTTTCCTGTTCAGCGCGAGGAGAGGCAGAGTCTATCTCCCTCAAGATGAGCTTGCCCAAGCAGGCTTATCGAACATGGACATCTTTCAAGGGAAGGTGACGGACAAGTGGAGGAGCTTCATGAAGGGCCAGATCAAGCGGGCAAGAATGTTCTTCGACGAGGCCGAGAAGGGCGTCGCCGAGCTCAACCCTGCAAGCCGATGGCCGGTATGATCCAAAATCCCATGCGATTATCCACCGTTTTAGGGTAGATTGCTTGAAAAAGGGCTGAACAATCTTCCCGTGCTGATGAACCAGGTCTGGGCATCGCTGATAATCTACCGGCAGATCCTCGATGCGATAGAGGCCAATGACTACGACAACTTCAACAAGCGGGCGTACGTCGGCAAGGCCAGCAAGTTCCTGTCGTTGCCGGCGGCATATGCTCGGTCCCTTGCCGCCCCCGCGAAGGGCGGCGGGTGGTTGTGAGTTGCAGCTGCCGGGCCAACGGGGCAGCGAGCTGTAGCAGTCTTAGGAGGCCCTGGTTGGGTTCTTGGGATTCTTTATTTTTGTTGTAAATCAGCAGACGACCCTTTTTGCTGTTGGATGTTGTTCCAAGGGAATTAGCGTGTGATTTGTTGGAAGGGTTGGAGGCTTCTTGCTGCTGCCGTTGACGTGCGTTGAGGTGGTGGTTGGGATGCAGGAATATCAGTGGACCAAGGGGGGGGGGGGGTGGGGGTTCAAGCCTTTCACTGCTTATTTTCCTTTTGCAAAAGGAATAAGGCTAGGATCAGAATTATTTTGCTTTTATATCCATCTCTCTCTCTCTCTCTCTCTCTCTCTCTCTCTCTCTCTCTAGCTCTAGAGCAGTGCCAATGAGGGGAGGAAGGGATCAGTGCCAATGATGTCTCGGGGGCCCATTTGAAACAAATGTTTTGAGGATATGAAACAAATGTTTTGAACATCTAATTATTATCCATTTAGGGTTAAGTCAACATTTTTAGAGTAAGTTTTAAAGGTTAAATCTTGACGGCCGATTTCTCATGAACAATATGCACAAATATGACATTAAGTCAGCTAAAAGATCAAAAGTCAAAGAGTTACAGTCCTAAATGGACTCTGCAAATCACAAAGATCATAAATCTCTGTGATTTATCATATATTGAGGATATTGCTGTCATTAGGGTTACAGCGAAGAGATGTTGGCCCTCTGAATCATACCCAGTGGTGTTGAAAAAGTCAACCCTAGACTACCTGAAGCCCATTCAGATATGCGATATACACATGCAAACAATAGTACTCGCGCAAAATAAATACCTTTAAAACTTTAATATAGCATGGAGAGACAAGTCTAACTATTGAAATGTTTAGCAAGGCTAAGAGACGATATTACAGATTAGCCCTCGCATGCCATTGGGTCGTCCATGCATGAGGTAGAGTCGAGCTCATCCAACACAGACAGAGAGAAGTCAACGTGGGCGCTTCATTTGCTACCAGTTATGTCATTGTAGGCGCCCTTGATTTTCTCTAGCAGAGCTTCCCTGAACAAGATAGGAAGATGGAAGGTCACCCCAGTGATTACCAGCGGTGATCAGAAAAGAAGACGAAGATAACGAAGAATTATGTAGATTTTAGGTCTCAAAAGCTCGATCAAAGGCTAGATATGGAGTTGGATTCCCAACTCATACCCAGCTATGGTAATAGGCCCAGTCCACTGGAAGAACGAGCTATGGAGCCACTGATGATGGTTAAGTTTATAATTAAGAGAAAAAAAATCCTGACATAATAAATAAGATTTTTAGCAATTAATCAGGGAAGAAAAAGGAGCTAATAAATGAGATATTAAGGGTGGTGGCACCTGTCCGGCTTGAAGACTAAGTTCTGGTACACGAACCACTGCAAGAAAAGGAAGCAAGAAGATATCAGCACAGAAGAAATCTAAGTCTTTACAGCAGCCCAAGCTAGACAAGTGCATGTTGGGGAGCGTTGACATTGCTTTAGAAAGGCCCTCTCTGGGGGAGTCCTCACGAGAGAAAGCTTTCAAACCAGTTCAGACTTCAGGGACAAGATTTGACTTGTTTATATGCATTCATTTTATTCCACATATTCGCAACCCATTTTATTCTCCTCATGCCTGGTTATTCAATGTTTTCTGGGGTTGACTTTGGCATGTCAGTGGGTGTCTACGTTTGACCTCTAGATCTTCGCATTAGGGCCCCATTTCAAATGGAGATTTACTCGTGAATAAAATGAGCAACAAAACCATGCGTTCTAACACAGCAGAAAATTATGAATAATTGAAGAACGAGATGAAAAGATGAAGAAACCAGACTTACCCCCGTGTAACCAATCCCAACTAGCTCAAGAACACCTGGAAGCACAGGAAGCCTGTCAATTGCCTGTGAAAAAACACAACACGATCATGAGGAGGCGTTGCTGTTGCTGGAGATAGTGACGAGAAGAACACAACGCTGGCAAGAGGAATTGATCCAAGATCTTTCATCCAAGTCCGAATGGATTACCGAGACCATCCCTGTGGAGACCCACAGGGCAACAACTCCAGAAAACGCAAGTATGGCGATTGCATACTTATCCTCAACTTTGTTCCACTGTATCATCGAAAGAAAAATGGGAAACATTTGGAGTCAACGCCTCGCATTCATACGCTTTGAATGTGGGATCAGTTGAGAGTATGACAAAAAATGCGGGGGCAGAGGAAATTGCACGGTACCGTATCTTGTAAGGTAATCACAACATCTGGCAAATCAGTGGAGCCTTCGCCAGGCCCCTCTCCGGCAGCACTTCTTGTTCTGGTCAGGGACTCATCGGAGGCCATTGCAATGACATGGCGCGCAGCCCTACGGCCTGGAAATGACATTAATCGGGATGAAGACGACAGGTATTATTGCTTTGAGACTAACTAGCTTGGGGAAAACCAAGTTGATTCAAAAAAAAAATAGCGGGATCCGTAGAGGGACCGATGAACATGTTTGCCCAAGACAATGAGGAGACGGATGGATAGCTTCAGAGAGAGGAAACGGTACCTGAAACCAATTGTCTTACTTTTGGGGGAATCGAATCGAATCTCATGGGAATGGATGTCAACACTTGCGAAAATGCAAATCAACAGATAGGTTTTCCCCGTGTAAGACCAAAATCTGTGATCCAGAAGATAAGCGAAAGATAGATGGGAAAGGGCGTTGCGCAGGATGGAGCGGTGAAAACGGAAGCAAGGTGTGAGGCCGTGGAAACTACAGAGCGCTAGGTCATTGCAAAAGCCAGGGGACCGTTCAGATGGACGGCAGTACACATCCAATCGCACTGATCAGAACCTGGAAACGATTGGATTGAGGCAGCGAGGCACCGGCATTACATGCTGGTTAGCTCTACCACGGTGAGCAATGGAACCGAGACGACTCACAGTAGGACCTCCGGAACGAGGGCAAAATCACGCGATGCGACGCCGGAAGCAGAGGGCGGGTGGAGAGGTTCCTTCCTTCCACCGGAGCCGACGGCGACGTGAAGGCCAAGGTGGCTGCGGAGGCGGCCATGGCGCTAGACGGAGACGGAGAATGGTTTTCCGGCGCCCTCCTCCTCCCTGTCCTCTTCTTCTTCTTCGTCGCCGCCCTTGGCTGCGGCAGCGGCAGCGGCAGCGGAAGCAGCCAACCGCCCAATTCCCCGATCCGGATAATGCTGACGTGGGAACGTCTCATTGGACGGGGGGTCCTCAGAATGCGAGGCATCTTCTGTCCGCCTATGCTTTGGGTGAGCCATTGAGGATGATACGCGCACGGTGGAACCCACCACCGCTTCCAGGTGGACCTTGGGGCCATCTTTACGTCTGACGTGTCAATAGACACTAGATGGGACGTGCCAACTAGGCGCATACACCGAGTAGATTTTCCCCGGTCTCTGTCTCTCTCTCTCTCTCTCTCTCTCTCTCTCTCTCTCTCTCTCTCTCTCTCTAACTGGGCCTCCGTCCTTTCTGGAATATTGTCCGGTGCAGAACCAGCCGACGGAGGACCCCCCCCCCAACGCACAGGAACAAACTCTCTCTCTCTCTCTCTCGCTCCCTCTAACTGGGCCTCCGTCCTTGTTCTTTCTGGAATATCGTAGACCCAGCCGACGGAGACCCAACACACAGGAATGCTCTCTCTCTCTCGCTCTCTGTTGAACCGCTATAGAATCTGCAAGCCTTGGGACGGAGTTGAGTGGCGTCATGGGGCTTCGGAGCTTGATAGAGCTGGTGGCGGACGGTCGCCGGCGAGGATGGCGGGGGGACTGGTGGAGCTGTGAACACAGAAACATCGGTAGGAGAGTCTGGATTGGTTCCCGGTGGTAGCAGTTGCAGGTGAGGACCTGGCCTAAGCTCAAAAGAAAAAGCTGAAGATGGGAAGAAGACGGAGACTTGGACTGTGGGAATGGTAGTGGAGAACTGAGTAGGTGTTCTCAGGTCTGCCAGATTGAAGCTACTGTTGCAGGAAGCTGCGTTCCGGCGACCTCCAGACGAAGATTTATATCGATGGGGAAGAAATCGAACATGTGTGGTGTTGTGTAAGGATTATAAATCATTCAGAAAAAAAACAGATTTAATGTAATATTTTTACTACTTTTAAATGATAATTGAGAATTATTAGTAAGATTAGGATGTACATACCACCTTGTAATGGCACACTCTTTCCAAGATTAGTCAATCATTGGTGGAGGCTGATTAAAAATGTCAATAAGTTTTTTTACAATTTTTATAAAAATTGATGATCATATCTCCCTTATAGAAACTTTTGTGATCTAATAAAATTATGCCTTATGTCTTTAATTTTTTTTCTTGAATAGATGATGGATTTTTTTACTTAATTACTTTCACTAATTTTCTTCTGAATATTTAACTAATTTAATTCAATAATTCTCAAGTTATGATTTTAATTAGATAATTTAGGCAGATTAACTACTAGGCGAGACATTTTCAACTTCAATTACAAAGAAAACAACTGAAGTTTTTTCTTGAATTAATTCAAGAAATTAGGAATCAATTCACTCCCCCTTCTAAGTCATCTAACTATCTAAATACCCAAAAAAGAATAATTGACTTTTAATTTATGCAAAAATTGATTATGTAGGTCAATTGCCAATAGAGGGTCTTCCTCTAGCTATTATACCTTACTAGGTACTAATCCCATAATGTCATAAATATGAAGTATTGTGGGTAAAAGTTATTCAAGAAATTTTGAAGATTAAATAGATTGATTCTATTAAACTATATTGTGACAATAAATTAACCATTAGTATAACTTGTAATCTAGTATAATCTAGTCATATAAATCATATTGAGATGGATTGATATTCCTTTGAAAATTAATTGAAAAGTGGTATTGTATGTACACCAATACATATCATCACATGATCAGTGACTAGACTTATTTACCAAGGTCTAAGTAATCTTATATTTCAAAAACTTTGCTTCCAAGTTAAAAATAAATGATATCCACTCACCAACTTGAGGGGGATATACTATGTTTTTCCTCTTTATTTGGTACTTATTATATTGTCCTTCATGAGACCAATCAAATTTGGACCAAGCTAGACTATTTATTATAATTGCAACTAATTCCCATGGTTATTTCTCTCTCTGGTCTTCCTTCATAACTCTCCTTTCTGAAAATAAATAGTTCCTTATTTGAGAGAAAATCCAACAAAATTGCATAGTTTGGACTTCAAGGTAGTGCATGATAAGTGTTTCTTTAAAAGATCAAATTCACTTACTAAAACATTTGAAAGACACTTCATTCTCCTTAGATCTGATCAACATGATACTAAATTTCTATCAAGGATTGGTACATACGTATTTTTCTATCAATAAATTGGTTATTGATCATTCCCAATGCAATTAACAAAGTCAACTAGGAAGGATGCCTTGAACTAATGGAGACAATGAACAAAGTCAACTAGGTAGGATGCCTTGAACTAAAGGAGAACACTACCCCCTCTTACACAATTGTAAGTTCTGAAAAATTATTCAAGACCATTCATTGAAATAATGAATGCTTATGATGATGGTATGAGGGAGATGCTCCATTATACATTCTTTGTTTTGGCACCTTAAAATTAAGGGGAAGCAAAATAGGCGTTTGCTTGAAATACTAAACTTTGTCTTGTCTTTTGATGAGATAGAAAGAGGTTTCACAATAAAATGGTAAGGGTCTATTATGGATCTATTGTGAGCCTTATTACATCAAGAAACATCTATTCTCAACACAAAGAAAATATCAAATTCCTCTACTCAGCAAAGTTCTACACCAAGGTCAAGAAGGCGAGAATTGTTCGTGCATGCCCACTTGGAATGGTTCAATCATCAGATGGTATGTGTGTGAGTTTCTTTTTCTTTTTCTTTTTCTTTTTCTTTTTCTTTTTCTTCTTGGAGAGTTCAATGTTCTTGCTCAATACATCACTCACAGATGGTAGAGAATTCAAATAATCAGCTTATGGAAGTTGGGCACCATACTTACACGACATATGATGATGCATAACATCACTTTGTGACTGCCCTAGCCCCAGTCTCTGAAGAACCCTGCATCAAAATCCATCAGACAATCAAGATATAGTGAGCAAACTTTCTCCCCTTCGCAACTTTTCAGCCAAAAATCATTTCTTGATCCTTCAAGTCGATTATACCGCCAAGTATTTCAGTTGGGCGTCTTCCAAGATGTTCTTTCATAGACAGCTCAAACTGAATGTGATGACGCTCCACATTTCATAGAACTCTCTTCCTCCCCAGATATGTGCTCTTTGTAACCAATCTTCCTGGCAGAGATATTTCCAGGCCAAAATATCCTAAGACATTGAAAGGTCGTAGCTTACATGATATACAATCAAATGATTTTGCAGTGAGGAGGGGCCTCGGAATCATTAGTTGCCAAGAGTGGCATATCCCCATTAATATTCATAACACATCAAGACATCGTAAGCAGTAGCGGTTGATGAGCTTCTCAGAGAGGCTGTCGGTTTCAGGAACTAGCGAAAAAGTCAAACCGTTCCAGAAATGAAATGTAGTTGACTCATTCAAAGTCTTTGCTAAAAGAGTAGATTGCTCGGCTCTCTCGACTTCATCAACTGGTGCACTGAAATACCTGAAATCAATGAAAAACCCGTCCAGCAAGGTAAGCAAAGGTTGGGAAGAAATTCATGTCAGTCGAGGCTACATTCTTTCCAAATCAGCACAAGGACCCGTATGCAACAGTGAGCATATACTATCAGTTTCTCTGCATCGATTACACAGGCCGACTCATGAGACGGGTCAAGACTTAGCAAATAGACCAATAGAGAAACAGTTTCATTTCTGCTTTCAGTGATTCATCATATTCACGTGTAAATGGCACTGATGAAACCCATCTCACAGATTAATCAGTGAGAATACTTGTGAGTACCTTAAAATGCTACCGGCACTTATAGGGAAGAACTTATGAAATGGCTCCATATTAAGGTGAAACTTTGACTGAAGCTTATTCGCCTTTCCAGCAAGTCTCCTGATCACTCTTGTTAAGAGCTCAGCCCCATTCCACCTCAGTCGGGTATCATCATACGTTGAGTGGAACTCCTTCAGACATTCCATTATAACACGGCTGCAAGTGTTTTCCACATCATCATGTAAAAGATCACAAATGGTAGACAAAATGCCGCAAATAAATTCGATGGAAGGACAAAGTGTTTTATTCAGAGTGGCGAACGAGAAGGTGTGAGAAATCAGTCTGTGCTTATTTGATAATAAAGCGTATCTTAAGCAGCCATTCACGTCAGTTTTTGTTAAAGTTACAAGACAGGTACTATAAAACAAGTATCCCATTATTCGGCCATAAATGATATTCTTTCCACGTATTATCAAACAAAAGCAACATTAATGCATACACCATCATGAAATCTAAAACAATCATGAGATGAAAAGCATGTAGCGAATTGATTACAGAAGCGAATTAAACCCAACTGCAGAAAAAGAAGATGAGGAATCAATCGAGTTTTAGCTATTTTAGCTCGTGTGAAATCATACCAACCACCAAATTAATACAGTTTCCCACAGGCTACATCCCATTACAGTGGTTTGAAATAAATTGTCGGGCTAATTCTGAAAGTCAGCCATTCTGAGAGAAGAGTCTGATTCAGGTAAGAGGAAAAAAACGGAAAAACTGATATCCACAGAATCATTGATTACATAAACAATCTACTTTACAACAGAGGAAAAACTATGATGGAAGTTCAGAAAAGGATTTCAAAACAGTAATAAAGCCCCCAGCCCAGATATTATTTCTCTTATGGGCAGGGGCAGGGGCTGGCACAGAAGGAGATACAGGAAGCAGCAACCAGAGGCAATGGCTGCCAGCAATTAGCAGCAACCAGATGAGTTGACGTTTTCTTTTTGGAGGACAGTTATCAGGGACCAATAGTCAATGGGAGTTGCTAGAACTGTGAGCAACGGTCAATGGCGATCAGTGGGGTCTAAGAAACACAAAATGATATAAAATACGTAAATGAAGTACTATGATTAGACTAAAAACGGTTTTCTGTTATTTTGACTTCCTACTTTTCCAATAATTTCTCCATCGCTTTATTCAACACTTGCCATCCTTCTTCTTACTCTAACCCCTGTTGCTCAGCTAATGCTGAGACTCTTCCATATTCTTCCTCGGAAAGCAAATACTGCCAGAAGGCAGCTGATACAAGCGAATTACCAACTATAGGCAAATTAGGCCTAATTTCGAGGTGAACTTCGAAAATCTTGACACCTCAGACTCCTTGGCCCGACCACCGCAAGAAAAGACGTCTGGCTACTGCCAAGTGCTATCAAAATGCAGACTCCCAGTACCATCAAACCACACTAGTAATGGTTAATCCTCCAAATACCCCAGAGCTTTTTCTGCTCCTGCTTAAATCTTTGTAGAGCCAGCCATAAAATCTGAATTTTCAGAATGTTTTTCCCAACAAAATATATATATTAAAAGACTAACGACCAAACGCACATTAACAAGATCTCCTTCGGGGTAACTGCTTCTCATAATCTCTGCACTCTACAAGTGCTCGGCATGAAACCTCAGAGGTGACCTCGACAGTAAGACATTAAGGAAATTTTAAACCAGTGCCAGCTCCACCTTTCCACCTCTGCATTCTCGGTGTTACCATTCCTCTGCGGCTGCCCTACCAGAAAAATGAGTTCCTTATGGCTCTAATTCCGCAAGGTACCATATTCATAACCCTTAAGCTCATACATCACTCTTCGGCCTTGCCACCTTTCAAGTCAGAAAGTGGATAGTTCAAGCACTAGATTCGTCATATTTATATCCTAAAACTTTTACATAGTGATGATTTTTTTACCAGGATAGGTCCACACTAAACATCTATGATCTGTCAAGGTTAGCCTTCACCATTCATGGGAAAGAACCGGCTACTTCACTTGGTCCATATTTATCTAATTATTGAATTCATTGAATGAAAAATGATTAGCATACTTTACATGTGTAATCTTTAAATTCACTCAACACTATACTACCCCTTCAAGTACGCCTTCAGCTTCCACCTTATTGCACACTTTGATAGGGTACTTAATAGAAAAGCACAACTTCAAGATCTACATTTCCATCAGGTTCAAGGCTGTTAAACAATTAATCGCCACATCAGAAGGATGATGCTCCAGCAGCTATGAAATAAAGTTAAATTTTTAACACTCAGTTGGCAAACTAGAACATTGAGGGAGCAAGATTTAAACGAATTGCTCTTTTCGCCAATGACAAACTCGAAAAATGATGGAACAATAACCTGACAAAAAAAACATAATTCCAGCAAATGAAGTGATTGAGATACCTATGCCTGTCAAATGCCATCACTGCTCCATTAAATATAGGATCCCCACCCATTTCATTCTCCATGCCAATAGAATTCTTCAGAGAAGACAAAGGTTTCAGAACTATCACATCAGTATCTAGGTAGACTCCACCATATCTGGAATTTAGAGTAACAATAAACGTTAAAAAAAAGGGTTACAAGTCGCTATGACTTAATATTCATGATACTGAAGAGGATGTAACAAAGCACAAAAACAAAGCTGTGAAAATGGAATATTCATGTACAAATAATGACAAATCAGAACACAAACCAAACAAGAAAGTCCAAACAAAGTGAAAATGGAATATTCACGTAAATTTCAAAAGGAAATCGGACTGTACAGTTTTCTTACTTTAAGAGACTGTATTGAATCAGAAAACAGTTTTTATATGCTTTTTTAAAAATGATAAAAACCACACTTACTTGTACAGAGCAGCAAGCCGTATCAGCTCACTATAATGAATGGTATAGTGTTTCGTCTTTCTCCATTTGAACCACACTGATGCAAATATGTAAACAGGAGTATCTTTTAGAAGCTCATCAAGATTGGGCATTGCAACAGCAATTCTGAAGCTGCAGAAGGAGGGAACATTCAAAAGTTATTATACCTTATTCCAAAATGCTGTGGTACAGCCAAAACAGGTAAACGACAGAAAGTTGACATGGAAATCTCCACGATTAAAAAGTAATGCTTAGTTCCCCTTTCCCATATTTTTTTAATTAAAAATAACTCCTTCGAGAAAAAAGAATTCCATAAGAACGAAATGAAAGGTTCATGAAGCGCCTTAAAAAGTATACCGTACTAATGTACTCCGACACATCTCTAATGACAATTCAGAATCATTTCCTATAGAATACGTTTTCTTCCAGAGATTCATTATTTTCATTTTTCATATGGTCCTCTGAAAGTTCCTTCCACCAGATGAATACCTTTCATGGGTCTGCCACTGCACTAGTTTGCACTAATAGGTCTCTTGTTTTTGGAAATGGATTTCCCAATATAATTCATTGACACCCATACTGATCAATTTCATGAAGATCCCTTCGAATCCATAAGATTATAATGTTCAATTAGAGACAAACATAAACATATGACCAAAAGTACATATTAATGAATATTCATAAAAAGGGTCGAATAAGATAAAACCTAGATGTTATAGAACAGTCAGACCACTCATGTCGAGTAGTAATGAACACTGCAAGTAAAGTGACGTTCCTGGAAATTAACTGAGTATTGACAACTTGGAAGATGACATCTATACTAGGGTTTGCTAGGGAGACTTAGCTGGAAGATATCGAATCAAGATCCAGAGAGATTCTAATATGGAAAAGACTCTGGTTCAGAGTTGCACAACATGGAATTACAGGCTTTTCTTGAATCCAATTAGCGAAAATAAAATTTTATGCACACAATCCAAGCTTTCAGTCTGACGTCAGTCTTCACTGAAAGCATAAGCATTCATCACCCAGGATGGCATAACATCATGGAAAACTCTCTAGAGATGTGTTTTGTCCAAATACAGCAAGTAATCTGCATATTAATAATGTGAATAGGCCGTGTAAAGAAACACTTAAAAAATTACAAATAACTCATCTATCATGTTCCACACTTCATCCAAAGTAAGCAGTTTGTATACACAGTCACAAAAGCTTTTTACTCTTCAGAAACGTGACTTTACACTGTTAGGTTGAGTGAAGACGTTCTGAAATTTCCGATCAAATATTATAGGCAAGTGCATTAATTTTGTAGGGTCAAATAATGAAATATCTAACACTAAGTTTCTAACTTAAAATCGCCAGAGGGAACCAGAGAGGTGATAACTGGTTAGTGAGAAACTACCCATCCTTCACAAAGTCCGTAAAGAAGTCCAGTTCCAATGTCTCGGAAAACACGAGAACACAGGCATCTTTGTTATGATGCAGAAGACTTTCCAGACCCCGCTGGTGTCGAATGCCATAACCCCACGGTGGACTGTTCCAAACCATGAAAACCCTCAAGGAACATTGCCCACTATAGAGAAATCTATCCACGAACTCTGAAAATGATGAATGCTGCTCTAACCCCGGGTAGTATCCCCAATGTCGATTATCAGGATACACGTGGTGGCCTATCTTATTTAACGGAAGAAGATCAAGATTCTTCCGCCTCGGGACTGGCTTCTTCGCTGTGCCCAGAGCCTTCCTTTCTATCCTTTTTTTCTGGCTTGGTTCCCCGATAAAGGGAGTCTTCTGAAGCTCCTTCATCATGGCCTTCTGCAGCAGCCGGTCACCCCTGGTGAGACCCGTCAGGAAAGGCCCGTCAGGATCTTGCAACAGAGGGTGGTTCATTGGGTTCATCTGTTCCACGCTCGATGTGAACATCTTGTCCTGCTTCAGGAACCTTCCCTTCGCCTCAAACCACGGCGCCCAACCTTCACGCAGCGGCGACTGGCCACCAGCAGAGGACCCCACTTTCAGCAGAAGAGCATCCTCGATCGACCGGATCGAGGCCAGTTTGGATCTGATCTCCTCGTCAACCGGCTGGTCATCGGATGCAAAAGCGATCCTGCTCCGTTGGCGGGCGTCATTCCCCGGGCCATCGTCGACGAAGAGAGAAAATTCCCCCGGATCAGGGCGCCACCGGTGCCCTCGAGGCCTACCAAAGGACCTCCGCATCACGCCGGTGGAGTGATCCCAGAAGAAGCCGCCAGATTCCAGGTCTGAAGCACCCCTTTCCGCGACCTCGTCCTCCGACTCCCCTGCCTCCTCGACGACGTCGAGGGCATCGATGAGGTCATCCGCAGAGTCATCGGGCACATCATTATCAACGTCGTGAAGGACGACGCCAGAGTCGATACCGCCGACATTAGCTAAACTGCTCCGACCAACGGGGAAACGCGAGGAAGAGGAGGAAGATAAGCGGGAGTGGAGGACGGAGATGGAAAGCAGGAGGAGGAATGCTGCCACCGCCGCGCAGCAGAGCTGGGAGCCGTAGCGGGACCGCCGCCGGGCAGAAGAGGAGCGGAGCATCTGAGTTGCTGGGAGAGTCTCCCGCATGAAAGAGGAACCGAAGAACTCGGCCCGGGCGGGGGGAGTTATTAACGTTATATTTTATAAGTTTGTTTACCAAATATGGAAAAAATACATTAATAGTACTAAAATATTAACGAGTATGATATAAATCCGTAAATATATTAACTCCCGATATCAACCCCTCCCCAGGACATCTCCAAGAGAAGAAAATCAAGAGAAAATACATTTTTTAAATTTAAAAACAAATTATTTAAATAAAGGTTAATAGTTCCAAGTAACTCAGAAATAAATCACTTAAATAAAAATTTAGTAATATTAAGAAAATAAAATATTTATACTAGAATATATCCTTGTAAGAGAGATTATTATACTAGGATCACTTTTCTGACACACCTTATGAATAATAATAGCACTGCTTTAGATAAGAATAATAGAGTGCTTAGCACTTAATTAATGTCTATAATAGATAATTAAAAGGGAAATAGATAATTTTTCAAGAGTAAAAAGAATGACCTTTTTCTCCCTCTACCCAAATCCCCCTATCTAATCCATTTCTCATGTGCTTGTCATCTTAAAATGGCTTCAATTTTACCCAAGATGAGTATTAAGACTTAATTATCAAAATCAAGAACAAATCCTAGCATCCTCAGCCTTCAACCAATCTCTTTAACCATTTCTATACCTAGTAGATTAAGCCTAATCAAAATTTGTAAATAAACTATGAAATTTAGCCCAGATGATTTTTACACCTTAGTTTCATCTAGGTCAATCAACCTTCCTTAAAGAAGAAAGTTTAGGGGAAAAAAATGTTTGTAACTACATGTTTTACTATTTATAGTAGCATTAGAGAGTTGTATCTAACCTCACGAAAGTTCATGGCATGCAAGGGGATTGCATTACCATATGAGTAGAGTGTTTTTTGTCTTTCAGAGTGGAGTGGACTCTTCATAAAAAATGCTTACTCTTATAATGACCCAGACACCACACATGAGCAACATGATAAGTTTACATTATTAGTATAATTGTGTGATTACTAATCCATCAGTAATATCATCCTTCAAGCATTTGGGATTAGTTACTTGTAAAGTTGTGTCTTCGTTTCTTTCTAGGAAGTAAATGGGCACACTAATTGACTCATCAAGTATAAGGGAGGCAGCCTCATAGCTAATATAGCCCTTTGCAAAAGACACAACAAAGAAAAAGTGCTCTTGTGCTGTAGCACACTAATTGAGTGACCACACACAACTAGTAATGACTATTTTTCAACTGTTTTTAGCTTCAAGTCAAGGAGAAAAGTTTTCATATAAGATGATGAGCATCAACAACATTCCATAAGATCTATGAAAATAGGATATGTACTACAAGTCCAAAGCTGCTCCAATGGAAGAACCTTCTACTTCACCATGTTCAAAGAAGCTACACAAAATTGTTGAAAGAGTTATTATTTCTTCATTAATTCATGTAGTAGGCACTAGATATATGTGGTTTGACTTAGAGCCATCAATGTACAAGATATTTTTAGAACAGGGTGATGAGTTAGATTTTCTACAAGTGTCATTAGTCCTTATCTCCTCAATCAAAAATATTATGAGTTATGTTTTAACCTAATTTGCACAATACTTGTAGATAGCAACGAGTCATGTCATCTCCTCAAAGAATTTGAGGTTTAGTGTTTAATGCTCTTTCTAATAAAGGGTATAGGGCAGAAAATGAGGAGTCGTGGATTAGACAGAGAGAAGAAGGGGGAAGGATGAATCCAGATCTAATTTCTCAGATCTAGCCAGGGTAAGAATGACAATCAACTATTTGTATCTTCTACTATTTAATTCCAAATTAAATTCTAACCTAAACTAAACTAAATAGAATCTACTTCATCTCAAAACTAACTTAGTGTCACCATTCCTTCTTCCTTACTTCTACTAGGAAGAGGCATTCACTCAAAGTAGTGGGAGAGACCTCATTCAGACAACATGAGGAGCATTTCGGATTGACACACCTGTATTACACGATGTGGAGCTCAAAAAACTCTAAACCCCTTTGGGCTGGCTAACTCATTGAAGGCTTCCTTCATCAAAAAATATTCGTAACATTGGTTTTCTGAAACATATAGGGTGGTGTTCCCTCTCTCTCCTCTCTAGTTTGCCTCTTGCATGCCTCTTGTGCGCGTACTAGAAACTGCTCGAAGGTTCAGGCGGTTTCCTCTCCCACATGGCCACGCTTTGTTGGATCGGTGGACTCCCTTCTCGTGAGCTCTCTCCTAGGCCATCAGATCTTTCTCCTACCGAAATGCCACCTCTTCACTCCTACGAGTGACAATTGAGCTGATGTATCATAGTCGTTGATGAAGCGGTTACAACTTGAGGCAAAAATTCCTAAATCGCTGGAAAATGATTAGAAAAATCATAAAAGTATATTCAATGTCTAAAATAATCTGGTTTAATTAGATAGCCACATGTGTATGAGGAGACTATTCTCACAAAATTCTAAGAAATATTTGACATATTACTCCATCTTGAAACATGTTAAAAATCATCTTTATTAATGTAAACAGCACATTAATAATATCATAGAACTATAAAATTAACTAAGGTGTATTCCAGCACATTATTCATGTGCAATTATAGGGCAGTTGAAGCCTTGGTGTTGTGTACATTGTATTGATAAGTGTTAGTGGAACTTTGATATGTATTCCTTCTAGAACAAAATAGGGCCCAAAGCACAATAATTTTGGTAAAGCAGTTTGATTTGAAAATAGTTAGGAAACTAGAAACTAGATTAAATTTTAAAATAATCTAATTTAGTTCTAGTTAATGTTCTTCATTTATCTACTTCAGTTTCTATTGGAGCTCCATATCTTGAGGGGAAAATTCTCCTTTGAATGTGTGTTCTTTCCTAGATCTAGCAAGTGTTCTTCTCTTCTAGGCTTTCAATTGACTTGTAAACTTGAGTGACATTTTAAGAAGATGGATGAGAATGTTGTTTCCCTATCCTCTGCCTTTGCTATAGGACAAGGTGCCCTTTTCTTGGTATGTAAAACATTCAGTTCCAATGGCTAATAACAACAAGACCAATAGTAATCACATTTCTATTCCAACAAGTACATGAAATTTGACTTAGGTAAGTACTCATTCATATTCCAATATTTATATTAAATTAAATTCTTCAGTGTGTGCTGAATTTTCTTAGTATTTTAAATATTTTTCCAACAAGTATATGCATGCCTACGAATGTGGCAAAAAATTAGGGCTGAAAGTTGTTTAAATGATTAGATGTCAGATTTTAACTTACCCTTTAAAGCAAAATAACATTCCCCAATTCAAATTCCAATCATTATTTTATCTAAACTTGAAACTATCTCAATAATTATCTAGATTGAATTCAATACTTAGCTTGTTGTGAGCTGAATTAAACTTTGTCGAGTCAGACAAGTAAACCTTATAAAGCCTATAGATGAAAATATTTAATCAATTATCAATGAAGCATCAAAGATTGTTTGATTAGGTAAATTGAACTTAAAATTTTTAGATCAACGAAACCAATATTGTAATATTATAGCACTTTGACATTTGTTCAAAAATTGTAGCATGAGTCCTTTATCTTATTATTTTATACTTCACTCTCAAGTGAATCAAATCCTTTATTAAAAAATAAATGCCTAACGTACCTTTTGTAAACATTAAAACTCTTCCTTGAACAGAGTTGTCATTATTGAGTTAAAAAATTATTTGGAGAAATATCTTTGCTTGAACTTGGATGTGTTAGCCTCATCATCTTATGCTTCACTTTTCTATGCTTTACAAGTTTCTAGCTCTTGGTTTCAATTTGAAGTTTTCTCTTATTTTTATACAGAACTTTCTAATTTATCCATTTTTGAACAATTAGTTGAAACCCTAGCTAGCATAATTCCAACAATAACTTACAAACATGAGCTAGATGGTTTCCATTTGATTACTACAATGTGGTCGTCAGTTGTTTGCAGGTTTAATATTAGCACTTAATTATTTTATTGATGTAATCCAGTATTGGTCTTAACCTAGTGCATGATTCTAATTCACGTATACTATCAATACGTGCTTGGGCTGTTGCGGCATAAACAGAAGCAATTTTTCACTTCTGATTAGATTTGATATTTTATTCTATACTAAAGATTTCATTTAATGACATGTGAGCCCAATATATGCTCCTAAGTTTCACTTGTGCTATGCCACATAATTTCAATCTGTTGAAATATTGTGCTTGATATATTATGCTTGTCTACAATTTAATTTTCCACACGTTAAAAACCTTAAACTTCATATATGGTGCTTTCTATGATTGGAAAAAAATAGTTTCCATGCACTGAAATATTGTGCTTCATATATACTATGCTAATACACAATGCAGTTATTATTTGCATACCTCTCTTCACTCTGAAGCTTGTGATCTTGAACATGAGTTCCATATACTTAGATTTTATGCTTTGATATTATATCACAACGTAATTATCTTCTTTTTTTTTTTTCTTTTAAACATGATTTCTTAACAACATGATTGACTCCAATGTGTCCTAGATGCTAGTTTTCCCTCCCATTCAGAAGTTGAGCATGTCTATGTAGGGATTTATCCATCCGGTCTCCTTGACTCATGGTTATATTCCTGCATTCCAGGCTATATATTTCCAGCAATAAAGGTTGACACTTACGTTCTGGAACAAGATAATAATTTTCATGTATTGAAAATATGAGCTTTATATGCTTCAGGATTGTGCATGATCTCTCATGTAAACCAAAATATGAATTTTGACTCACTACATTATATAAATAACATCATGCATGCCCAGATCAAGAAAGAATTCCTGACGTTAAAAAACCAATTTTTTTACAAACCATGGGGAATTCTGGGCAAGAAATCGACTTCCATGTAGCTCAACCAAAAGAAGCATTACGTGAAGCACAACCAGTGAAGAATACCGGAAAAGAAGCTTTTTCCACACATACAAACCTTGATCATGATCTCCAGAGACAACCACGACATCAGAGCCTCCACTCCCTGGTTTCACTTCTGCTTCCTCTGATGTAATGGGATTGATTCTCCCACGAGCTCCATCTCAGCTCCATGCGTGGTGGGGCCTCTCATTTGGCCGCCTGCAAGCCACAGACCTTGTAAAGTCCATCAACAGGGAGTATTACTATACCAGTGTGGGAGTGTGCCAGCTAGAATCTCTTCCCGAGGATAATGCCGAGGATGATGGAAGCCAGAGCCACCCCCAGGAGGAACTTGAAGGCCATGGCGGCAGGGGGCTCTTCAGCCTCAGATGGCTGAAGTGCCCCCTTGCTTCTCTTATCTTCATATATTTCGGATGCTGTTCCTGCAGCTGGCGATAAGTCTCTGGATTTGGGCTCTACCTCGTCTTTTGACTGAGATTCAGCTACCTCTCCCTTGCGCTGTACATAGAGGGAAGCCATCCGAATTTCGGAAGAGGATTAGAAGAACCCTCTTTACTGTCCTGGATGAAAATGCTCTTTTTGTCCATATCTCTAGATCGTTAGTGAAGAGATCATTGGCAACGAGAGAAGAAGGAAAACCACGTTGTTCTAGTTGTAGTAACCCAAGACTGTCTAAATGTTATTTTGTACTAGCCTTGGGGCAGAAAAATCTCTAAGTGACAAGCATGTTGCAGCTAGAGATAATCATTTTCTGAGGCCTAATGGCGTACACTAATTTATGATATAATTTTTAAAAATAAATAAATTAATGAAGCTTTTAAAAAAAAGGAAAACCACGTGACTTGTTTATCTCAGTCAATTTGAGCCAATACAAAATTATAACTTTTGGTAAGCTTAGGTTATACAAAAAATGGAAAGAGGCTGGGAACTCAGGACAGCCTGGAGGTTGGATATTATATAGAGCGGTTAGGTCATCCAACTCAGAATGAATCGACTGTAAGTAGAATAATTCCAAAAGAAATTAATCCTAAGTTTAAATCGCCACATTTTATGCGAGGCTATTTAGAAAAAGTTCATGGATGCACCCATATGTTTTTTATGTGCATGTCTTTTAATCTTCTTAAAGAGAAGGGGATTTCTAGTTCAGTTGCTTTCAACCTGACAGAAAAAAAGCAATAAAATCCAGCGGGAGAACAGAGAAGTACAGTATATAAAGGTAAGTTTAAAATTTCACTGCCACTATTTAAACATTTTATTTTACACCCAGGATTAGAACCCCTTAAAATTGATGAAAATTTTCCATTTGAGATGGCCTCTTCTTAAATTAATCAACCATCCGATAGATTTTAACCCTCCTATTGGTACTTGCTAATTTGTTTGAGATTGAGAACGACTCATTCTCTAAAATGTCATTGGCATTCACAAGGTATCTCCTTTTTTCATTGAAGATCACTCGTGCACTTGTCTGAGATAAAAAAAAATTAATCTACAAGGCAGGCTAAATTTATCAAAAATGTTGGTAATATGGTCTGATGAGAGCAGAAGGATCTGCCATGTTGCTCTTTGTCAGTCATCAATCTTGTAGAATATAGTGACACATGGGAACTATAAAGAAAATCATACGAGCATGCTTCATAATGACACATGGACAAGAAAATATTTAAAATAAGCGAGGAGATACCTTCTCTGCGAATTTTTTATGTTGAAGATTAATCTCGCTCCTCAATTGCACCATTTCCTCTGCTAGACGCTTTTTTTCCTCCAGTATGTGCGCAATTGCAGCCTCCTTTTCACCCAATAATGCCCTCATACTCTCAACCTGAAATGAAGATATGCCATGCATTCAAGCAAAACAAGTCGAGTACAGATTCAGAATTTTAAATAGTATGCTATGTGGAAAATCTTATCCCTAAAACCAGTAAGTATAAAAGAGTTTTTAATACCTCTTTCTTTAATGGAGTCTCGGATGACAATAGCTGCCATTCAAGTTCTGCAGTTCGAGCTTCCATCTCTGGTTTCACCGTCAGAGTTTCCACATTATCGTTTGGCGAATACTCTCTTTCTCTCTGTTCATTTCGTTTTTCATCCATTTGAGCCATTACTTCTCGCAGTCGTTTATTTGCCACCTCATGACGTTGATTGAGCAGACTGTTCTCTTCAACCAAAGACGAAATCTGACAAAAGGGAACTTGTATTCAGCCCAAGACGTTCCCTTTCTATTTGATGATTAAATCATGCTAGATATCATCGATACAAATGATAGAGCAGCAATGGTTTATCCCCCTCGTTCTTAATCAAAAACGAATCAAGATTCTTCGAGGGGACCATAAATATGAATGTATAAAGTTATAAGAAACTAACTTGAAACTGCAATCTCTCGCCTTCGGAAGCAAGCCTTTGTCTCAGATCTTCGTTGGTTTTCCTCGAACATTGAAGTTCTCTACATGCCTGCTCACTTTCTGCCAAGACTGTGTTCAATGCTGATTGTAGATCATTAAGTTTTGTTTCAAATAAAGTAACATCAAGTGTGAGCTTCAAGTTTTCTCCAGTTAAAGCATCATTATCGCACTCCAATTGAATCCATTTGCTTTGCGTTTCCTTTAGCATCCCCTCAAGAGTCCTCAGTCTTGACAGAGAGCCATCAAACTCTGCCTTCTGAAATTCTGCAGCAGCAGGGTCTTCACAAATATTTTTTTCATGAGACTGCATCTGATTTTGAAGATAGTTAAGCTCCTCAGTCGATTCTTTGACGTCAGAGTATATCAGTGTTGATCTCTCCAATTCCTTGACAGACGATTCCTTTTCTGTGTTAACAGAGAGCCCAATATCATTATACTGGTCAACTTTATACTGACATGCTGCCACTTCCCCCTTTAACCTGTTTACCTCAGATGAACGTTCATACGCTGAAAATGACTTCTCAGCTATCCCTTCAGTGATCTCGTGATTTTTTCTGAATCCGTCTGTTTTCTCAAGCGATGTTAATTTGCATGACCTTTCATCCAGTTGGACCTTCGGCGCAGCCAGATTTTCTGTTGTTGCACCCCCCCCTTCCCTGTAAACAACTGCCTGTTCTTCTACAGACTTCAAGTTTTCCAGCGACTGTCGAGCTTCAATATGTTTCTCAGTAAACTTTAGCATTTCTTCTCGGAGTTTCTCTTCAAGATTATTATCTGAGGCATCATATGACACTAAATCTAGGTTTTGCGCAGAAGCTTTATCCACCGCTCCTCCCTGGTGATATAGCATCTCCACAGCAGTTTTACTTTTTTCTAATATTTCTCTTTCCCTATCCCCTGAATTCTCGAGATCTCTATCAACATTTTGAAGTTTTTCCATGGAGGACTTCAACTCAAGTTGCAGAATCTCGATCAAGCTTTCCGCTTCTAAGAGCTTTCGCCCAGATATCTTGAAGGCGTCTTCAATTCTGTTCTTTTCTTCGGTGACTCTACTCAACATTTCTGTCAAATCTCTTTCAGTGTCATTTGCAGCTTGAAGCGCCATTTCTAGGCTGGATGATTTTACGTGGAAGGCTTCGAGCTCTGAAGAAAGCTCAGACACATGGCTATTATACTGCCTTATTTCTGCAAAGGCATTCTTAAGTTTCCCTTCCGCAATACTCAACTGTTCTTCGAGTTCACGAACCTGACACCTTGTGATTTCCAGTTGGAGCTGTAATTCTCCCACCTTTTTTCCAGAATCCTCCGCTTTGGAATGAGATTCTTGAACAAGTTTTTGTAGTTCTTGGTTATGCTCGTGGGACAAAGAAACCCAGTTTTCCAGTTCAGTACACTTTTCTTCAAGTTCCTTTCTCTCGATTTCAAGCTCCTAATACCTTGACAAGGACGTTTCCAAGGAAAATTCCAGTTTGTTGACTTCATTCTCGTACTCTTGGAAATGGGACGCCGACATCCCCGTTTTTTCCTCACAAGTTTTCAACAGTCCGGTAACCTCTACTGCCCTCCTCCTGTCTTCACTTTTCTCTCTATCCGATTCACTGAGCTTAGAGTTTTCCTGGGTCAGATTCTCCTCGATCCCCAAATTTCCCTGCTGTAGAAGCATCAGCTTTATTTCTTTTTCTCCCTGTACATCTTTGGTTTCTTCAAGCTGTATTTTCTTCATGAAAGAAGTATGAACAAAAGTAGCGGGTTCATTATGGAAGACGTACAAAGATTTCAGCTTCTGTTCGAGTTCAGAGTTGTGTGACAACGCCTGTGACAGAAGTGAGTCATATCTGCTCAGATTCTGCTCAGAGACATTCAACTTATTCTCGAGATCTACACAAAACTCTTTGAGCTGATGCAAGTGATTATTTAGTACTCCCACGGTTATTTCCAGAGCACTTTTCACCTCATTTTCCCTGTATAATTCATCATGCAGACCCAATATCTGGAGCTCATGAGTTCTGAGGCTTTCTTCAATGGTTTCCCTTCTTCGTGTCTCTTGTTGAAGCTTTAACAAAGTTTCTTCTAGGTTATCATCTTTGGCTAGGAGTTCTTCTTTCAAGACCGAAACTAAACTTTCCAAGGAAAGTAGATCCTCTCTTAGATGTGCATAGGAAGCCTTATGCTGGTCAAGTTCTTGATTAAGTTCTTGAATAATAACTGCCTTGGAAACAATTTCATGTTCTCGTTCTGCACCTCGTGATTTTGAAAGCTCTAATTCTTCCTGAAGTACTGAGAGCTCAGATCTGATCTTGCCCAGTGCTTCCTCGTCATGCATAATCTGTAACTGGTGTTGTAAGGCTGATTCCATCATCTCTTCCCTTAGCCTCTCTGGGTCATCTTCGAGCTCCCCACAATATTTATCACCGTGAAGTAATTTAAAGTTTGCCCTAGTGGCCTCTTCTTGTAACCCGGTTTTCTCAGATTCTACTGAATCCATTTCGACCTTTATAAACTCTGCATCTAATGAACTCCCTTCATCAACTTCGTTTGTTCATTCGTTCTCCTGTTGATGAAAAATGTCGTTTCTCAGTATTTCTGCCTCATTAGGGTGAATCTTAAATGAGGGTCAAACGGAACCGTAAGGCATCCAAATTTCATCACCTGAGTTCTTCTGTTCATTATTTCAAAGATGGAACCAAAGATGTGTTTTTATGTTCCATGCAAATGTGTTCACTAGAAAGTGATATCAAAACCTTGTTCCTATTTTTCACAATACGACTTACATGATAATGAAATCTGGATTATAAGAGTTTTATACATCACATAGTCATTCATACATCAAATCAGAGCTTTCCAAAGAACACATCCATGTAGAGTAAAACGATCTTCAAAGACTTGGAATTAAAAATTATACAACTCTCACGAGTTGATTATTGAAAAAAGTAGAATGACTTCTAGTTTCTTCTCAGAACTCTGGAGAAAAGGGATTTTTAATTGGTTCCAATACGATTCATGCCTGATCATGCAACAGACATTGTAGGTTCCATGGCCATCGGATCTGATATAAAGAGAGAACAGAGAGAATTTTGCAAGGAGCCAAATTATCTTGACAGATGTATCAACCACAGAATGGTACTGAGCTTCATTGCTGGAATGAAAGACAGCAGTCTGTTTCGTGCTCCTCTAGGAGACAGGGGACGAGCCAACGAATGTGTAGAAGCAAGGACCTGTACAAGAATCAGGTCAATCGTTGTTTGAAGGGGCACAAAGCTTTACAGACTCTGTGAAAGGAGGACATTAGCAAGAATCTGTGAAGGAGCTACACAAATGTTGAAGAACACCTAAGGGCACAAAAATTGACAGAGCAAGCAACCGAGCAAACGGACTCAAACACGTGTACAGCGCCATGACCAGTGTCCAGACAAGAGGTAGTCATTGTACGATAGTGCCAACAGTTTGACGATGGCATATGAAGAGATACCCTAAGTATAAGAATGCATTCAACCAAGTGTTTTGAAAGATGAAACTCACAATTACAAGAGGCATGGAGTGCTTAGCGAACTTACTGCCTTCACAACTGCATAAATGAATGCAAGACTGTTAACAGAGACACCTAAAATCAGCAAGCAAATATCTCAAAGCTACGATCACATGAGAAGGTGATAGAAAAGCACAGAAGATGTACATACTCTACACAGTGCAAGCTTCCCACTCTGTAACTGGTTCAACTCTTATGGCCAAGTACCTATACTGAAACAAGCAGGAAGTAAGTGAGACAGTAAAAGGAGCCTCAGCAGTTTAGGAATATAGGCAACACTCATTCAGGGGTTTTTCACCTGTCTGAGAATCTGATTGGCCTATTTTATCAAAAGACATCACTTTTGAATAGTTCTTTTGCAATCACAACGTGGTTCATGGCCCATACATGGAAATTTGGATATATAGTTTCTTAGAGTAAGGAACTACGCTGTATGGAATTACATATCCCCAAGCTCAGTCGCCCTTCCAGATTCCTCATTCATTATTTGCCGCAGGCTTCACTTTATGATCTCTACTGATAAACTAGCTAAGCCCATTTATGCTGTTCACAATGCCGAAGAGGGGGCCAACCATATGATCTCTACTGATCTCTACTGATTTGCATTTCCATGGGCTACAGAACATCCATATGAAGTTGGCGGTCGAATATTTCTAAAAACAGCATCGCAACGACGCCAAACACGACTGACTGCAGCTGTTTTTCATTCAACTTCCTAAAGCCGGGAGGCAAAGGTCTCGCCCTCTTGCACATTTTCCGATGTAAAGGCTCCGAGAGGTTCCTAATTTCGAACTGACACTGCAAGTTGGCAGATTTCATTAACTCCGCAGACATCGAAATGAGCACCCAGACCCCAGAAGATAACTCCAAACTAGTGACAGAAACGCACTTTGCCGCCGTCGAATGGCGCCAACCCTCTCTCCAATGCGCGGAGCTGGCGGAATTGAACGAAGCCACGTGGCCAAATGCCCGGGCCAGGCCAACCCCGGAGAAATCCGGGCTGGGCCGGACTGGTCCATACTTTCTGGGCCCATTGGCCGTTCCAAAATACCCGCCGATCGAAAAGGGCGCCTCTCCCCTCTCCTCACCAGGGTTCGGTCGTCCTCTCCAGGCTCCATCCTCTGTTCCCTCTTTCCTACCCCTTCAGACTCTAGTCTGCAGCCCCATCCTGCTTCTGCCCAGCAACTTCCCCATCGGCGGCACCTGCCCCTTCACCTTCCATCGCTTGGCCATAACCAGTTGACACCCACTACCTATCGACCGCATAGAGGTGTGGATCAGAGAGAGTGGTGAATCGTAGGTAAGTATGTGCAGATGTGAAGCTACGTAGTTAAGGCAAGGCGAGAGTCTTCGGGCGTAGCAGCCAGGGTCGGATTTAGCTAAAGCAAGCCGAGAGTCTTCTGGCGATGGACTGGTACCGCCGCTGTATAGCTGCTTGGTTCTCCCGCCGCGTCGTGGAATTGGCGAAGAGGTAAACAGGGGATATCACGGCAATCACGGTTGCTTGCAGTGGAGAACAGACTCGATGGAAAGGGAGCCGGAAGAACAGATGGACAAGGAAGAAGGTTAGATCTCAGACATTTAGGCTTCCATGTTAGAATCAATCGACCAAATGCAGTATGCGGTCGGATGGATCATAGCCAGAGGAAAGAGGGGGACAGAGTAGAGACCATCGCAGAGAAGGAGAAGGATAGGGGAGAAATCGGAAGACCGAATGGTAGAGTCCACAAAACACTGGACCAGAAACGCGGCGAAGGAAAACGAACTCCAGGAAATGCGGGTGAGAGCGGAGAGATCGCTTGCCTGGATATTCAAAGCCAGTCGAGCCCCTCCCATTAGAGATCTCCCCTTTTCTTTCAGAATTCTCTTTCCTGTCAAGGCTGGAGAGCGAAAGAGAATTGAGAGGAGAGTAGAGAGAAGAGATGAGAGATTGAGGGAGAGTAGAGAGAACAGAGGAGAGAGATTGAGGGAGGAAGAGAGAACAGAGAGATTGAGACAGAAGAGAGCAGAGAGATTGAGAGAGAGAGGAGAGAGAAAAGAGAGCGAAAGGTGACGGGAATCTGACGCGTTGCATGTATAGTCTCGTGGTGGTGAGTAGAGTGGATCACTAATTATTACTAAACTGCCACGATGTGCCTGTAAAGTAGGGCCAGCTGGGTTGCGCTTAACCAAACACACAGACCGGGAGGCTAGGAGAACAATTTCTCGTCACCCAAGGGTGGGATTCCCCATTACTTTTTTTCTCTGGATCTTTATGTAATTTTACACTACCATCTTCCCACCTATCTCAATTTCAGTGAAAAAAAAAGAGTTTTAACGGTGGATAATTATTTTAAAATATAATATCATTTAGAAAATGAGGGATCGAGGAAGTGGGAATTTTCCCGTGATCAGCTAATAATAGCAGAAAATTCTCATAAGGCCCTTCGAGGCCTGGCCTCATATTCCTCGTCGAAAAATAAATAAAAATAAAAATAATATACCATAAATGGTAGTGCATGCTACTTTTTTTTCTTTCTAGAAATGTACAGGGAAGGGATTGAGCTCTCTCTCTCTCTTTCCAGCCGTGAGGAGTAAGGGTGCAATTATAAGGGGTAAAGATGCAAGTCAGAAATTCTAAAAAGGTTTAATTATGAGTTTTTCTGATCTGAAACGGTACACGTGTGAAAGTGAAAAGCGGCTGGCGGCGCCGGCGTCAGCCTTTCGCGCTTCCTCAAAGCTACTTTCCAACTTCCCGTCTTCGTACTTTCAACGTCAGCAGCCAAGGTCGGAGGGAGAGCGTTGTGTAAGCTGTCTCGCAGCTGTGGATTAAGGTAACGTGGACGAACCCAAGAGAGGCCGGCGCCTTGTGAAAAGAGGGAGTGGGGATGGTTGTAAGAATCCATGAGAAAAAAATTATTATAAAAAGAATAAAGTCCAACGTTTTAAATTAAAAAAATTATTTTCTTGACCCGACATGAATTAAATTTCATATGACTTTGATCCAAGGAAATAAAATAAATGTCTAGAAATTATGTAAATGGGAATTTTGTTTAGATTTTCCCATGAAAGGTGTGGCAAAGGAACTCATACCCTTCATTGCATAGTGAGAATCATATATCTAATGATCTATGCCTAATAAAAGTGAAGTAACTTAGCTGAATATTTTAGGTCACTAGGTCTAAAAATATTCCTACAAGAGGAAATGGGCCAAGGACCAGACATCTGTTGTTTAAAGTGATTAGGGTTAAACACTGGAGAGTGAGGATCTCTCAGACTTGCTCAAACACTTAAGGGTTTCTACTTGTCTTACTCTATGTGCTCTTCTTACTTCTTGTTCAATCTGAATCTATTTTTCTTGGTGGAGTTAGGGTTGTTATATAACCACAACCCACAAAGCATCTATATGGATTCAAACCCAAAAAATTTGTTAGATGAGGTGAGGATAATAGATGCATCTTTTCCTAATAAAATTATTAGCCAAGTTTTATTTCATACCTATCAAAAGGAGCTTTACTTGAAAAGATAATCAAATCAATTTGGCTCCTAAACTCATAAATAGACTTTGTCGAATAGTTTGTTGAATAAGATTATACATACTTTATAAGCTTATAAATAAGCTTCATTTCAACAACTTGGGAAAGGAAAGTTTATCACAAAGTCTCAAATAAGTTCTATTTTAGAAACTTGTCAGCTAAAATTTACTAATTGGTTTGATCCAAATAACTTTCTTCTTTTGGGCCCCATCCAAATTTTACTTATAATAGTATTTAATATGATTTATAATATATAATGAAATATGCTCTCTAGCTAGAGGAAAGATGTACAATAGAACGAAGATAGAAGGCCTAATACACCAACATGCCAAATACTCGAGAAAATCATTTCTAGTGCATTCAGATGATAAAAGAGAACAAGTTTGAAAAGACAAATGGTGCAATTTCCTCATCTTCGCTTAAATTGTTTCAAAACTTTAGCAGTTTCACTCTTATCATATTTATTTTCATCATTTCGGTGAGCTGATTTGAGCATGAGTTCCTGAGCTGAAATGAAATCACATTGAAAGATATCACATAAATGGTGTGTTTAAGTCGATGCACAATATCCACAAATAGGCAACATATTTTCTTAAAATAGATGAGCTGTTCCAACCAAGAAAATGGGTATTTCTTCTCTTTTCTTTCTTTCTGTCCTATACAAAGAAAACCGGATTGAACTTGATTAAGCAAAAGAAATAAGAGCTGCACCTGTTGCATGGGTAGAAAGAACAGAGAATATGGAGCATACTCTCAACTCCAGAGAAGAACATCTACATGCCTATGAGCCCTGCAAGTCCATACAAGATCACTTCATCCTCCTTGTGATCCACATTTCAATGGCCGGTGGATCATCTCAACAGTTCTAGCTGAACAGCAACATGAAAATAGAGCAACCAAGGGCAGCCTGAAGAGCAAGCTGAGCTGCACAGAAGGCGAACAGATCTCCTGCCCACTGCCCAATGTCTTAAGGAGAAGCTTCATCTAGCTTCTATTCCCACAAGCCAGCTGATCAGCAACCTCCACACCCTCTCTACCTGCAGTTTCCAAGGTTTCAGAAGTTTCTCAAGCCCCCACCCTGGCTAACACTTTCTTTTCCTCTTTGATTGTTTTCATCTTAACCACTGCTGAGTTCTGCCCACATTCAGACATGAACTCCTTGAAAGTGTGTGTGTGTGTGTGTGAGCACCATAGTTGGGGATCATACATGGAACATAGTCAAAATTCAGTATGCCAATCACTTCATTCATGTCTATGCATATTCAATCTTCATATCAAACAGTTCACTCTGTGTACCCATCAAAGATTCTGGACCGCATCCAGGCTGATTGTCAGACCCAATCTCACCTCATCTTAGATGGCATTGCGTCTTCTATCCTTCGGATGACAGTACTCAGACTGTAGCCACTCTCTAGAGCCTTTACTGCAGCCGCGTGCGCCTGTCTATGCCACTTCAGAAGATTGTACGACTGCAGAAGAGACCATCGTGCCTGGTTTGCCATCTGTTGGGAAGAGAGCTTTGAGAAACAGCAATTCAAGACTGAGACGATGATAAAATGATTAGATGCCATGATTAGGATTTGATAGGAACCTGTGCGAGGGACATGGGAGGTTGCAGAAGAACGCAGACACTCCTGAACAAGTTCTCATCGTTTTCTCCGCCTTCTGCCTCTCCATAAACAAGAGCCTCAGCTGCGATTCCTGCAAAAAGTACCATGCAGTACCTGGATGTAGAAGTTTGTAGATGGCTTTTTAGATATCTCTCTAGGAGAACGGAAAAAATGGAGGTAATCATTATTATCAAAAGACAGTTTAGAATGCAAAATTAAAAAAAAAGGAGAGAAAAAAAAAAGGACGTTGTTATCCATTTTGCACCAATAAACAACAGAGTTTGATGCATAAAAGATGATGTTGATCAACAATGTAGGGTACCTGTCGAAAGCAGTTCCACTAAGGCGTCCTTCGGCAAGTTCATTTTCTAATTTTTCATCCCAGAACTGAGTACCAGCCTGCAGAACATGAGAGAATTTGGATTCATTCCTGAATGCATGGATAAGTAAACATAATCTTTGAACTTAGGTGAGACTCCCTTTGCAGAATGGATGCAACATGCACCAAGAGACATGCAACCAAAATTAGATGAGGAAAATTTTATGCATGTTATGATCGATAATGAAGTTAACCAGAATTTCAGAAAGAATCTGGGAGAGAAATAAAACATACATTATGAGAACAGGAATCAGATAATCATCGGGTTCATATATTTAATCAGTGCATGAATCTCAACATGAAAATGCTTATCATAAAGGGGAGCAGCTTCTTCATGGTAGCCCAACATAATCACATGCTATTTTATTTGAATATTAAGTTTTCTCAAGAAAAATAATTTCTTGATCAACCAGTGAAGAGCAACATTTCTTTAAACAATGTGAATCATATTTTGATTTAATGTGTAAAGTGGTCAGTTCAATAGATTAGAGAATTCGTTGTGATAAAAAAATTTAGACAATGGTCTATCACGGGAAATATATTATTAGCAGCAAAGAACTAAAAGAATGAAAAATGACATGGAACATTTTCACAAGGAAATATAAACAGAAAATGAAAAATCACGGGAAAAGTTTCTCTATAAGGGATGGGAGATAATCCACGACGAGCATACATAATCAGTAAATAGATCGCAACTCTTTTCTCACATATAATATGAGTTACAAGTAGGAAATAACTTAAATAGTTTTGAATGGGTACGCAGAAGAATCTTCTAGGCAGAAAACAAAAACCAAACCATACACTGGGTGTTACTGATAAAAAGATAGATAAATGCATTGTGAAATAATCTATACGAGACATCATATGTACCTGCCCTTGGATACCCATTTGCATTGCCACGATTGGATCCAAAATAACCCCTCTAACAGGACAACCCATAAGGTATGCTGCATGTTTGTGAGATAGTGCAACGGTAAGTAGTGCAAGTCACAGATAGGAAAATGGACAACTGAAAATAAGTCCCCAATTTCAGCTTTGGGAAATTGCATAAAAATCAACACGACAGCCCTAGTAGGGAATAACAGATCATGATGATGCATGTATTCACACAGAGAAAACACTATCTTTAGTGAATTACCAGCAAGCAGATGTCCAGCTTCATGAACTAGGACTCTACGTCTGTATGGAGGCCAAAAACAGAAAATCTGTGCAAGGCAGCTACCACCAAGAAAAATTGCATCCAACCCCACCAAAGCCAAAACAGCTGCCAGGTTAGGCCTTATATCAATCCCTTGGTATACCAGAAAAGACGTCCCTGCAAGGGAAGCAATCAACAATGTTCTTGAGCTCCCAGAAAGACCCCACTTCTTTGGCGCAAATTTATAGGCTGCACGAAGAAATGGATAGCTTAGCACGATGGACTCGGGAGATGATGAATAAGATTGATGAAAAGAGTTCAGACAGATGAGGTCACTGTATTGAATTAAGAACTACTGCATACTGACCAGTATATTTTCTAATAAAGAACCCAAGCAAATTATTTCCCTTGGAAACCAAATCAGGAAATTAACCTTCCAATCCAGTCGACTCTTTCAATGCAGTTGGAGTGACTTCCCTAGGTCCTTCCAAAACTGCAAACATTAAAAAGGAAATTTAGGTAAAAAATTTAAACTAGAAATCAAAACTAGTTCAAATTGAGAAAGCTAATAAATACAAGCGACATTCAACAAATTTTGAGACAGCATATTCAAAAATATTTGTTAAATTGTGTTATAAACGGAACCAGAAAAAAACTGCCGGCCAACACCTAAACAATTGCCAAGAAACCTAATCTAAGATTGTATGGAGAAAAGAAAAGGAAGAAAAGGAAGAAAATGATCGAAAATAAGAGAAAATCATTGTAATCCAATTCACTAGAACCACATAAATTCGAAGAAACACATTCCCTCGCTGTCTGTGGCTCCCATTCGAGAATATAACACCAGAAACATGACATAATAAACTGAAGATGTCATTCTGGTATCTTTTCCATTATCCTTTCTCATAGTCTGAAGGACAAGAGACTCAGAGCTCTTCGCAAACATAGTACTTTTATGGAAACATTGCACAACTATCATTTGACTAATTCGAGGCCCAAAAGCTTGACACTGACTTCCTTTGACTAATAGAGGATATGTAATTTTTCTACAACCGAACTGCCTATCTCAGTGTGAAGTCCCAATTAAAGCATTTAAGCTTGAATTTTCATGAAGCTTGTCTCAGGCAGCATCAGATGGCTTTTGAAAAGTAGGTAAGAGCAAGAGTGATGAACCCATATCATCAAATACATTGGGATCTCAACAAAGAACCATATACTCATGAAGCTCGTAATCCAGTACCGATGGTCTTGCACTTTCCAAAATTGGCTAGCAGTCCCCGGTCCTGCAGGAGGGAGTAGGCCATGCCGACGAGTCTCATGTCGTCTGCATTCAGGCAGGTGTCCAGCACCTCCCAGTCCTTCTCGGGCCACACCAGCAGGTCAGGCGGATAGGACACCGATGGAGACGAGGGCGAGGATTCAGACTCGGAACGAGGGAAGGGCTGGAGCGGGAGGGTCTCCGAGGATTTCAAGAAGCGCAGCGCCCGCGCGAGGTCTTTCTCCTTGACGGCGTCTTCGTACTCGCGCCATTCCCTGAGAGCCCTCACGGCGGGGATGCAGGAAGGGGATCGGGAGCGGAGAAACCTCCGTCGGCGACGCACCGGAAAGAAGAGCGGGGCCTCAGGGGCCGCACAACCTGAACGGCAGGTGGCGGCCGTGAGAGGAAAGGAGAGAGGCGCGACGGCCATGAAGACGAAGATATGAGGAATTTTCTCTCCAAAAACGCTCCTCCGCAAGAAGCTTCTAACTCCCGCTCTCCTCAGGAGGATCTCCACACGACTATCATCAACGCAAGCTCACCAAAACAATATCTTACCCTCCGACATCCTCACGATTTCTAGGTTTTCTGCGGATAATTCTCCGTCCTGCTCTGATCTTCGTCAACCTAGCGTGCTCGGTCTGAACCTCCTCCGCCTGCGGATTTTTTTTTTCCTAGGAAAATGCTGAAGAAATCACGAGAATCATCAGGGGTAACATCATCCACAATTCTGTTCATTCCAGCTCGTCGGACTGAGAGTAGCTCGGCACGAACACCGTCCATCGCCGATCGGAGAGTGAGAACGCTCTCCACGTGGCCCACCGTCAACGATCACAGGTTTAACTTAAGCAAAATATAGAATAACAACTCCTCAATTAAATAATAAGAATATAATTAAGAAAATTACAAGGTCAAAGTCAACAAAATGAGGGACTTTTGGAGAGGGAATTAGCCCCCACCAGTGACGTCACATATACGCCATAATTAATATTCTTGGGGATTTATTTCGCAAATTTGAGGCTAAAAAGTCTGAGAAAGCGGGGACGTCGGAAGGCTATGATCCGGCTGGCAAGGCAGTGGAATCGACGTGGCAAGCAAAGGGGCCCATATCGTCAAAGAGTTGACTATTTAGTGACGTGTAAGCAGGTGAACGGAGGAAGATGTAAATGCGTCTTGATGGCGCTAATCGAATCCTCGTTCCACTTCGAGTCGTCGGCAAGTAATACGACTCTGATGCGTATGCTCAGCTAGAGAGCGAGAGAGAGAGAGAGAGAGGAAGAAAGAATAGTGCCTGACGCATGATAAAATGAACCATCAACACTCTGTAACGGCTCCCTCAAAGAGCCCAGCGTCGTAAGGTGGGTGGGGGAACCGGATCTCAGTCGCGCTTCCACTCCTGATCTCTCTCCCCCACCGCCAGCTTGAGCGGTGTCCCGGGAGCCGACGGCGTCCGTTCTTCGTCTCCTCTTCGTCCTGGTCCGAGGCTTCTGCTCCCGCAGGTACTGTTCTTTCCCGGGATTTTCTCGGGATGAGATCCGTTGTTGTGGGGACAGTTTCTCTTTGTGATTAAGCCACAGTGAATGGTTTGGGGAGCCGCCGAAAGTAATGTACCTCCCTGCGGTCTATTATTCCCCCCTCATCTTCCTTTCCCATTCTGGTTCTCCCTACTTTTTCCCCCTGTTTGGGTGGGTTCCCGTTCTTCGCAGCCAGTGCATCTGGTAGGGTGGTAATACTAGTGACGACTTAGGTTAAACCATATGGGTTGGCTGAACGTCGTTCTTGCGAGATCCGATGCTGAACGAGGCAAAGGAAGACCAACGAGGATTTTGCAGCGTCCTGCGTCTTGTCTAGTGGAGGTTTTTTAACGTGTGAATTGCTTATAACGGGGTCTCTTTCTTTGAAGCCGGGAGAAGGTTGCCACGTAGTTGGGAGCGATTAGAAGGTTTCCTCTACAGTACGTCAAAACAACGCTTGATAAAATGACCAGCGGATTTCATCCCCTTGCGTTAAGAAAGTTGTGGCATTATTTTTTTATTGCCCCTGCCGTATGAATAGTGTCCAAAAGAGTGATCATCTGTATCATAAGTTCACAATAGCCCAGGTTTATCAGTTCTTCCTATTTGCTTTTCTTACAGAAGTAGAGAGCCATCCGAACCACTGTAGATATTACTTACCTTAAATTCTTCTTCTGGGCTTAAGTCACATGTGGGGTAAATAATATCCATTTTTTTGTGGAAGTTTCGCCACAGAAACATCCCATGATTCATGAGTCGTACCAAAAAAACTCCATTTACTGGTTAATCTTTTCCTTATTGTCTTTGATAAATTTTTTCATCGGTCTATGTTATTAGCGCGAAAGAAGTGATACATTTATTTTTGACAATAGAATGAAACTATGAATGTGTCCATTAAGAATCTTGTGCGTACTCTACCCTTGAGCGATTCATTTCCTTTTACGTAATCTTGTGTGACGAAAAACCTCCTAGTATTTTTATTTGGTTTAATATTTTTTTCTCTTGGCGTATCAGTTTTGAAGCTATATGATCACTTTCTCTGATGAATCATGTGCATCAACAGAGTCTCTCACCCATGGCGAGGTCCAGGTCACAATTTTCTAATCAGGACACATCTCCAAACTCTACAAAGTCCAGAGAGTGGGATAACATATCAAGGTGGTCTGAGTATCTGCCTCCTGAAGGTTCTTCTCCTTCGACATCTAACAGCTGGAAGCATAGAGTTTTTGATGTACAGCCAAGTTCGGGATACTCTCAAAAGGCTCTTCATATGGAATGGGTAGTTCAGATGTCCATGGTTGCTGAAGGCCTATTGACTAAAATGTACCGATTGAACAAACAACTTGACTGTCCGGATTTGGCCTCGCATACATTTTCAGAATCTTTTTGGAAAGCTGGGATCCTTCCCAATTACCCAAGAATCTGTACACTGATGTCAAAGAAGTTTCCTGAGCATCCTAGTAAATTGCAACTTGAACGGGTTTGTGTTCTTCCTTTAGCTTGTACGAATTTCCTGCCTCTCCCTGTCTTTACATGTTTTGTTGTGCAGGTTGACAAGCTTGCATTCGACTTTCTCAGTGAAAATGCTGAAGTCTATTTGCAAAATCTAGAACCGTGGATTATGGTTTGTGCTACTGACCTCACCTTGTTGCTGTAAAATGTCTCAGTAGAAAGTTTGATACTGTTTTCCATTGTGATGAATGTGAACCTTCTTGTATTGCTTTCTTTGCATACTGAGGGTTATTTTTCTTCATTTTCTTTTCTCCTTCTCGCTTTAGAATTTAACATGGCATGTGTTGCACGTATGTGAACCACTTAAAGGTTTCAAAAATTTTGGGCTTTTTCTGTGCTATGCATTGATATCGTATTATGTTCACTGATAATAACCCTGTTCTGTACATGGTTCATCCTAAAATAGCCTTACCACGTTGCTCAGGACTCACTAGTATCCATTGTGGGATTCCTTTTGCTGAAGGTGCATAAAACCAATGAATGCTGCCCGTTTTTAGCGGGTGAGCTTCTGAAAATGTCTTTTTTGATGTCTTTTACCAAGAGAAGTCGGTAAATCATTGGTCTCATTGTTGTAGACCATTTATAGCTGTTATGGATCAGATGATCTATTATCTCTCCTGTCTTCCAGATTGAATTGGAAGGGTGACCTGTAGTCGTACCAGTTGTAATTTAATGCCATAAAAATAGGAACATAACAAGGGAATTATTTGAAAGCTTTGTTGTGCTTTCCTCTTTATGTTCCCATGCAACAATCTACTAGTAATAATGGATTACACGATACTACTTCATTCATTGAAATGGTATGTTTTCATGAGGCACAAAACATTTGTTGACCTCGTGCATATTCCCTGTGTCACATTCACTAGTCAAAATTGTCCATTTTTTTAATGTACTGGGTCATCCCCATGGCCAATGTGCAGAAAAATTGACAAGTTTGTAATTTTACGTACATCTATCTATCAGATCAATTGAGGGGCGGGTGTGATTCTGTAATTAATGTTAGGCTATATAGAAAAAAAATTCTCCTACGAAGTCCACGAATAAATTCCTGGTGGACAATGGTTTTGTGAATGGTGGGGGTAAAATTAGGAATGCAAAACGTCATGTCAGAGTATTGCATCCAGTTATTCATATATCTGGCTCTCTGAGAGTCGATGGTCGTCACTGCTTAAGTCAAATGCCTGGGGGTTTACCAAGAACTACTTTGGGTTACATCCCATTATCTTTGTACTCAGGTTTAAGAACACTAGATTCTAGAATCTTTATATATTAATTTGCTCGAGTTAAGTGATCTACTGAGCTGCAAATATGTGTTTAGGATGCAGTAAGAGAAAACATTGCTTCGTAAAGAAAAATGGGACTGTCATAGATAAGGGGCAACTGTAGGATCATAATGTAGAGCTGGTGTTCAAGGCAGGAGAGAAGTTTCTTAGCATAGCCCCATCTGGAAGCTTCATCTCTAACCAGGCCATGCTTAGTATTGGGCAGTCCTGATCTTTCCTGTGATTGCCCTAGGAAAATTCATTTGGGGCAGGGATCTTGTAAACATATGAGCTGGTGTTTCTGAGGTGGTGGTGGCTAGTGACTGGGAATGATTACTGCCAATAACCCTAGTGGCTGTGGCTGGAAGGATAAGAAGGTTCACACATTGCTGATGGTTTGCACTCAGCTTCCTGCTGCCATGCAACAGGCCACCCCTGCATCTAGTCATTTTCACCATAGAAAAAAAACTAATCACAGGGGTATAAATGTAATTTCTTCTGCATTCCTAATATATCTAGGAATAGTTAAAAGTTGTGTGATGGGGGCTGCTTAAAAATTCAAAGGAAATCCTTTCTTGTCTAGGTTCCCTCCGAAAAGAGGATGATGAAAATTTAATGGTTGATTATAGTCCATACCTCTTAGATGCACAGCTACTTTAATTAAGAACGATTGGAAAATCAAGTTCATATGCCTCTGTGAGTGAATTTTATACATCTTTTGTATGTTAGTTGAAACGTTATTTTTGATTTTCTTTACATATATTAATTGTGTAAGTATGAAAGCATTTATTTTATTTTCCCCTCGTCGATAAGCTAATGATGACCCTTGATTGAATTCAGTTTCTTCTTGACTTGATGGCATTTCGGGAACAAGCTCTCCGGCTCATTTTGGACTTAAGTAGTACTGTTATCACGCTGCTGGTTAGTTACTCTCCTTCATTATTGTGAAATCTTATGCATTTGCTGAATTATACATCAACGAGATATGAGCACATGGCTTACCTTTATTTATATTGTGATGCATTTGAATTTTATTAACAGTTACATGAAGGGAATTTATCTGTTTTTTCAGCCCCATCAGAATTCTTTGATCCTCCATGCGTTTATGGATCTGTTTTGCTCCTTTGTTCGAGTAAACCTTTTTTCGATTAAGGCAAGTGTTTCTTCATACCCCATTTCTCCAGATTTTTCAATTTTCAAACGTTTTTTGAAATTTTCTTCTAAAGAGTTTCTTGTTGAATAAGTGCTTCTATTTTTGAATGCATTATCTATCAAATATAATGCTTATGGTTCTGTCAACAGATCCCAAGGAAAATGTTCATTCAAGTGTATAACCTTTTGCATAGCATGTCAAGAAGTGGTCGAGATTTTGAGTTCTACCACAGGTTGGAGTTTTGTTTTTTCAAATTAATTACATTGTCTTGCAAAGTAACTTTTTTGCTTAAACCTTTTGTTTACCTTGGAACTTTGTTTACATTGCATGGTGCATTTTATTGCAGTGTAGTGATTTTTCCCCTTCAAGCTTCCTTTCATCCTTTCATTTAGAAAAGAGGTCATGTGAATGAATAGTGGCAGAAAGTATACTGACTATACATAGCTTGATGATATATATGCCAAAGAAATAATGTTTATCTCTTTTTACTGTGAAACTTTTAAGAAGAACTATATGCCACTATTTTGCATAAGATTTTGAGGTGACCAAGGTGATAATCCACTATCTGCACCAAAGTGGCAGAGTGACATGCTTAGCCAACTTTTAGTTTTAAACTTAGGTTTTTTGATTTCTCAACACCTTGAAATCCCGAATTTCCCATAGCTCTCCTTGTCTATTATTATTCCACCTACATCCGTGCAGAGTTTTTTATTAGTATGTTTGAGTTTCGTGGCCAAGATTCTCTTTGCCGTGGACAGATGCTCTTGGGATATTGTATTAAAACGCGGTTAATCTCGTCGAGTTTATTATCGAGATGAAAATCCAGCCTTAATGGAAATAAAAAGAACACCTATTATATTTACCGTTCCTTTTTTGATCTTGATTTTTTTGTGGTAACATCATAAAACTGTAAATGGAAGAAACTCCTTTGATTGTCATGCTTTTTACTGTTTTTACCTGGAGGATGTACAATGGAAAGAATTCTAGACTTGTTAAAGTCTGCCGTGGAATGATTACGAACTTGATAAACATTTTATCTGCCATGCTTTTTGATCCCCTTTTGGGTAGTCATTATGATTGCTGGTATTGCCTTCCAGTAATTCTGCAAAATATGACTAAAGACATTTTGTGGGACTTCGCAACTCTCTTGTGAGAATGCATATCTAATGAACAAATGTTCTGGTGACACGTCCTCTCAGAAAAGGCTCCAATTTCTGGATGTTGTCTGTAAAGGTATCCAGTAGCTCACAAGCGACAGTCTCCTTTTGTTGAGATAAAGAACCCCAAATTTGAGAAGCTGTGTTCTATAGAATAAACTGATCGAAGCATATGTTTGCCATCTGGCTTCAGTCTCCTTCAGTTTTTCCTCTGCTGCTGAAAAGAGTCGTTTACCAGAAGACCAGTGGGACTATTGTTGCTTTGTCTCATTTCCCTCGGTTCTATCATAAAGTTGGGCATCATCCTACACCCTCTTTTCCAATATAATTGTCAACTGGAGTATCGATATGAACTCATAAAGGAGATCCCTTCAAACATGGATCAACTTGGAGAGTAGATAATTGAACACTTCCTAGCCTTCGATGAATTCAAGAAATGAAATGTTTCATCGCTGCCCCTCTTAAGGTGGGAGAACTTCATTTAACTTGGAAAATATACATTTATACATACTACAAAGATAGAATAAAGCATTGAATGATCCCATCTACCTCTGTGAGCTTTCTTTATTCTTTTCACCTTCGGAGGCAAGAGGGCTTTAAAACCCTGGAATGGTTAGCACTCGCTGAAAGGTTTCTAGTTGGAAAAAATCTACGTTTTGGCACCAATATCATATGTTTCAGTGCAACTCATTCTATAGTTAGAGATTAAAAATGCTGTGACTGGTGAAATTGATTTTGGAGAGGGTACTCTGTGAGTTTCGGGTACACTTAGGTGCCCAAGTGGCCCATTTGGCCCTGCTCAACATTCACTTTCGGGGATTGGTTACATTGATGTGAAAGATGGTTTTTGGGATACACTAATTTTGTGGAGTTTACATGAAACACCTAATTTGGTAACATTGATTTGAAAGATGGCCTTGGGTTTATATAGAAAATACCTGAAACACATGATTGGTATTTTCTGTTTTATGAATTCTATTGGGAAAGAGGTAAAGCCACAACCAAGTCCTGCTGGGAGGGGGATTCATTCTCTCCTAGTTGGCCTTATTGATGCTGTGGATCATCCTATTACTGACTACATGCTATGGGGTTGCCCCTCCGATGATATGCCCCATGTCAGTGGTATCCTGACTTTGTGAAATAGAGGAACAGGGGGAAGAATGATTCCTTGACTCGTGTTTAACTTCATTCTTTGGCGATTGGAGGGTAAGAAGCTTGTCAATTGCTGAGGGGTTGATTCTTTTTGTTGGAAAATCAGATTAGTGATGACGTTGTGTGGACTTGCAAGGTTCTGTCTATTTGTAGACGACGCCAACCATATTACTACTTTATGAGGACGAACGTGTTCTCTTTGGGGGCAAATAGTGCATGATAATGTAATGTAGCTCCCATGATATATTGATATTCTAGTTTTGCATGTTTATATTTTTATTTATTATTGGGAAAAAGATATTCACATCTTTTTATTTATGTGAGTGCATAGATACAAGTTGTTATGCATGATAGTCTTTCATCATTTCTCATAAAAAATTATAAAAGACGAAAATGAGCATATTGATGACAGTACTTGCGCAACTAGACAATGATCATTGAAAATGAAAATGGTGTGGATCACTGTTTATGTAGCCCAGTGTAGTATAACTTAACGATTTTTGGTACTATATGTGAATCACTGTTTATGTGTGCCTTTCTACAAACATTCCCCTACATTTTAGTTTTCCAATGTGAGTTGATACTATATGAATTAAATGCGTGAGAACATTCTGTTGATCTAGTGGAACAAGATTCACAGCTTAAATTTGTTTATTTGATATAACTTTTTTGAACAAAATTGCTGTTTTTGGTCTGAAAATTGTGTGTATTCTTCTTTTTTCCCCATGGATTTCAGGTTGGTTCAGTTCGTTGATTCATATGATCCACCAATAAAAGGTCTGCAGGAGGATCTTAATTTTGTCAGTCCTCGTATTGGAGAGGTCATTTTTTAATTCTGCTATTTGCTGTATTCCTATTTTCATGCAATCTATTTCAGCAAACGTTTTCTTTTAATGTTCTTGTCATAAATACTCCGGCAGAGACCTATCTCATTCTTCTGGTTATGCTTTTTGCTCGCTATAGGAAGTTATTCCAGTTGTTTTCTCAATGTGATTACCACATATCTCTTCTGATGTCTTAAAGCTTTGTGACATTCTTGAGGTATCTAATGTGATGATGCTTGGGTTTTAGCTGTTTCGGAGTGGATGCATGATATTTGGAGAGAAATAGTGTGAGTCTCTGTCCTTGGAAAATCTGTTTCCGTCATTTTGTTGGATGCTCATGCTACTGCGATTAGAGATGTGAGGGGGGATTGGTTTTTGAAATTTGAAAGATATTTGAGTGGGGCTAAAGTCTTGCTACTGGACACTGTTGGTGCACAAAAGCTTAATCTATGGGTAAGACGTGCGAGATGGAGACGTGAAAGTGTTGAGAGCTCACTGTTATCCTAAATGATCTCAAATTTGGGAGGAATAGCCAATGCACTTGTCAGATGTTCTGTTTGACTTTTACTTTAATACTTATATTTAATGGGCTCTTTTTTCTTTTTGTTCTATATCAGGACCTACTACATTTTATTGGAGTAAAAACACTTGATAACTTGTTTCTTAATTGCTCATAATCATCCAGGACCTACTATGGCATGATTTAGTGCTTACTGGCAGATTCTTGCAATAGTCTAGGAATTGTGGAACAAAAGTCAAATTTGAAGTCTTGATGGCTCATCCTGCTTGGCTATTCTTTTGGTCATTTGGAATCAATAGAACAAACAGCCTCTTAGTCTCTAAAGTTGCTTCGAATGACTCTGATGCTGGCATTCTTCTTTGAATAAGTGTTTGCTAGCAACTGGCATGTATTCCCAACTATCTGGAACTTATTGGATAAAATTTATGTCCTTTACACAATGGGAAACGGGAAGTTGTCTTTCATGAAATGTACTGACATCTGCAAATCAGACGAATGGTCGGGCTGGTAAATGCTTGCCCGTCTTGGAAGTTTTTTTTATCAAATAATTTGCAGTATAACGTTTACAGGTATCGCTCGTTGGAATGAGGTAATATAAAAAAAGGAAAATTTTGATTTGTGAAATCTAAAAGATAATGTTCATATTTATGTCAATCTAACACGAAACGAATCTTTATGATTTGTAAACAGGTTTTGGAGGCTGTTGGCCCCTTTATATTTCTCTCAACGGACACAAAGAAGTTAAGAAATGAGGGCTTTCTAAGTCCATTTCACCCTCGGTATCCTGATATACTGACAAACTCTGCTCATCCTATGGTAAGAATTTTTGTAAAAGTGACAACGAATGCTACTTGATGTTGACTTTCTTGGATACCCTTATCTTTGATACCTACAGGCATTCACTCTTTTGGGTTGTATGTCTTCTCTTTGACTTTGTTCAATCTGATTTAATTTTCCGTTGTTCTGCAGAGAGCACAAGACTTAGCCAATGTCACTTCTTACCGAGAATGGGTTCTCCTGGGCTATCTTGTTTGTCCTGATGAATTGCTCCGTGTAACAAGCATCGACATTGCCATGGTGTGTTGTAGCTGATAGTTTATTTTGATGATTGTTTATTCTTCAATTTCGGAGCGTCCATCTGTTTCTGTCTGTCTTCTTAACATATCTTATGTTTTTTGACGAATTCCATTTCCATATGGTGCTATTTTTTATCCAAGTATTATCCGTTGTTGGCCTGTGGGATCCTCTCCTCGGTGGGTCTTATTTCAGACAACTATATTGCAAATATTACTTTGCTTTGCTGTTAAATATGTTCACATATAGAAGCTGTATTCATCTCATTCCTTGGCTCTCTTGCCTGTTTTACCTGTTTTCTAAAGACCACCGAAATTCGTTCTTCCAGACTATATTTCCATATGAAGTACTAATTTTGTTCAACTTATCCTGGATGTGACTTATGGGTGTTCTCTAGGCAATGGCTGCCTTCCACATCTAAGCTGAAAGAACACCATCTGCAGTGATCCGCCATTTATGAAGAACGTTTTCTCCATCAACAGCGCTTTTATTGCTAATTTAGGTTTTATTTTCAGGTTGCATTGAAAGAAAGTGTAATTCTGACATTGTTCAGGGATGAGGTAACTATTTCTTTTCACATGGTTACATTTTTTTTCCCGTTTCCTATATGTTTATGCCCTTTTTTGTTGAATCCGCAGTACATACTTTTGCATGAAGATTACCAGCTCTATGTCTTACCAAGGATTTTAGAATCAAAGAAGATGGCCAAATCAGGGCGCACAAAGCAGAAGGAGGCAGATCTGGAATACAACGTTGCAAAGCAGGTTGAGAAAATGATAGGGTATGTTCACCACAATAGCTTCGAAGAGAGAACTTATTCGGTAGTAGTAGTTTCGTTGGTGCCTTTTCCTCTCTGAATGGATTGTTCTATGTGCTTTGTTTCGAATTTTTGATTACATGATGTAATCATTCTTTTGCTTAACTCGTGTCAATGCTGAGGAACTTGTACTGTGTGGGAAGTTCAAATGCTGACAATAGCTCAGATGGATGATGTACTACCTCATAAAATCTGTGCTGTTATATTTTTAAAATGTAGGCTATCTCTAAAAGTCTTTAAGTATGTGACTTAGCCAAAATTAATGGGATCACTATCATGAGAAAAAAGTTATCTCTTCTCCATCGGGACAAATCGATTGGACATGCCAAGCCATGATCTTTGGGAAGATGGTTTAGATGCGTGAAGAGGACTGTAAATCATGGCTGGAATTTTTATATTAGTATCAATAAAATGAGGTCAATATTTGATCGCCAAGTTTTGTTGAGTAGAGATTTTGGACTAGGTTTTGCTTATAAAAGTAGAAGTTTGCCATGCTACACTGGGGAATTGACTGTGGATTTTGAAAAAGTAAAAGCTTAAACTTACAGACTTTTGTGTGGAGAAAATTCTTCTCATACGTTTTCACATGGCATCACCAAATGATACAAGTCTTGAATAAGAATCTACAACGGACTAGAACGCCCTTGTTGACGATCCTTTACTAAAAAGGTGGAGGATGTGAGGTAACGTAGTTAAGCTAAGGTCAATCGAACGGAATGACTAGAAAAAAAGCCAGGGTCAGTAGACCGAACTAATAGTTTTCATTTCCCATCTCATGGAAAACCCTTTTCACTCCGCTTAACCCTATCTCCTTCTAGGGGTATTTTAGTGATATGTTCTATAGGAACTGGACGATCATATTTGGTCAAGCTTTTTCTCTGAGAAAAGAAGTTCACGACCCGTGGGGCTTCTACCTCCACGAGGCATTGCTCCGTCAGGCTTTCGCCCATTGCGGAAATTGTTATCCCCCCGATATTTCAGTTCTGGAAATCCTTTGCTGGTTGAAAGGGGTGGGAATGTAGGGGGGTTGGCAAGCGGCCATAGTAGGAAGAACGGGCTGGCCCTGATTAAGATTTAAATCTGGGGAGACTTTGTCCTGATTCAGTGGACTAATCCCTATCCAAATTAAGATAAAAGGTTAAATGGAATCCGTGAAAAATTGGAGTCTCTCTTGGATCTTACAGTTTCTAGCTGGATTGGGCTGATAAAAGGATTCTATATTTTCTGGCTGTTGCTCTAGGCATGTTGCCAGCCAGCAATGGAAGAAGAGATTAGGATAGTATTATAAAAAAGGCTAAGAGTCAACTTTTGGATGCTAAAGGTAAATCCGACTATTTTTTCTTCTTACTTCAACATTCTGTTTTGGCCTCCCACTGCTAAATTCTTCTATTTCTGGCCCCTAGATTAATATTCGACCGTATATTTTGCACAATAAAGAGAAAATGCTTTTTGGGATTGATCTTTCATGCATAATGTCAAGACGGTTTGAAAATGAAATACAGATGTGTATGAAGGAAATGACCAGGGGTATTAATTCTTCTTTAATTTTTGTTTACATGGAAATATCGCTAAGAATAAAAATGGAGTGGAAACAGGTGAAGGAGATAGAGTCAGCATGGAAAAGGACAAGACAGAATAAAATAAGCATTGAAGAAAAGTCTATATGAAATGTAAACTTCCAGAACACGTCAAATGAAGACGGGAATATATTATTGTTGGCTCGAAGAAGGCCGAATTTCCAGATTTTGAAGGTGAATTAAAATTTCGACGCCGCATCCATGACTCTTTTCCCAAAAAAGACGAGGCTGAAAGGTAACGAATCTCAGGTCTAATATCGTGTTCAGGAGCTGCTGTTTAAATCAATGACAAATAGTTGAAGAAACCAGCATTTTTGACAGGATTATATTTACACATACATATGCATATGTAGACCAAAGAAACAGTTATGATTGTAGACATGACCAAGAACATTAGAAGTAAAATATATCTGGTTGTTGAAGTTCGTTTTTGCGAAGGTGAATGATAGACTGAGTTGGAAATGTTTAGATAATATATATATTATTTTTGGTGGGGCGTAAACAAAGATTTGATCAGTCATTGCATGAATACGGTCTCAATCACTGGATTTTCTTTCCTCATGGGACTGCAAGAACTCGAGTTTGGGTCAAGGATAGCACTTATACGCACTTTTTATTGTGGGTTAATATTTCAGTTCAATTTGGAATAATGCAGTAGAAGGGAAAACTGAAAAAATTAATGTGGGCCAGAAAAGCCTAGCTCTCACTCATTTTGAATCAGTTGACGATCACTATATTGTTTGAAAAGGACACTGAACGTAAAAAATCCAAAAATTTGAAATCATTAATGGTACTCTTGGAACTGATGAAAAGGCTGCTACGCAAGTTTGAGCTCTTAATATGTCATTAATCTAAGGTGTTCTTGTTCTGGATCCCCCATAATATGTCATTGAGATTAATTCAAACCATGTGTTTTCATTTAGAAAATGCCACGGCAGCTTAAGAATGCATGTTACGCAGTCAACATAACCAAAATGTTTATCTTTAGGCCGGATTGGAAAAGTATTTTGTGCTAGCTTATTTCTCTTACTTTTGCACTCCATTGATATATATGAGAAGAGGACTTCTTGGATTTTTCCTGGTTTAATGTTGGTTTAATGTTGGTTTAATGTTTTCTGGTGCCTGTTTTGATATAATAGTGGAAATTCCTGTAGAAAACAAATTAGTGGACGTTATAACATCCATCGAGATAAGTACATATCTATATATGTGTAAGCAGTTCATTTTCTGTCAGCAGATGAATCCCTGCGCTTGATAGAGATTTCTCTGCGAGTTTGTAGGGCAAGTAGAACTTGTAGCTGTAAATCTCTTGGGTTTTAGATTTCTTTCAAACCTGTGCCTCCTCTCCTTGCTGTATAATCGAAAGCCTTTACTACTATTGCATGTTGCCTGTCACCAAAAAGTAACTGATTCCTCATGTGCACAGCCACCTATGGCACCAGTCTTTCAAGAAAAGTTGCCTTTATTCATGAATGGCAAAATTTTCAATATTTACCATCATTACATCTGCAGCTTTCCAGATCTCTCTCATTTTGACCGTTATATAGTGTCAACAGCCGGGATATTGACTCTCTCTCTAGCCAGTGAGTTTATCTGGTACTGTCTGCAATGAGTGCTCATATGTTGTGGGAAAATAAATGGATGCAAATTTACCTGCAGATTGTTTGTTGTGCTACTATATTATATTTTCTTACCATGGATATTTAGTTATCATATATTTTCTCTAATTCACTTTTTTTTGTGAAGTACTGTTATTTTGTTCGACATTCAATTGTATTTTATATTTTTTGCTCTTTTTCGTTCTTTATTGTCTTTCTAGTGAGGTGCATGAACAAGCACTCGTGTCATGTGTTGCCATACATCGTGAGAGAAGAATATTGCTAAAGCAAGAGATTGGTAGAATGGTATTGTTTTTTGCCGACCAGCCTAGCTTACTTGCTCCTAATATTCAGGTAAGCGTTACTATTTTTGATGGTTCTACTTTAATTAGCCAGTTGCCTTTAAGTTATCATAGCGTATGAATGCCACATATCGATGCAGGGATTTGTTAGTTTATTCAACATCTACTTTCACTTTGTTGTCTACTACCTCTGGGTGAACATTTATTTTCCGATCCAAAGTATTTCTTTCCTTATATAAGTTTGAATTCGTGCTGAAATTGATTTTACAGTTGTGTTTATATACTGTTTTTCTATTGGAGAATGAAAGCCAGATTGTGGTAACTTTTGAGGTTCGTTTAGAAATGCTAATTGTTTTTAAAAGCATTTGAGTAACAGAGATTATTTGGTTGATAATAGTAAAATGAGTTCGAGGAAGCTTTGAGGCGGTGACCTAAAAGCATATTCTCGAAATGGCTGGAGGAAGGTCTGATATTCCCGTGTAAAGTCACCATTTTACACCCGACTTTAATACATGGTCAGAAAATATGATGACGTTTAAAAGTCTAAAAACCAAATAAAGTTCGTTTTCATCAGGTTTTGTCTAGGCTAATTGATTAATAGCTGAAAGAATATTTTGATTTCCTATACTAGAAAACACGAATGTGACCTCAGAGAAGAACTGATTCAACATAACATGTAGGACATTTCATAGAATATATTGTTGCCATTTACGCCATTTCTTCCTGAAAACATTAGTATGCTGTGAGTTTTTTTAACAATAGATAGCGGTTTTTCATTCAAGATATTGGGGTTTAATACTCAGAATACCATGGTTTGTTTGTTACAAGTTATTCCATGATTAACATCAGAGAAAAATACCATCGCCTACTGTCTTCGCTAAACCTTCATAATTAATCAGAATTTCCTCTTTCTTTAATACGTGGAGTTAAACTATAATATCATCTCTATGGATAGAAACAGAAAAAAAAAGGAAACAGATAAGATTCCGTTTTGCCGTTTTCTCTTCTGCCTAGAGAGCCAGATCAGCTTTTGTTCTAGTCTGACAAAGAAGCCAGTCTAACTAAAACTATTAATCAGTCTCATATAGATAATTTGATTCCATTCTGGTTGACATCCGTTCATTTAATTCGAAGGAATAATTTACTGTTTTAAATATCATCTTTTTGGTTCTGCTGCCTCCTTTATTTATTCCATGTTGGTGAAATGGAATAAGCCCTATTTTGAACCGAATACTTGCATATGGCTTCAACTTCACATGTCAACACACAGTGTAGGGATCAACTGAGGTAGTTTCCACTTCTATTTTATTTGTAAGCATTAACACATAGCTTACACTTATATTCCATTTAAGATTTATTTATGGATACATAAAGCCTCTATTCATATAGTTTCATATTATATCTTTGGGACATCAAATATTTTCCTATTATATACATTTTAATGCTTTATTTGGAAAATAATTTTGAATGTTGATGAAAGCCAAGAACTTGATTTCTATTGATTTGTTCTCTTGGTAGCCCGAAGTGCAAGATTACTGATCATTATGCTGTTCAGCATTTGTAGACATAATTTATCGCTTTATCTATGTGATCTGTAACAAAGAATATTTCTTGAACTGTAATATTCCTATTGTAACAGACTACTTAGAAATTTGTCCATGCAAAATGTTACCGTTCACTTGCTCGATGCAGATGGTTTTCTCAGCCTTGGCTTTTGCCCAGTCTGAAATCATTTGGTACTGCCAACATATTAGTATATCGTCTTCAGGATCTAAAGCAGCAAGGACGGCACCTGCTGACATTGTAAGTTACAAAAAGCCGAGATATTGGATAATTGTGTAATTATGAAGTGCTATCAGCAATAGTTATGACATTTCCGTTGCAGGATGCAGCAGACCCAACAATTGGTTTCTTGTTACATGGAATGGACAAGCTTTGCTGCCTAGTACGCAAATACATTTCAGGTGAGGTTTTCATGTATTGATAAATGAATATGTTTGACAATGATGTTCAGATTGCACGGGCTCTTTATGCTCCATGCATTTTATTCGCAGAAGCTATGGCTTTTGACTTGTAGCATGATTATCTTTAATTTGTAATTTGATGGATCTCGCAGGTTAAGATTTTATTGTTCATTCTTGTGGCAACCTATGCCTTTGGAAATATTAATAAGGATGCGCTTTATATCCGGAAACTCTGAAGTTTATTTGGAAACTTTATTCCAAGATAATGTGTACGGTAGGAAGAAAAGCTAGTTGACAAACTGAGAAGAATGGAGGACGAAGAGAGAACAGGAAAGTAGAAACAACCCCGTTGAACAGTTTGCCTCCCCTCATAGGGTTAAAATAAAGAAACCCGTAGTTCCCCTTTATTAAACACGAATAATTCAGATTGGTCTAATAAGTGGAGTGCAAAAGGTCTCTCCACTCACTAAACCAGGCATGATTTACTTGGTGTGGGTATGGCTTGTGGAATTTTTCTTTTCTCACGTCGCAATGGTTTGTGGAAGTTTTCATGTTTATGGTTACCTTGATTTTCTTGTTTAACTAGAGGTAACCTTTTTCAAATAAAATTATAATTTTTTTATTCTTTTTTCTTTGAACAGCCATAAGAGGATATGCGCTGTCATATTTGTCATCGTGTGCTGGAAGAATACGCTTCTTACTGGGTACCCCGGGAATGGTAGCCCTTGATTTAGATACCCCATTGAAGGGTTTCTTTCAGCAAGTTGTTCGTTGTCTTGAAAATGTACCGAAGCCCCAGGGAGAAAATGTCTCCTCACTTAAATGTGACCTATCTGTAAGTAGCATATGTGTTGTGCATCTTTTTCTCCATTGGCTTCTGAGAATTCTCCTTAAATTGAATTCGTGTGGTTTATAATTCAAAGTGATTTTATTGCAATCTGCCTCGTGGGAACTTCCTTTAGTCACATCATTTTTGACAAAAACGTAAGTTTGTACCAGTGATGGTAAATCCTAGTGGCTGTTTTGCTCGTGATACTAGGAGTTCCCTGTGCTTATCAGACTTGCAAGGAAAAAGGATTCTAATTCCCTCCTGAATACTTACGAAAGTATCTACTAGACCGAATTGGTCCGTATGGGCCACATTCACTGCAATCTGCTGACTCCGGAATCATTAACCAAATTTATGGTTACTCTGACCCAGTCTCATCTGGACCAGCCAGTTCCCAAAGTTGGATTCTAGCAACAATTGATAAGGAGCGTGATAAGTTGCTCATAAAATGCAAGGTTTCCTGTAGTAACTAGTGGTATATATTTTGATTGTTTCGAGAATTCAATGGACGAGAAATGGTTGAAATCTTTCCTTGGAAAAATTATCCTTTGTATGGCAACGCCTTAGTTCATCGTGGAAGACGGTTGCTACAGTGGTTATTATGGATGATATTTACATTAGTCAGAACACCTATTCCTTGCTCTCCTTCTATGTGCAGATAACACTATAGAATATGAAAATGATGATGCAAACAATATTCCGATTTTACTCAGTCATTTGGTAAGTTCAACAACGTTTAAAGTTCATGCTGTCAACTTTTGTGAAAAATCTAAAGTCCAGGAATAGGCGGGAGGAATGTAAACCTTTTGTAAACCTAGTTTGCTGAGATATTTTATCTATTTCCAAGACACCAGCAAAAGTTGCAAAAAATGGAAGCTATTATAATTGATTTTATGTGGAATTTCGCAAATAAGGAGACAGGATTCCACTTAAGGCATTGCGGCTTTTTGTGGAACTAAAAGATAGGTGTTAAATTGAGTAAAACGAACATTCTTTGCAAGCTCTTTTTGCTAAATTGCTATGGTTAGTGGGATAAGTATCTCTTTCCAAAGAAAATTTATGATCAAAAAATATTTGGGAATGGGGCCTCAGCTTCAGTATACTTTCGCTCTTGCTCATAATCTGTCATTTATGTCTGTGTCGTCTGAGCTGGGTGAAAGTAAAGGCATCAATTCTTGAGGACAGATAGCTTCAAAATGGGAAAAGTTTTAGTAGCTTTAACAAGAAAGGATAAATAGGAATATACGCATTGAGGTATTTCAGAGCGTGATTATGGTGGATGGGACTTCCAAATGATTATGCATAAAGGAAAACTAGCTTAGCATGCCAAATGCCATTTTGTAATTTAACTAGTTATAGTGGATGAAAATCATGGAGATTAGGTTTGGAGATAGAACAGTAAAGAAGACTGATAAATGTGTATTCTGTATTATAGTGTGTTTCTCTTGGATATGCTACTATTGAACTATTTCGGAATGCTATGTTCAGTACCCTTCGCATTGAGTGATGCTTTCAGATAAGTTCTCATGCAGAATTGGGTATGTGCCCTGCATACTGAAGAATTGAACACATTTTAAGGATCTATGACGAATCATTGCCGTGACTATTTAATCTGTGGTAGAGGTTTCCAGAGGACATTTTATGCAAGGTGTGTTTTCTTTTGGGCTAGTATTCTGCTGGATTAATTTTGCAGCTTGTGACAAGTCTCATCGTATCTTTTATTCTGTTTATTAAACTTTGTTTTTATTTAATTACTGTTTTAGTAGTGGCTTTTTTTAACATTAAACGCAAACAAATTATTGTGTTTCAGTAACAGTCAATCATTATTTAATGAATTTAAGGATTTTCTGAACCTGATTATCTAGGGCTTCAGTATATCTGTTTAGTACAAATAGGAATGTATTGTAATTTATTGCAGTTTTTTGATTTACGTTTATGTTGCATTTTGTGTACTAATGTCTTTAGGATCTACGAAGGCACTGGCTATCAATATTAATGATTGTGACATCATCTCGGTCTTCAATAAACATACGTCACTTGGAGAAGGCCACAGTCTCTACTGGAAAGGAGGGTTTATTATCTGAAGGAAATGCTGCCTATAACTGGTCCAGGTTTGTTTCTCCCATTGTTTACATTTCAGGTTAACGACAGTCGGATGACGAAGTTCAAAATCATCCAATCGATGCCCGTGCCAATTGATATTAATGATGTTTAAGTACTTGGAGCTTTCTCCTTAATCCAATATGTTTTGTTTTCCTGCAGTAAAAAATAATTTGTACTGTAATATTTTTGTAGGGGATTCTTTGGTTACATGTTGAAAGAAATTTCATGGTGTCGCATAAATCGTATCCCAATTCCTGCCAAAATTATTCAGGCTACCAAAATTATTGAGTGATATGTATCTCTCCAGAGATCTTAGCAATGTTTTCCCTTTGGTTTTCCAAATGTCTGCTAGTAGGTAGGGTTATTAGATACGGTTTCTGAGTGACATTTTTCTTGTTGCAAGTTGTGTTTTTATATGCTAGAACTAATTCTAACTCATGACATTTTCAACCTTCGAGGATTTTCTTTTAGGTTTTTGTCTGAGAACATGAAGGCATGTTAATTTTGTAATTCCTCTGTTAGAGATTCCTGATATGTACTGTCATAAAGGAATAACGTGGCATTATTTTACCCCTTGAATTGTATTTTTCTACCAGATCACTCATTTAAAGGGAAGCCTTTTTATTTCACTTTTTCTTCGCATTTTACAAGTTTTCTTGAATAATCATACTATTTTCTTCGGTGGGTAGCATATGAAAAGGTTAGGATGACTGCTGTATTATTACTAACTTTGTTAATTTGGGATATTTAGCAGATATACATTTTGGTTTCTGACTGCGGTTCTATAGTTTTGGTATTTATAGTTTGTATATCCATCTGAAATGCGCTCATGGATCTTTAACCTAAGGCATAAGAAGTCATCTTGTATATACCACTTCTAATCATCCGTATGCAGCAATTCGGTAAACCCCAGTTCTGTTTATTGGTTCCCATATTGCCTATGATTTAATAGCTGCGTTATAGACACAGTTCAGTTTCAAGATGTACAAGTTGCAGCAAATACGAACCAAGAATTAACAAGTTACTTTCAACTCCATGATTTATTGAAATGAAATATGGATTATTTTTGCACGACGTGGCAGGTGTGTTGATGAACTTGAATCCCAGCTATCGAAGCATGGAAGCCTCGGAAAGCTGTATTTCTATCACACCCATCTAAGTACGGTAAGGCACATTATCCTTCCTACCTCAGGTGTTCTGGTCTTCCAAATATCTGGTAAGAGTGCTGGCTAAAGTGTCTCAGAAGGGTCATAAACGGTTCTATTTACATCGCCCCCACCCATGAATATATTCAGCTATAAAATGTTTAGTGTCTTTACCCTTTTTCAATTTGGATTTTTGTTAGAAGGTAAATAATATTTAAGAATAAAGAAAACATTGCTTTGATAAAAACATAAAAGATAGCTTAATCTTTGCCATGCTTGGTTTTTTTTTTTAACATTTACAGTTATAAGGATGCTATAAATATCTTTAGGATAGCGCAATGCAAGGTCTGTTAGTTCTTGAATCCTTGATGTTCACTATGCTAATTTAGATTGGAAAATGAGGTGAAACATGGGGGAAATCGATTTCTTTTATCAAATGTAAAAGACATAGCATACCACCTTCTAAAGTGTCTTTCGAAACATGGCTATATTCTCGTTTAAGAGTGGTACTTTTTAAGGGGGTGGCTAAAAGATGGACAATGTTGTACTCGGATATTAATTTCACTGTGCTGGCTTCAGATATAATATTTTATGCCACAGACAGAAGTTTTATAACTGCCTAACGGAGAATGCTCCCGCTAATCATTACTTTGAGCAATAATTAATGAAGCATTCGTTTTGCAGTTTGAAAGTTGTAATGTTGAATTTAGGTCTTTAGGAACACGATGTTTGGGCCTGAAGGACATCCACAGCACTGCTGTGCATGGCTTGGAGTAGCAAGTAGTTTCCCCAACTGTGCTTCTTCTACCGTCCCTGAAGAGGTAGGCACACCTATTTGTATGAAACCTCTTTTCTTCAACCTTCTGGACTTGTTTGATGTACACATTTTTTGTTAGTTTTGTGAATCCATACTAGTATATTGGAATGCCCGTTATTTGTTTCGTAATTTATGACTTCTGATTGGATTACCGTGCTTTGGATAATAACCTGATAATTAAGGGACTTTGGCATCTTTGCTTATTTCACATTGAAAGAGGAAGAATGCCCTGTTCACAATCCCAGAAAGAGCAGTTTGGATCATTGTTTTGAGTGCATGAAACTGCAATGTTATTTTTCTTTTGGGCTTCGTTACTAACTTTAGCCTACTGATGACTTAGAGGCTATACTAGTAACTTTCCTCACTCCAATTTCCACAATGAAGGCTGTTTAAGTGCAACCTCAAAATTGATTGTCCCAAGTTGTTGAGGAAATGTTACCAAAATCGATTAAACTTGGACAATTGAGGTGCAAGGCTTCTATTGTCAGTTTTTAATAAAGCGTTTTCTTTGATGTATAAGGACTTTATTATCTATGCAACATTAACTTGAATGTTTTGTTAGTTAATTAGAATACTGAGTGTTTTCCCTCTTGGCATTCAACTTGAGGATCCTGCTTTCCTTTTATATTTGTCTGTTGTTGACCACAGGAAGTTTGATTCCTGGTCAATTGCTCCATTGAAGGGTGAACCCCTTCTAACATTGATCACCTGAATAACATGAAACAATGATGAGAACCTGACTCTTTCGATGAGCCAGATGGTTTCTCTTACCTCTGTTCGCTCTCAATAATGTTGTTAACTACTTCTACGTACGCCTTGAAGATTCCGAGCATCAAAGCACTTATTATTGTAAACTTGCATTTTATCTTAATGCGGTTACGTGGTGATTCTGCAATACTGACGAAATTTTGTGTAATATGTGCTGGAATGCATTAATCGTCTTTTTTACCTGATCCAATATGATATCATTCTTCAAATTACCTCATTAGTATATAAAACTTCGTTTGTATACTCAATAAATCGGGTAATTTAGTTCCGAAATAGAACACGTTTAAACTAATTTAAAGTTAGTCTAAGGGTATACATCTCACATGAATATAAAGTTCATTTGAAATTCTTGTTATCTTACGAAAAAATGACAAAAGATCTTATACGTTCATATGAGATGTTCAGTTTTCTTCTGGCAACTGTATATTTATAGACATTAACTGTGTCCTATGGCTAGAAGGTCAGTGTTATTATCTTACGGTCACAGTATTGCTTTATTTACATATTTTCACAGTAAGAAATCAAGATTACGAGTAGAGGACACTAGTTATTTGAAATCTATTTTAGGCTAAGTTGATCGCTAATGAACTATTCAAAGATATCATTTGCCAAATCTTCAAATTTCACCATTAGTATCTCTCTACATCAATTCAACTATCCATATCTGATATTTTCGTTTACTGCTGAGAGACTGTGAATTAGAAGACAGTAAAAATGATCAAACTATTATTTCTGTGGGCTAACCAGCTGTCAAAAATGAGTGTCTCATTGAATTCTTGTAACTTTGTGCCTGAAAGATATGACTTGCATTCTTATTTTTATTATACATTTGAATAATTCTTTTTGTCAATTCCTTCATTTCATGAGTCCTTAGATGTAAACCCTACAGAACTTCTTAAAAACCTTGTTTATCATGAGCCACTAGTCACTTGCCATTCTTGTTATTTGATCGTCCCTTATTTTGATATTTTTGATCTAATGTTCTAGATTGACCACCCTACTTCTCAGGAAATGCGTTTGGACTTATTCTTTTATGCTTTACATTGTAGTCAATCCCTTGCCCTTTATTGATAGCTTGTTTGATATACTTTGTGGATCAAAACACGAGCATAACTAACTTAGTTTTCGTATGTGTTTTATTTTTACTATGCTTAATTACGGGTATAAAAGGCTCTCTTTAATTTAGTGCTGATCAACTTAACTGAAATCGGGTCAACATTATGTTCATTTTTAAAACAAATGATTCGAGCCTTTTTGAGGTCTCGACTTCAAATTGAGCTTCCTCATTACAAAGTTGATGACAGCCACTCATACCAAAAGTTGGAACTTTTGATAGTTGGTGTTTGGACAATAATTGCGATTATATTGACCCAATGAACAAGTCATGACAAAGACCTCAGGATGCCAGCTAAATTTGATTGAAATATGATTCTGGGACTGCCAGAATTGACGGGTGGCTAAACAGAATATAATACGCTAACTCTTTGTTTTCATGCTGGCCTTTATAGTAGTATGCCTTTGCTTGTGAAGATTAAAAGTTGAGGTCATGTATGTGTTAGTGGTATATAGACTTGGGGCATTGTGGAACTTTCTTCTATGATTATTCATTTGTTTTTTTAAATGCATATAATCTTTCTTAGCTTGTTGACGCTAGATGAACCTATTAATAGTGCTGTTCTTGTACTTCAGGTGAATAAAATTGGCCGGGATTCTATCTCTTATGTTGAGTCACTCATTGAATCCATCATGGGTGGGCTGGAAGGGTTGATCAACATATTAGACGCAGAAGGAGGATTTGGTTCTCTAGAGATTCAGGTGTTGTACTTTCTGTTACCTTGACCTTTGTTATACAACACGTTGCTGTGCCCTGAATTCGGCTCATTCTTTCCATGTTTCAGCTAACGCCAGATCAAGCCGCTATTCGTATGCTGCATGGAATAAAGATATCAATATCATCCATTAAATCTGCCAAGGTTATTCCTGGCGTGTTAGTGCCTGGACTGGAAAGCTACCCAGAAAATAGCAACTCCGTGAAAATGTAAGCCTGAAACTGCGGCACTTGATGATTTCTTCACAGGCTTTGTGTTAACGGCTGTTTGATCGGTGGCAGGTTGGAGGCTGCAGTGCAGAGGTTGACAAATTTATGTTCGGTTTTGAATGATATGGAACCAATATGTGTTCTAAATCATGTTTTCGTCCTGCGAGAGGTGAGCTACCAATACTCGGAATTTTTTCATAGAGTTTCTGACATTTGTTAAGATATCTGACAAGATGTTATCCTGCCACTGTCAAATGATGGCATGTTTAAATGTGGGGTGCTTTTTTTCTTCCTGCTGTTGTCATGAAGAATGCCTCATATTTTTCAGAAATTGTAGAATAATGTCCATACATCTGATTATATTGTTACTAAAATAAAGAATATTTCAGAAATAAAACCATACCCCATTATATGTTATTTTATGTTCTTGCCCTTTCCTATTGTACATATGTTCTCTAAACCGAAGCCCTGATAAACACTGCGAAATTGTTGGCCTACGACCTTCTCTCTATATTCTTGGGACTCAGTTTTGTCTCTTATCATTATCATTACCATGATCCTCCTATCATCTGCCAAAATTCTAACTAATTTGTGTTGGTGTGCCAATCTCAGTCCCCCCATTTACTCATATTCTACATGCCTAAGTCTGCCTTTTTCTTTGTTGCCTTAATCCATGTTTAATTGGATATCCCTTTTCATCTCTTGGTATCATAAAAATGCTGATATCTCTTAACAAGTGCTTATTCCAGTCTTATTTCCCTATGCCAAAATCATCTTAAAGAACTTTCATAGCCTAAGCTTATATGATATCTGTTCTAGTTGGCATTGGCTACTGGCTGGGATTCTTGAAAATCAAGTCACATAACTCTTCTCATGTCTGAGTTGCACAAGGCTGATGAAGATGGGCTCCGTTTTTATTTATTGAGTTTTTTTGGTTACACAAAATACGCTGTTCTATCAATTGAAATTAAAACATGAGACCGATAAAAGAGTGAAACATAATATTGATTAGTATTTTTATCCGGTCACAATAGCTAATTTATCATAAATATATGCTTCATATCCATCCAAATATTTTAGCATAGCATGAAGTCTATATAAAACTATATCTGGAAGATGTGCCACAGAGAACCATGTTCACTGTTTTGTATCCCATCAATATGGTATAAAAAAATATGCATTAAAAGTTCATTCCTTTTAATGCATATTACCTGAGATTGCCACAGTTGATTATGGATATGTCAATACCAGTATCAGACCATGGTTATGATCTATTTTCATTTTCTCTTCAGTACATGAGAGAATGCATTCTTGGAAACTTCAGAAGGAGGCTTCTTTCAATCTTGAAAACAGATAATGGTTTGGAGCGCCCTTCAACCATAGAATCTTTGATACGAAGACATATCAGCATCATCCATCTGGCCGAACAGCACATAAGCATGGATTTAACAACCGGAATCCGTGAAATTTTGCTGTCAGAGACCTTCTCTGGCCCTGTTCATTCCTTGCAGACATTTGAGAAATCCACAAGCCAGCCTACTGGATCGGCTATAGAGGTTGTATGCAACTGGTACATTGAACATATTGTCAAGGATGTATCGACCGCTGAAGTTATATTTTCTCCGCTGCATAACTGCTTTAAAAGTTCACAACTCATTGGAGGATATTTTGCTGACTCGTTCACTAGTACTGAAGAACTGAAGTCCTTATTTCGTGCCTTTGGTGGGTATGGATTTGACAAATTTGACAGGATGATGCGAGAGCATATGGCTGCTCTTTTGAGCTGCATTGAGGCGACATTGCTATCCAATTCTGAGGTGCTTGAGGCATTTGCAGGAAGCATGAGCTCTCCTGATCGGCTAGAAAGAGAGAAAAGTTTCAAACAAATAGTGGAGATGGAGAGTGTGGTTGGTTTCTGTATCCAGGCAGGTCAAGCAATAGCATTCCACAGGCTTCTCGTAGAATCTGCTGGAGCTGTCCTGGAAGAGAATGCGCCTCTGATTGTCACATTAGTTTCTTCGGTGAAGAGTCAGTTGCCTGATGAGATACCTGAGAAGGATGAAATAAGAAGGTTGAGGTCGGTTGCAATTGATGCTGGAGAAACAGTTGAACTTGACACTGAATGGGTGCATTCCATCATGGCAGAGAGGGGATCTTTCGATAATGGTTCATGGAGTTTGCTTCCCTATTTGTGTGCCTCATTCATGGTATCAAGTGTTTGGAACACGACGTATTTTGATGTGAACATTGGGGGCTTTAATAGCAACGTTCAATGCTTAGCGAGGTGAGCATACCTTCTTTCCATCTGTTCTCAAAATTAGATGGATAGTGGACTACGTTCTCTTATGTTTGTGTTTCTAAGATTTTGACGAATCTAATCAAGGAATAAACGACCGAATATGAGTTTTTGCATTCAACAGATGCCCATATGCGTTATTTAACTTGGTTATTAAGAAGTATCCTTTCATGAATGGTGATGCTTTTCTCCGTGAAAATATCATTTCTTATGTGGTCGGCTTTCCATTGAAGTTATGCCAGTGTTTTCATGAGGTCTAGATATACCCACATTGTTCCTTCACCCAACGTTGACTTTCTTTCCAAAGGCAAAATATTATCCATCCATATGTGCCCATCTAACAGTAGACCTGAAAGAATCAGACTCAGGCACTCTTCCTATGGGCCATTTTACCACCCGTCTGTCACAATCAAGATATAAACTATCCAATGAACATCCATTCATTTCATTGTCAGAAATATACTGAGAATTCTGCTCAGGCCTTGGGTCTTTTATGGACCATGTAGGTATGGCACTATGCCCATTGTTGTGGTACAGTCCATTGGGAGCTGACTCCAGTTTCTGCAGGTGCATCAGTGCTGTCATCGCTGCAAGTGAGTTCATACGGTCAGAAAAGAGTGAACTACAGAGGCAATCTCTATCCAATGGACACGGCAGTGAGATGGAGCCTGAAACACTTACTCGAACATCTGTTCAAGCAAATATCAAGTCTGCAATGCAGATGTATGTGAAATACTCCGCAGGGATCATTCTCAGTTCATTCACTGAGAGCAACAGGTACTCTCGAAACCATATAGTGAATACTACTGCAGTCTCTAAAATTAAAAAAAAAATAAATCTAATTTTCTGTAGCTTCCACCGACTTTTAAGAACTGAGGATTAACATATCCATTAGCTCCTCCGGCAGCATCATGAAATGAATCTGCCATTAAAGAAACAATATATTTCCTTCTTTTTTCTATAGTGATCAATTTTCCCTGTTTCCAACTGTGGATTTTCATGTTAGCGGCACTGTTCAGTGTCCAGTCTAAGAGATTCAGCTCTGAATGTCTAAACCATCTGGCTGCGTAAAGGTTAGTCTGTTTATAATCTGATCTTCTTATACCTTCCTGCAGGACTCATCTTGTTCCGAAGCTGACATTTCTGGACCACCTCTGCCATATTTCCCCTTACCTACCAAGAAGCGCCCTGGAGCTCCATCTCCCCTACACACTCCTGCGCTCGATATACCACCAGAGCAATGGAAACCCGCCGCCGGCGTCCCTCGACATCCTCTGTCCATCTCCGCGGCAGTCTCCTCACATCTCCCTCGCTCATAATTCCCCGAGGCTCAGACAGAACCACAGCGATCTCGCCCAGTCTAGCTTCCAGGATTATCCGGGCTACCACGCTGCACAGGGCTACCGAAGAGAAGCAACCATTCTGTATGATGTAGACGGCGCCGCCCGCAGGGCCGAAGAGCGGCAGCACCGGCGGCAGGGAGCTCCTGCAGACGGCGGCATGGGCCGGAAAGTGAAGTTTGTCGACGGCGCTGCCAGCGGCAGCCGAGGAGGCCTCAGCCCACTGCCACGGTTTGCGGTTTCAAGATCTAGCCCGGCGCCGAATAAGTAGTGGGATTGATCTGATCAAGCATGTGAGACGTGGGTTCACACGAAGGTGGTGTCTTCTCTCAGTGATCGAGGCTGGATTTATTAGTGTGGATTCCTGGCAAGCTTGTGTGGATCTTCTGTACAGGGAGGGAGCTTGGTCGCCGCCGCCAGAGTTCAGCCTTGCCTTATCTGCTGCTCCCAGATTTCAGGAGGCGAGGAGGGTTTTCATTTCTGCATGGGGAAATCGCCGGTGTTTCTAAACCTTCTGTGGGAACCCCCTTCGATAGCAGAATAATTATATGTACCACTGCTTTTTGAGGAAGTTTTAAACGCAAGTGAAAAGAACCCCAACTGAGAAATTTGTGTAGACAGTAAGTAATTTCACTCTCTCTCTCTCTCTCTCTCTAGCTAAATCTATGGGCCACACCCCCGCCTAGAAGTACTCAAAATCGAGGTCACTAGCGTCGCTCTTGTCCCCTCCTCCACCTCCGCTGCTCTTCTCTCCGCCGCCGCCGCTGCCATCCAGACCCTTCTTCTCCGGGAGGGGCGGCGGCGGTGGCTCCTTGCTGACAAATTGCGTGAGGTCAATGGGCTCCGGGACGTGGGGAGGAAGGGCGCTCCTGACGAGCGCCCAGTTGACCCCTTCGAAGAAAGGGTGCTGCTTGATCTCCGTGGCTCCCCGCCTGCAGGCGATCCTCTTCTGCGGGTCCTTCACCAGCAGGCCCTTTATCAGGTCCCTCGCGGCGGCGCTGACCGGCGGCGACTCCGGGAACCTGAGCGGCTGCCCCACCACGTTGAAGAGCGTCGCCCTGTTCCCGGAGCCCTTGAACGGCGTCACCCCATGCAGCAGCTCGTACAGGAAGATCCCCAGCGTCCACCAGTCCACGGCGCTGCCGTGGCCCTCCCCGCGGATTATCTCCGGCGCCAGGTACTCGTGGGTGCCCACGAAGGACATGGAGCGGGCGCCGGTGGGCTCCGCCATCAGCTCCGGCAGGGTGCCGGAGGCGCCGCCGAGCCCGAAGTCGGATTTGGACTTGCGGTTCTTCTTTGGGAGCAAGCGGGGGAAGAGGACCGACGGGTGGATGCAGCCCTGGAGCGGGTGGTGGCTCTCGCCGTCGGGGAAGAGGCTTCCGGACCTGACGAGGGTGGGGCTAACGATGCAGCGGAGGGAGAGGTCGAAGTCGGAGAGCATGATGTGGCCCTCCTCCCGGACGAGGACGTTCTCGGGTTTCAGGTCCCTGTAGATAATGCCCAGCATGTGGAGGTACTCCAGGGCCAGAAGGACTTCCGAGGCGTAGAACCTGCCGGAGAAGGTGCAGTGCAATGCATGCATGCATATGGTGAGGAAAAAGGATCTTCCAACTAAATAACTGGAAATTATGAGAGCTGTCCCAGATCCCTAAAACGGAAATTAATAGTGAGAGTGATTATTTCCCTTTATCAGGAAAAATCATGAGAAAACAAGATCATATTTGTTTTTCCAACAATCTTGCACTAGAAGAGTATATGCCCATTTGAATCTCCTGATTCAGTCGTGCATGGATGGGTACGGAACTCGAATCCCCCCCGAACAAAGAATTCGGATGATGATCGAATGAATAATACCTACGATACGGCGCAAGAACAAAAAGAATAACGTGTAGAAAGGATATTACTCAGCTTCAATTTTATCGCTGGATTTCATTCATAGAAGGCGAGATGATCGAGCAGCTCAACCCAAAATAAGTCAACGGCTAGCGGATCGAGTAATCCGAGGTTTCATCCATCTTGTTATTTTAGTATGGTAAATCACCGTGGGTGGCGGATGGGAGACCAGCACAGAATCTTACCGGGCAGCCTTCTCGGAGAAGTGCTTGCTGGGCTGCCGCTGCCGGAGGGAGTGCAGGTTGCCGCCGCAGCAGTACTCCATGACGAGGCAGTAGAACTTGTCGGTCTCGAAGTGGGAGTAGAGGGTGGGCAAGAACGGATGGTCCAGCAGCCCCAAGATCTCCCTCTCCGTCTTCGCCCTGATCAGCTTGTTTCTACTGGCCAGGGAGGCCTTGTCCATCACCTTCATGGCGAAGAAGGCGCCCCCCGTTCCCCTCAGCTCCACCAGGTACACGCTCCCAATGTCTCCATAGCCGAGCCTCTTTAGCAACCGGAAGTTGCTTAGTCCCAGCGGCGACTCTCTCTCGCTCGTCTCCCTTATCGCCTCCCACCTCCTGTCTCCTCCCGTGTGCCGCCTCACCGCCGCCACCGCTCCCCTGCCGGGTGTCGTCGCCGGCTCCGGCGTGGAGGGCGAGCCGGCGAGGCCTGCTGGGCTCGGAGGGCCAGCAGGGCTCGGAAAGCCTGGGATTCTCGTGGTGGGTGTGCTCATAATGGTGAGGCCCTCCATCTTCCTTTTCAGACTGGAGGACTTGGCCGCCGTTGCGGCTCCGGGTTTGTTCCTCGTTGCATCGCACGCCTGCCCGTCTGATGACATCTTCGCCTCCTTTTCGATCTGATCTTGAGGTTTTCTGACCTGGGAATGGATCAGATGGCGATTTCCATGACGCGGAGACGAAGGGAGGATCTTGGATATGATGAAAATAAATAAATTAGGAAGAACAGTGTATGATGATCTCTCTTCTCTTGTCCTGAGGCTTCTTGGCCTGCCGGTGAACCCGTTTTCATGGATAGATCGTCAAATGGGAGAATCTCGGAGAGGAGAAGATGACGACTCATCAATGAGAGATGAGAGAAGAAAAGAGAGAACGGTTCGAACGATCGTTATCTTGATGGACGCGTACCTCGGACGTGGTGAAGTCTCTGTTCATCATTTAACGGCGGCTGAGATGGCTGACAAACATGAAAATTGAGTGACAAGGGATAGGACAAGTTGAGGAGGTTGAGGGCTCGTCGTTTCTCTCGGCTGGTCGTATCTCTCTGCGTCTGTTATCGTCAATCCTCTCTTTCCCTCCAACCCATGGACATCAGAGTCCTTCCTGCTCGCTGCTAAAAGGATGAAGGTGGCGATCTAGCCAAATGGAAATGATCGTTGCCAAGAAAAGACTACGGAGGAAGATAAAATGGCCGGTCAAGTGCACGCCTTCCGACTCGAGATCCCTACAAGCCCGGCTAAAACACAAGTTTGGAGGCAGCTGACGTAATAACTTGCGCTGAATTGCATGGGGGAAGGGAGGGGGAGAGCTTTCATCGTTGGACGAGAAGACCCTTCGAACCATAGAGACGTTATCATATTCATCCCCTGGGACTCACAAAATTGTAGTCTACGAACCCTTTCGTTGTCTTGGGAGTGATGTTTCCAAGGAACATAATAACTAAGTGCAAAAGAGGATATCATGATGGGCGTGCCTACAAATTTATCCAAGGCTTATACATATTTATGATATTTTTAGAATCAAACTTGCAAAAGAGGAGTGAAATAATTATTAGTAAGTAACAACTAACCAAGATGAAATTTCCTAGGTTGAAGTGAGGTATCAGTAATTCGAATGCCATTAGCTTTGTGCGACAAGGAGAGACATGTCCCTCGAGAGGGAAGAAAAAAAATTATGACCCTCTTAATTATATTCGTGATTCTAATGGATTGAAACAGTGTGGAATTAGTGACATCACTAATATTATAAACAAGCTTATTTAATTGCTTCAGCAAAACTAGCCTATCCGATTTGGGCCCTGTATATATCTCAGTAAGATGCATAAGGCCCACTAGAACAGTTGATTATTTGAATTTACTTCTACGCACAAATTTTACTATCTGATGAGCATAAAATCTTACGAAAAGTCCTCTTAAGTTTTAGAACTTACCTCTGACTCCTAAAACCTTCGCTTAAGTTCTTTCGTTAAAAAATGATTTAGGTATAAGGTTTGAGCTTCAATCTCAATGTCTTCTACACAACTATATAGTCTACTTATTATTGGGTGAAAAAAATCTCGTATTACTGAGTGGACTAAGATGATTATAATTTAGAGACATTTCGTGGAAGATAAGTGGCCATTGATTTGGAGACTAAGCAAGAATGAAAGCTATTGGGCACTGACACTCTCTCTCTCTCTCTCATTAAACCGTTTTAATTCATATGTTATCATCACTTCACCCAAATACATTCACACCATACTCTCCAGATTTCAAATGATTTACTCTAGCTTTTTATAATTTTAGGAAGGTGCAAAAGAAACTCTACTTATCTATCATTTAACGACTATTGGAGAGAACTCATCTCCTATTGATACATGAGTCTAGATGCATTTTAGGCTAAAATAATAGAAGGCTTTCATTTATCTTACTTATTATTCATTAAATCTGATTAAATTTGTCCTACTATCAACGTGTTCTGAAAAATTGAAACTTTGGTTCACAACTAATTGATGTGTAAGCTAGATCACTTTACTTTCCAAGTAGTTATTTTGGCATTGTGATTCACTTTACATTTCTACTTCATTTATATGACAATATGGTCTAATGAGAAGATTTCATACGAAATTGAATATCAGAAAAAAAAGCTGAGAGAAGGGATATTATCTGAGAATTCCATTCATAAGATTTATTATTACAAAGTAACAAAAGCTCTAAGCCATAGGGGATAAGATGATTGCCCAATGAGTGCCCAAGATGTAAGGAAAGATTGGACTTTGTCATTGTTTATATGTTCTCATTGATCTATGTCAGTTATAATCCACACAAACTCCACAATGTAGAATAAAATATGGCTTCATGTATTTAATTTGAAGTCCCTTTTTATCACTATTTATTACTTCATCCTAGTTTTTTGCAAGTTCCTATGTTAATTTCGAATTCTATATGACTTTCAACAATGGATTGAGACACTTAATAGTGCTTGTTTAGGGCTACTGCCACCTGATTATATTTAAGACTCATAATAACAATAAGAATGTACTAATAGAATCTAAAATATAATTCTTGCAAGGGAAAGAAAGAAGAATTAAATAACCTAAACTTAATCATGACATAGACCTAGCAAGATTTCTATGAATTTATAACCTGAGGAGAGAAACTTCATTATTTTGACTTCAAACCAACAAAAAATCTATGTGGATGGCTGTTTCTATTTCTACTTGCCATTTTTGGATTTATTGAAGAATATGTTGAAAAGAGAAGAATACTAAAGATATATATTAAGGTAGCATAGAAAATTGAGAATAGAGAATAGAGAGAGGGAGATTGATATTTTAATAACGTCTCCTTCTCTCTTGGTTCATTTATGATCTTTTAGGATGGTGCATGTAAACAATGGACTTCTACTTTGGCAAACTTTAGGAATTTAAATTTCCTCTAATAATAATTTTATTTGCGATTGAGACAAAGATTCAATTATGAGTCATCCTCACTAAAACTTGAGAAATTTCTTGGTTAGTGGGGACTAAGATTTACTATAGCGCATGAAAGTTGCTTTCACATAATAACCCTCTTTGTGGGATTATGAAACCAGTGATTTTTCATTGAATGCTCCTCTAGGCCTATTCTTAAGAATTGACATGAGAGATAAAGTATAGTTTAAGATTACTGATTATAAATTATTATAGGAGATACAGTCTTGATTTGATCACATTTATTTGAAACGAATTATTATATTGAAGAGTCATTCTTGATATCTAAGTAAGCTCTAGCAACATTTCCTTTTTCCTTACCGAAACAAAACTTTGATTTGTCACATACATGTATGGGAAAGCAAATCATTTTAACGTAGTTCCCAATCACTTGTTTTCATGATTAAATACTTTATGACCATACATTTATATAGAAATATGCAAATTTTTAGGGGATTAAAAGTGATTGTGAGTATTTATATTATTATATGTACTACTTTGTTGTATGAGAAGAAAGGTTTCACTTTCTAAAATTTTATATGTACTTTTCTTATACAACAAAGTAATACATATAATAATATAAATTGTGAGGACGGGAGGGGGAGGGAGAGAGAGAGAGATCAGCAAGGTTTCACTTTGTAATAATATTTATATTATTGTATGTACTACTTTCTTGCATGCCATTTGTAACTTGATGAAAGTGATCGGCAAGGTTTCTCAATAGAATTTCTACCAAAAGCCCTAAAAATTCTCTTCAAAATGCAAATGTCAAGTTTACTCCAAGAATGGAAAGTGCCAATCATAATTTCCAGGCTAGTTAGTTTGATCCCTCTTGATCTAGATCTGGGATGATCATAAGCGTTATTCATATTTATTATTAGATGTTTTCTCCGTAGGCTTTCAAAATAATGTGTCCAATATATTCGTCCTTGATCGATGTACCTTCAACTTTATTACAATATTAGAAGATAAACTACAATTAAATGATACCATCAAATTTATTTTTGACAGATGAGTACAACTCTCGCGACAAACTCAAATGCTCGTCCTTATGTCATAGACCTTTGCCTCCCTCTCCCTCCCTCTCTCTCTCTCTCTCCCCCCTCCCTCCCTCCCTCCCTCCCTCCCTTCCTCTCATTCTCTCTTTTTGAGAGATTTAGGAGTGAAGCTGACAAACTCGCCAAGCACCGAGTTTAATGAGAAGCACAGGTGATAATTATACTATTTACCAACTAATGGTTCTCCTTGCATCTTTCTGTCTACATCTAGGTCCTCATGCATCAATCTCCCTCGTCACCTCCCTATGTTGGTGTTCTTCAGTGGATTCCAAGCTCTCAAACCCACCCAAAGCCTCGTCTCACGAACGAGTGTGTTCCACGTGTCTGTATGCCCCATTTCTCTCTCCCTGCCTCTCTCTCTCGATATATATATTATTTCAACGGTGGGGTCTGACTTGAAGAACAAGGGAGCAATGTTGTTCTCCACCGTAGAAAGCATGGACACAACCGTGGTAGAGATCTATCCCAACGTATTTCTATCATTGCATTTCTCTTTTTAGCAAGTTATCTTACGGTCAGACCCCACTAGGATTCACGAACATTATCGCGGTCTACTCCACAAAACACTGATATCCATAATCTTGTACTGCTGCGTCTAAAGTTTCCCGAATCGATAATACTTGCACTATGGGGAGAACACCGTCGCCACCATGGAAATATATCTATTTATATACGAGAGAAACTGTGATTACTTTGTTACAATGGTTACATTCTACGCGTCACCCGTTCCTCTATTACAATAATGGTGTTGGAAAAAATGAGAAAATAATCGTCACTGGGATCGTAACGAATGTTACTATTTTTCATCCCCATGACCAACTATTCTAAAATATTAGCACTTTACCTAGAATGTTGTTTCCATTTAGTTAATATCATGAATAATTGCAAACTTTTCGCCAAAGCCCACTAGTTTTTGCAGAATTGAAGAAAATGCCTTGCACCCTATTCAAATTATCAAATAAGAAAAAAAATGTTTGTTAGAGGATCCTTGCTCCATTGTCCATTCAAATGATGATAATGATAATTTATCTAATTATTTAGTGGTTTTTACACATAAAGGCTTGCTCATGCGTAAATCACTAGGAAATCGTATTTTTACTGCATCCAGCTAAAACATAAACTAACTTTTTCAATCTCCATTTGGTCACGATTAGACCATCCAGAAATAACATTTATTATGTGATTGTGACTTCACAATTTATTCGCTTCAGCAACTGCTCAATCTGTTGTTGATTATGGTAAATCACTGGGTAGTATTCGAATCCAAAAAGTTAGGAACTGATAGCAGCCAGTTGTTATTACGATCGTTCTCAAAGGAAATAACTTGAAAAATATATAAACTAAGCTATCAGTCTCCTTGAGTCTTCATGAAAGTGTTCCTCACAAGGGATGCCTATATTTGAATTTATCTCATTCAAAACAATATTCAGACGACAGATATCCGAGGAAATCTGAAAGGCAACCTTGTTGCTCTTACGTTATTCTCACTACTTTGAGTCTTATCTCTCACCTCATTGTTATCTGAAAGACAGCTTGGCTCACCTGGTGAACTGGTAACGTTGATCACCTGAAGCGTCCTCCCCCACACTGTTTTCATTTATTAAACAGTGAGATGATTTGAATAACCAGCGCAGCTTCACCTTTGTCGTTTTTAGCAACAGCGGAGGATAAAAAATCGTGGTGGGGAATCGTAATGCTGGTAGCTAGATGGTTGACTCGTTAATGAATGTCTTCAGGTTAGGGATAAAGCTCCGACGTTATCCAATGGAGGAGAAGTGGGCACTCAGTGGAAATAAGAAAATGAAAGAAACTTCTGTTAGATAAAGGGTACGTCCACCATCTCCCTCAATGGAAGAAGCATGTTGAGAGATAGCAGATCTACCCATGTTGCATAACGGGTCCTAGCTCTAGAGAGAGAGAGAGAGAGAGAGAGAGAGTGAGAGGGTGACCTTTAAACTAAACCAAAAGATCCTACTTTAACGGACAGCACCTCAGATGTGTCTCGTCATTGCAGCGAACAGCACCAAACGGAAGAGAGCGGAGAGGTAGAGGTAGAAGGAGAAGGTAGAGAGAGAGAGAGAGGAGGGGTTGGTGTCGTGCAAAGAAGAGTCGCGCTGTCACGCGTGGAAGTACTTCATGTACTACTCCCGCCCTAGAGACGTAACGCGGGTAGGCTGTACTTCGCCGCCACGCCAATGACGCAGAGTACGTCATTGGTTTGATTTCTATTAAGAGCAGATGACGTGGCGGGGAGGCAGCTGAAACCACCATCGCCAACCGGCGGCTGCCCCAACGGTATGCCGTGAAGTCCTGAGATCCGGCAGCGCAATGTCCATAATAGCCTCGTCAATTGAAAAATTCACGGTCCAATCCCACGTGGAGGAGAGGGAAAGACACGGGAAAAAAATGATCGGAGGCCGGGTCGTAACGTGTGGGACGTACCGCATGTACTACTATCCCCCGACCCCTTTCTTCCCACCCAAGTTCTTGTTATGGTCCTAATCAACTTATAGAACGAGACGGTCAAGCCTAGAACACTACGTCAATCGTCTGCGCCCCGTACAAATGCATCATTAAGGTTAAAAGACCCATAAAATCACTCCTAAGAGCACTAAAATTACCTTTTTTCTTATAGAATATATCTTATGAACGAAGTATTTTTTTCAAAAGCATAGAAATCTTGACTAAAAAAACTGTATTGGCATATATATCACCAAGAAGAACAACTTTGTTCAATCTCTATGGCCATTAAATCTGCTTTAATTTCAGATTATATAAGTCAAGAAAATAGTGTATGTATCTTTTCCTATATTACTGAAAAGCAAAGAAATAGTGCACATAAGTTTGTTGCATAGAGTAAGACTACATTTTTTTTAAAAGATAATATTTATATATGTATATATATATATATACATTCTAATAAGGTTTCTAGCACCCTCAAAGAACTAGGAATCTTATTATCTTCAAGAGTCCTCACTTTAGAATATTCAAAGAATTTGTCATGTATTACATAGTCCTCCATGAGCCACAGTTGTTAGCATTAGTGCTGAAAAAGTAGACTAATGATGTAGAACGACATGAAACATCAAGTGTTTGGATATGATTGAAGATCTTGATTGTGAATCTACTTAGAGTCCTAGTAACTCATTTGACCATGAAAACGTCTTAGAACACTTAAAACATGAAACATTTGAATGCTAACTCAATAAGTCAACATTTTGAATGCCAATGAGTATATTTGTATACACAATTTTCTTCTATTGAACTATTAACAGTTGTCAAAGGTTATTGTGTCAAAGCAAACTAGTGATGTACAACAATTGCAAACACTACACACAACTATTGATGCAAGAAGCCAATTCTCAAGAGGTCAACTATAGATTTATACTCAATATTTTTTTTCATTTTCAATTCTTCACCAACATGTAAGTCACGCGTCTTTGTGATAGAGTAGATAGGATGCTTACGTACAACGATAGCGAACACGAGATCTGAGCATTCACACTAGAAGTCAAACCTTAGGACATCAACTAGGAGTCAATAATTTATAATTTTTTTCTTTTAAATTCTTGACCAACATTTATGCCTATATGTTGGAAATTTTGCGACAAAGTAAACAACAGGTAGACCACGTGCATACGTAAGAGTATAATAGCAAACACTACAATTTGATAATGATAGGGTAAGTCAACACTTAGGATATTCATTGAACACATGCATTTGGAAAAGTATTATGAAAAGTCAATGAAAAATACCTTGAACTAAGAATCTATATATATCTCTATTTTTTTCTGAAGCTCTTCATTAACATCCATATTTGCTGAGAAACTTTCCAACCCATCAGACTAGTGACATGACAACACGAAAGACGTTCAACATTTGAATATGACTACAAAAGGTCAACACTGAGTATCTCAATTGCTTACTCATAATGTTCTTAATTGTGCAGACCGGTGATGTAAACCATCATAAAAACACGCAACATTTTGAATATTTCAATAGAAAAGTCAACAAAGATATTGACGATTTAAATTTATATACTTCATCGTTCATTAGATTAGCCTAGAGTCGAGATCCGTAGAATCTAAGACCATTATCCAATGAGGAAGGTCATGTGACAGCTTCTTGCCCACCATAGTCAAAGATGAAGGATGGTAAATGAGGTAAATCAGAAGAGTGCAACAAGACAAAGGTTAACCTTTGTGTTTCCAAAAATGGAAATATGCAAAAAACCGGGAAAGTGGCGCCATGGGCACACATTGTAAAAGGCACCAAGCATAGGTAACGAAGAAGCATCTGTGGGTCGTAGTGTGGCATGGCAAGATTACCTTCTAGAGAGAGAGAGAGAGAGAGAGAGAGAGAGGCTTATTATGACGGAGGGGAATGCCCTCACCGATCACTCAGTCACGATTTGAAAAGGAGACGGTAAATGCACAACGTTGTACTGCGCGTTGTACTACCCAGCGCGGAGTAGCCGTTCAGTGCAGGTCAGGTGAACTTACCCACTACTCCAACCCCAATGACGAGACCCGCAATCTTCTCACCAATACGGCCGATCCGTTGTCTCTTTCCGGTCAGGGATGTGTGCTCAGGTAGATCGCATCTCAGCCGCACGATGGGGGCTTTATTTTAATCAGTCATTGAACGAGCGTAGAGGTGACGATAAGGCGGAAGCTTCCTTCGCTGCTGAGTCACCGACATGGCGAGGGACGTTTATCTCGTTTTGGCTGTCGGGCATTTCCCAAACTGGGCTCCGCGGTACCGGCACATGGCGGAGAACGGGACCTCGCTTTCCCACAGGGATCTCCCTTGGGGGCGGCCAAGCGTCAATGGTTGACTTCCCTTCGACGCTTCCTACGACCTCTTCTTCTTTGGAACACCGAGTCGACGGTTAGCATCGATAGACTTCTTCGCGATCGAAACGCGTACGTGATGTGCCCCTATAGGGGCACATACAGATATATATTTTTTATAAAGGTATTTATGTACATTTGGTGAAATAATAATTTTTCAGTTTACAAATATTGATTTTATTTTATGATTTCCACGCCGAAAACGTGAATTCTGATTTTCGAGAATTCTCCATCGCCGTTATTTCGAGGGTCTTCGAGGGGTGAAGATGAAAGAGAGAGAGAAAAGGAGGGGTGGACTGAAAGTTTCCATCGTCTTCTTCACGGACGTTGAAGTGTTTATTTTAGACTCGGCCTTCGTCCGGCATCGCTCTCGATCCACCGCCGTCTCTGAGCGGTCTCCGATGGCGCCGGGCATCAGGGACCTGCAGCTGACGGCGCTCTCCGGTCGGCGGTTACTGGAGGAGGATGGTGGTGGAGATTTGGAGGACGTGCGGCTTCTCGATGCCTACGACCGGGAGGAGAGCGGTCTGGCCGGGGGACAGGAGCTCGCGGCGGCCGGGGAAGGGGAGGTGCGTAGTGTGCAGTTGAAGGTGACGGGAATGACATGCTCGGCCTGCTCCAATTCCGTTGAGGCCGCGCTCACCGCTCTTCCAGGGGTGTCGAAGGCCACCGTCTCCCTGCTACAGAACGTGGCCCGCGTTATCTTTGATTCTTCTCTCGTCACGGTTTGTGATTACTCTCCATGAAAACCAGGATAACCTTGTTTTAATCACGTATGAGTTACGGGGTCTTCCCCTTTTCTGGAATTGAGGATGCCAAGACGTGCTATCGAATGGCTGATAAAGAAATTGAGTGTTCATGCTAAGAAATGGGCGACACTTGACTTGTTGGTTGATTACACTTGGGAGTTTCCTGATATGCTCTGTTTCTTAGTTTGGTCATCCTCCGGTGTTCGTCGTAGAGTCGATTTCCTTTAGCTTTACTGAGTTCAGATTTCCACTGGAGGACATTTATTTCCACATTCCTGTGACGTTTTTCTCATCTTCATGTACGTTTGCGACGCTTTACCCTAGTTTTTCTTACCTCACTGATTTCTTCTGCACGCAATTTTACTCTTCGGAGATGACCCTTATGTTTCTAATCCTCTGCTCTTCTTCCTTTGGTATCTTGCATCTCTGGTTTCGCCACAACATCACATCCATTTTAGTCACTTGTTTATAGCCTCGAGGGAGGTCTCCTGTCGTTTTTGTAGCAGTATTGAGTGCCATCTTTAAGAGAAAATGGCGTTAAATATTCTTGGTTTTGCTCTAGACAATGAGTCGTATTGTGCCATTTTTGACACTACAATGCTAAACTGTTGATAGTTCCTATAATCATAAGTTGCATCTAATAAAATTTATGTAATCAAGACCACCTAAAGGAAAGTATTGATTGAAGTCCCACACTTATTCCGTCTGTTTTAAACCAAGTACAAGAGTTAGAGCACTTTATAAGTTATTTTTTATTAAATTTTTTTTCTATATTTCTTTGTTAATATTTGTCACTGGTGTCCATTGCAGTGGATCAAATGTGAGAAAGATCAGATTTCCACCAATGTCCTTCGGAATTCAAAATTTGAGCAAATATACCTTAAAAAATATTGAAAAAATTTGATTCCATAAAATAGATTATTTTCAAGGTTATCATTTCCTTTCCAGGAATATTTATGTAGGAATTCACTTTTTCACAGTAGTTAAAAATTAACCTCACCTGTATGAGGGAGGTTATAGCCTACTTCATCTTACAACTTTCAGTGATCTGTAAAGCTAATGCGATCATGCATGATTGCAAGTCAGAGCATCCTCTCATCTTGCACATACTATCTTGTGCCATCAGCTAAGGATGAGCGATTCCATAATGATCATCACCGGACAGTTTCTTTGATAAAAATGCTTATTAGTAACCATCAGCATCATAGGGATGGGAGGAGGTTTATTTGAACAATTTAACATTCTGACGTACATGCCTTGATTTCTGAAAGTAATGCAGTAGCTTTAGGAAGTTTTCTTACTTTATTATCTTTACATTTACCCATCGAATCGAAATATTTCTATAAAATCTGAAATGAAAATGTGAGCGGCTCATGGGAAACTTTCTCTTGATCATCCAGACAAAAGTTCCATAGTTCTCAGAACATTTCACAATTAAACGTTTGCTAGTCAATAGATTCCCAAATTAAAAACGTTGTATGGATTCTGCATGGATTTGAGACTGAAGGATGGCACTAAATTGGAAAGAAAATCAGTGATAATATCAAGACTAACGGTACTTTTTATGATCAACTCTCACTGTCCATGTTCGTTGTCCTTTTGCCTTTCGAATAGCAGAACCAGTTGTTTGGTGTTTCTTTGGTATTTGGAACTGATAAATGGCTTGATTTACACAAATATGCGGAGTGAAAAATGAACATTGCTTGACTATGCCTGATGATTTTTCTTTTTTCATCCATGTTTATCAGTTTTAGACTTTAATATTAATCACCTTATCTTCTAGAAAAAGTAATCTACAGTGCTAAATCAACAAGACCATAAGTTTAGGTATTGCAATTATTTGTGATTGCTAACTGCGACAATTTGACTGCAGGATGAAGATATAAAATGTGCTATTGAAGATGCAGGATTTGATGCGGAAGTCCTTCCTGAGCCTGATAATTCTCAGTCAAAACCACAGCGGACGTTGACTGGTCAGTTCAGAATTGGTGGAATGACATGCGCAGCCTGTGTAAACTCTGTTGAAGGTATCTTGAGAAAGTTACCTGGTGTAAAGCGAGCAGTTGTTGCGTTAGCTACTTCACTGGGGGAGGTTGAGTACGATCCTTCTCTTATCAGCAAGGAGGACATTGTTCTGGCAATTGAAGATGCTGGCTTTGATGCTGAGTTTCTACAGAGCAGTGAACACGATAAAACATTTTTATCTGTTGATGGGCTGAATAATGACCTTGATTTTCATCTTTTAGAAGGCATCCTTATGCATTTGAAAGGAGTAAACCAGTTTACTGTTAACCGGGAGTGTGCAGAAGTGGAAGTTAGTTTTGACACTGAAATCCTTCAGCTGAGGTCCATTGTTGATTTTGTTGACAAAGAAAGCAATGGAAGACTTAAAGCACATGTCCGAAGTCCATATAGCCAAACAACTTCAAATGATGAACAAGAAGCTTCAAAGATGTTTCGACTTTTTATTTCTAGTCTCTTATTAAGTGTAAGTATGATCCTTCACATGGAGAAAATGCTGTCGCTTTCATTGTTAGCTGTTCAGGATGTTGTGGTTGAAACGGGCTTATGCTCACAAGGCTTTTCACTCATTGGTATTTTATTCATACTGTCCAGAAATCTCGACACATAATAAGAAAAATATTACTGAATATTTCTTATTATATTTTTTTTATGCCTCAGGTTCCGATCTTCTTCATAAGGGTGGTTTGCCCTCGCATCCAGCTTATATCTACAGCATTGAGCATGCAATGTGGACCATTTGCATTAACTGACTGGCTGAAGTGGTTTTTCGCTAGCATTATTCAATTTGTTATTGGAAAGCGGTTCTACAAAGCAGCATATAGAGCACTTCGAAATGGATCCACAAATATGGATGTCTTAGTTGCTCTAGGAACTTCCGCATCATACTTCTACTCTGTTTATGCCCTTCTGGAAGGTGCATTCACTGGATTTTGGCCTCCGACATACTTTGAAACAAGTGCCATGCTGATTACGTTTGTGCTGATGGGAAAGTATCTGGAAGCTGTTGCCAAAGGCAAGACATCAGATGCTATCAAGAAGTTAGTAGAACTTGCACCAGCCACTGCACTTCTTCTTGTCAAGGACACAGGTATTTAATTTTGCAGGAAGCAAAGACTCCTTAATCCATATAGAAACTTAGCTAAGACTACTAAGAGTTCTTGGAAATATATACTGTTATTTACTTTAGTTTACTCTCTGGCTGTATTTGTGATGATAATGGTTATTCCAATGCAAATCCCTTCATTTTGAAAAACTATTTCAGTTCCCCTTACTCTTCCCTGTCAGATCTTTGTTAAATGTTTTCTGTTTATATTTTGTCACAGAGGGAGAGTACATAAAAGAAAGGGAGATAGATGCCCAATTGATTCAGCCTGGTGATGTGTTGAAGGTTATTCCTGGATCCAAAGTCCCTGCTGATGGTTTGGTAGTCTGGGGAACAAGCTATGTTGATGAAAGCATGGTAACAGGCGAGTCTATACCAGTCCTGAAGGATATATCTTCTGTTGTAATTGGTGGAACGATTAATTTGCATGGCGTCCTCCATGTTCGTGCTGTTAAAGTCGGTTCCAATACTGTTCTTAGCCAGATAATATCTCTGGTTGAGACAGCGCAGATGTCTAAAGCACCTATTCAGAAATTTGCTGATTTTGTAAGTATATTTTTCTTGATTTTTGTGTTTTTAATCTGCCTAAATTTGAAGTCTTGATCACTCACTTGCTTTACCTTTGATCTTGAATTTAGAATGAAAAATGAACTTACTGTTCTTGATTTTATTTTATGTCTATACGGAGGTAGAAATCAAAATTATCAGACCGAAGTTCCTTCAGGATCTGCAAAACTTAACGAAAAAACAGAAAACAGTCATCATTGTCTCTTGTTCTCTTTTATGAGAAAAGTCTCTAGACTGGGCTTGTAGTAGATAAAGCCTTTATGAAGCGGTGATCTCATAATGAATTCTATTTGGACCCTGCGTATTTAGAGGCACGGAAATTATTTATAAAAATGCTAGCCCAATAAGTATGTCTCCTGAAGATGACAGGTGTACTACCTTGTAGGAAGCAAGCCTAGCACAGTGATTACTTGTACTATTTTACAACTTTTAAAACATCTCAGTGATTAGTTGACTATTTTACCACTTTTGGCATTACGTCCGTATGGTTACTGTGAAATTATCCTTCACTGATTATCGGATGGAAAATTTTGTAACTTCAGAAGCTGATTGAACTAATAGAATTTAATTAGATTACTGTGCCTAAAAGGCTACGAATTTGTCAGAATTGTCAAAATTTGCATGTACATTGGAGAAGAAGAAAAGACACTGTTAACAACATGTTGATCTCGGGTCTATCGCTTAGTATCGTTCTTCTATAGGATGGATGCCTTCGAGGAAAAAAAAATCATATCATTTCACTCTGTAGGATTTCTGTTCAACTCTTCCAATTGAAATGGACACCCATATGCTAACTACATCATGTCGTCCAGAGGACAATCATGACAACTGCGATGCAAATCATTCCAGACTCTCTTTTTCTCTGGAAAATCTGCTGTTGGTCTGTGACGCATGATGCCTTCGTTAACAAGCACATTTCATTGATGGATCGCATGCATTGATTGCTTCTATTTTCTTACCGATGCTGTACTGGGCATTTGTCTTCTGAGATTTGCTTTCAAATTTACAAGGAAAACTTTTTTAACCTGTTGCTTGATTTTGTCAGTCTCGGATTTTGGCAAAAGTAGTGTATGATTCCTGAATAGTGTTATGAGAAGATCGAATCTTTCAATGCCCACAGTTCAACATATCTCCCAACTTCTTGAAAAAATTGGGAAAGATAAGGTAACCTCCCAGTTTGAACTTCAGACACAAATGTGATTTATAAAAGGTTTGCTATGTAGAGTATTTTTATTAGGGATTTTATACGTTCCCGTTATTTAACTCAACCTTGGTCCGACCTTATCCCATTCCAAAGTCTCAGTGATAGTTGCGATAGCAGAAGCTTTACCGGTGACTAGATGGACAAGCAGAAAGAGGTGGCCGTAGAAGAGGTGACTTGTGAGTGCTGGTACCTGGGGGCACAGGCCTGCCGTCTTATGTTCCAGTTTTTCTTCATTTCTTCTTTCTTGTCTGGTCCTTTCCACCCTCCATCCAAATGTTAGCACAGCCCAAGAACTTCGTAGCCTTTTTTAATGAAGTTGAACACAAGAAAAGAAGGCTGAGAGAAAACTTTTGAGCCTTACCGTGATCGTTGATAGTACAGACCTGAATCCTGAAAACATCCCACTTCCCCTTGGTCCTCTTGCCATTCATCATTCTTATGCCTCTCTGTTGACATGAAAAAACTCCATTTGTCCAGCGGCTAGTTTGTTCAGGACAGTGCAAGCATCAGAAATATTCCTGGGCTTATGCCTCAACCCGCTCCTAGTGAAGGTACCGGGTTAATAGTAAATATCACACGTGTAATCACTATTTTAACGTTCCTAGAGGAATTACCAAGGTCCATTACCGTGTGTATGTGCCTCTTGTTCTTGTTAGTTAGGGCTTGTGGTGGAGAATTGGAAAAGACAGTAGAAAGAACTGGAGTGAATTCTATGTCTTACTAAGGGACGAATCCCCAGGCCTTCAATATCCTTATTATGATAAATTTCCTACCTTTCTTTCAAAGTTATGTTTGTTGTAGTGTGTTTGACTATGCAATTTGGGTCAATTGGACGGGCATGAATGGGAGCCCGAGATGCAAAATATACAGACTTTAGGGAACTGGGGAAACGTACCCATGTCAAGAGGATAGCTGTGAAAGATGCAGATTTTTGTGGGTATATAGGTAAACAGATTGATTTACTCTTTACCTAGCAATGAGCAAACTTATTTTTTGAGTTCATGGGGCTCTCTTTAGTTCAGCGTACTCTTCTGATATCGTAATTTGACAAAACTAATATCTGAGTACGGAAACTAAAATATATGGCAAATGAACGTAGATGAGTTTTATAGAAGATGATCATGCCAGGAGTAAATATGTGAAATTGTATAGTTGACTGGCTTGTGCGTTTGTATTGAGAGATTCGCATGGGCGTACAAAGATAATTAGAAGGTTTTATCATTCATTATCCACCCATCAGAGAACATAATGGTAGACGGTGATGAATACTTTATTTTTATTTTTAGGTGACCGATTAAAGTGGATATTTTGCCTTCTTCACATGCCGGATTCACTTGTAGTTTTGGAATGCATTGGTTTTTACCTTTGAATTGCAATTTCTTTCATATGCCAAATCCCCAGAAAACTGCAGACTGCTCATTAGGGAAAACGGCTGCTACTTTGATTCACTCTGTAAATCAATCGATTATGCATTTTCAAACATATACACTTGGAGTTGTAATCGAATTGCTTTCCATTTGAAGATTCCTGGTCAATTTTTTGTGTACAGTTTCAAAACAATTCATCTAGTTTGACATTTTAGAGTTTTTTTTTAGTTCAATAGTTTGACCATCTTTGCAACAGTTACCTGATCTTCTCTTATATCTTACCCGTGTAATTTCAGGTTGCAAGCATCTTCGTACCCACTGTTGTCATCTTGTCCCTCTTGACTTTCCTAGGATGGTAATTATTCCTTACTCTTTGATGCTGTCTCAACGACTCGGATCCTCTCGAGAGATCACAACGTTCTTCTGATTTCCTCCAGGTTCCTTTGTGGGTCCTTGGGGGTGTACCCGGCGGGATGGCTGTCTAAGAACAGCAATTGCTTCGTTTTCTCCCTCATGTTCGCAATCTCGGTTGTGGTGATTGCATGCCCCTGTGCTCTCGGATTGGCCACACCAACTGCTGTCATGGTGGCCACAGGCGTTGGGGCTAACCATGGTGTTCTGATAAAAGGTGGTGATGCCTTGGAAAGAGCTCAGAAAGTCCAGTTTGTTGTGTTTGACAAGACGGGCACCCTCACGCAAGGCAGAGCTTCAGTGACTACTGCAAAAGTCTTTGGTGGGATGCAATTGGGCGATTTTCTTACTCTAGTTGCTTCTGCCGAGGTACCAACCCAATATTCTTCTTCTCTTCTGGAGAGCAGCTGTGTCGTGGATGAACGCTCAAGCCATTTCTTGTTCTCTCTCTCTCTCTCTCTCTCTCTCACATCCAGGCCAGCAGTGAGCACCCACTGGCGAAAGCAGTCGTCAACTATGCGCACCATTTCCATTTCTTCAGCCATCTTCCCGAAGATAAGCAGCCTGGTAAGGGTGAAAAGTTGGACGCCTTTTCTGGCTGGCTTCTTCAGGCGGAAGACTTCACAGCATGCCCCGGCAAGGGCGTCCAGTGCACCATAAGCGGGAAGCGTGTTTTGGTAAGTTTTATCTGCAAGTATTTTGATATCATATGATATCATATGATATTTACGTGGTGCATGGGGTCTGGACAGGTTGGGAATCGGAGGCTGATGACTGATAGCAGGGTTACCATACCAATGGAGGCAGAAGCCTTCTTGATAGAGCTGGAGGAAAGGACGAATACAGGTGTTCTTGTGGCCTACGACGGCGCCCTCATTGGGATATTGGGAGTCGCTGATCCTTTGAAGAGGGAGGCGGCTGTTGTTGTCGAGGGCTTGAAGAAAATGGGTATCGAACCCGTGATGGTGACTGGGGACAATTGGAGGACTGCAGGGGCGGTCGCAAGAGAGGTCAGTAAACCATTCCATGCTCCCATGCCACGTTATCTTGGCAGATTTGGACTTTGGTAAACCCTTCTGTTTTTACTCTTCGTTGACTTCTTTCCATCACTGATAAAACTAACATCAACACCCATAATTGTTTTTATAAATTACTCAAAATTTCAGCTCATAAAGCTCGAACATGCACTACGATGTTCCGATTTCTGTGGTTTCAGTATCTATCTATATTATATTATATCCACACGCCTGCTGCTATATATCATCGTCATCCTCTTCCGCCTCTGATGAGAAACGTCGATGACATGCAGGTGGGAATCGAGGATGTTAGAGCAGAAGTGATGCCCGCTGGAAAGGCCGAGGTCGTCCGTGCTCTGCAGAAGGAAGGGTATGTGGTCGCCATGGTCGGGGACGGCATCAACGACTCTCCGGCCCTCGCGGCGGCCGACATCGGCATGGCGATCGGGGCAGGAACCGACGTCGCCATCGAAGCTGCAGATTACGTGCTGATGAGGAACAACCTCGAAGATGTTATCACGGCCATTGATCTCTCGAGGAAGACCTTCAGCCGGATCCGATTGAACTACTTCTTTGCCATGGCGTACAACGTCATCGCCATCCCGGTTGCAGCCGGCATCCTGTTCCCATTCACAGGGGTCAGGATGCCGCCGTGGTTGGCAGGGGCCTGCATGGCTCTGTCGTCAGTGAGCGTTGTTTGCTCTTCCCTGCTCCTGAGAAGATACAGAAAACCCAGGCTCACCACTCTGCTCGAAATAACTGTTGACTGATGTGACTCACGAGGGAAGTTGTTGTACACACACGCAAGGGAATTTGAGTGTCCCCATATGTTCTCTCTCTCTCTCTCTTTCTTTCTCTCTCCATCCTTTGCAATGCCCATATATATCCATTGTACATTCTTGGTCCTTCTGGGAATGCCCATCTATACATCATATCATTTCTCTCTTTGTAAATTCTCTTGTTTCGTTCTTTTATTCATGGGAAGCCGTGGGATCTGAAGGCCATCTCCCATGGATTCTGTGGACGAATGCCAGAGGGTGTTGAAACTCTCCGTTTAGGCTTCTCCACGTCCATCTTCCTAGAGCTAGACCCCGTTTCTGCTAAATATAAGTTAACAATTTCTTGGAAACTTTTCAGAATTATCCCCTAATAAACGCCGCCACTATGATTTGGGTGAATGATTTACTAATAATGATTATAATTGGAGATCTTGCAGGACGATGTGCAGTCTATTTTTTTCTCTGAATGGGGTAATTTCTTTCGAGCGTGAGAGTGGCCACTTAGAAAGAGCATGATGAGGACGTCGTCAACAACGGATCTCACAGTGTTAGTTGGTTCCCCAGGTGCCCACTTCAGCGCTCGGCTGTTGCATGCTTAATCTCAGCTGCTTGCCCGGTTCTAGTGACAATCAAGTCTCAAGAGAAGATGAAGAAATCATCCACTACTGTTCATAACTGGGGACTCTGAGAATGGCGAGAGAAGAGCTACACGGCCTTCACTGTACCGATCAATATATGAAAAGAGATCCATGCTGTGTTCTACGTGCTTTTGTATGGGGACGGGGGAATTTATCAAGTGGGGATGGAGACATAGTTGGTATGTAATGGTGGACCATCGATTTTCCATGTTTGTCGCATGGTTACCCACACCTTCAACCAGTTTTCATGGGGAAGACGGACGATGCGGTCTTCGATCTGGTTTGTGGGCAGCAAGAAATACTGTCGGGCCGAGATCGTCCGCAGATGGCTGCCATGATAACGTGCCCTCTGTTGCTCCTTTCTGGTTAAAGGAAGAGGGTGAGAGACAATCAAGTGATTATCTAATGCTCATTTGGCTGGGCCATGGCGTGCACAGACGCTTTCTCTCTCTTTCTCTCTCTCTAGCTCTCTGTCGCCACCTTCTCTATCTACGTCTCTATCTATCAATCTATCGTTGCCTTAATTTTCTGTGACGTGTCTCTCTTTTTGAATGTTCACCTTGACCAGTGGCAGCGTTGCATAACTAGCCTCTTGCCATCTCTTTTTCTCAGTGTTAGATAAGCAACGTCCTCTCTCTCTCTCTGCCGTCCCTACTCTGTCGGCACTTGCAGTTGCTGCTGCAAATGTTGGATAGGCAGCTTCTTGTCTACCTTTTCGTGCTCCCTCGCTTTGGCTAGTGCTACAGTTGTATACGGAGCTTCGTCTTTCTCCCTCTCAGCACCTCTTCGCCGAATAACTGTTGGTAATTAGGTGCCTTGCCAGCTTCCCCCCCCTCTCTCTCTCTCTCTCTTGATCACTATCCATCATTCTATCTGTGTATCTATCTACCAATCTCTACTTCTTTTGGTTAGCACTAGTGTTGGATAACGAGCTCCTCGCTATCTCCATTCCCATACTTCGCCGTTTCGTCTATGTTAATACATACGTTAATGGAAAGCAAGATTCATAGGGCAGACATGATGGTTCCATTCTAAATAGAAAATTCAACACTATGACCCTCTTTCGCCCACACGTAAAGATCATGGTCAAGAAATATAATGCATGTTGTTAGATCAAGCTCCTACGTGGTTCAGTCTATGGACAAGTATATAATCTCAGCATCTGAGACACGCATCAACCCATCTTGGTTGCGTAGGAAGCACAGAGATCACTCGATCCTCCGAGCAATGTCTTCTGCTGTCCATAATATGGCCTCCTTGGCCATTTTTTTCTTTGATTTCTCAATCCCCAAATCCTGCAGTCTGGGGGCCGCCTCAAGTTCCAACGCAAGAAGACCCCTCCAACGGTGAGAGCTGAGGTTTTCGTCACACTAGAAGCATCTTCATAGTCTTCGTCTCAACATCGAGACCGAGTCCTAGCATGAGAAAACCATTACCGGCTCACCGTACTTCATTTTAATATGCTATCACCGTCTCCCTCACATGCAGACCACGGAGAGAGAAACCGCCTTCTAATGGCCATAGCCATGGCTACTCGAGCAAGCCGACGAGAGAGGCCAGCTCCCCCTGCCAGACGTTGCTTTGTCTCCAAGTTGATTAAAAAAAAAAACCCTGACCTGTAAGTGGAGATTGGGAGGCTACGGGATATCAAACCGGACCTCAAATCTTCGTCTGGAATGTTCTAAATACGATGCATTCATCCTGCATTGTCTCAGCTTCATGCTCTAATGGTTGATTCGTACGAACGATGCTTTCGGATGGGTGTCTTGGAGCATACCAGCCGTTGGATCTGGGTTTTTCTAGCACAGTCTGTCCAAGATATCTGTCTCATCAAAGCCCATAAATCGTTTTTGCAGTGGATATATACATGCAGGTGCTAAGATATAACTCCAACGGAATTCGAAACGTTTTTTGTAGGGAAAATATGAGAGGTTCGCACTAATCAGTACGCATTTGGTAGAATTCATGTCTCTTGCTTCCTGGCGGCGTGAGGCGACTCTCATGGTTTATTAGAGGTGATGCCCCTATACAGACTGGATTTACGCCTAAAGGACCAACCGGATATATTTCCAAGTTTCTCTCCTCTGGCACTTTGAAAAATTTCGCATTACAATCTCTACCTCGGAATCTAGGCATCGATTCCGAAGATTGCACCACAAAATGCCGAGCTTGTTTCAAGACCAGGCCACGAGCTTAAGATCTTAATGCTATGGGATTCCGACGAATCTTACCGACACCAAAATTCAGAGCATCGGGAATCTGTGTTTTTTGTTCGCTAGGTCACAGGAATCTAGATGAGAGAGACGATCCCGCAGTGGACTAGAGTTCCTCCTGATGTCAACAAGTCAAACCGAGTCAAACCGATTCCTGCAAGGTGAGAATGTGGGTCATTTAAACTATAAAAGACTTCTCGTTTCGTTTGCGTCCTGATTTTTCTCTCGATCCGTTTCTTGGGTTTCTTAACAACTGGTGCATTTATATGGATGATGACTACTACGACCGATGATAGTTAAAATGATGATTATATTGATGACAACAGAGGCGACAGACATCCGTGTGACATGAAATTTTTGATTTTTCTTTTTTTTTTTTTTTGATGATAGACCGTGTGAACCAGAAGTTAGAAGATGACCCCCTGCCCTAACAAGAGGGAAGATGCAAGAAGCAAGTGGGTAGGCAGATGGATAGGGAAAATAAGCTCCTATTGAATATAAAAATGAAAGCCATGGATGCACATGCTGATTGAGTCATTTTAACCTTTAGCTCTCATTTTTAATGATCTCATAAGAGCCTTCTCGCCCATGAAAATTTAATCACAGTAGACTTGAGCTCTTGTTGTCTGCGTAAGTGAAAACCACGTGTGCACATGCGAATTCATTCAAAAGTTTATCCCTCATTCTTGATAATCCTATGTAGAGGTTGACTAATCCTTCTTCATTCAGCGCCACCACCAATTCTGTAGGGTAAATCAACAAAGTTGATACACAAACATTCTTCCCAACAAGTGTAAAGTCTTGAAGGGTTCAAGCTCATGGCCTCATTGTTAATCTCGTGCCTCTGTTGAAGCGCATCTTCATCTGTCGCCATGCTCATCATCGACGTGTGCCTTTTGGACAGAAAAATAGTGATGCAAGGAGTCTCATCTCTCTCTCTCTCTCTCTCTCTCCCCCATAGGGACGCTAGGGCTGGCCAGTGTCCAAACCGGAGTTGGGGAGTAGTTAATTAGCCCTTCTCAGTCGAAAAGGATTCGTCGTGGGCACCAGAATTTAGTGCCCTAAGGCACGATACATTTAACTGTAGATTGAGTAATACCACCGCAACCAGTAGTTCCCTGTAAGACGACAAGATGAATGCATGAACCGGTAGATACTTGGAAGAATGGGTTCAGGTCATGGCGCTCTTGAGAAGCTCTCCATGTGATGTCGGGAAGTCTGATTCTCTGAAGCCTCTGGACCGTTTCTACTGCATTCTACGCCTCCAAGCGAAGTCAAGCAGGCGTTTCAGAGTTCGTCTCACAGTTAAGAGAGACTTAGAATTAGCGGAGTACGGAGGTAGGGGGAGAGAGAGAGCGAGGGAGCTAGAGAAAGAGAGAGAGAGAGAGAGAGGCTCAATGGAGGGGCGATTTTCAGTAGTGTCGGGAGGCACACGGCATGTCAGAGCACGTTCAGCCATACAGATCAACGCCTTCTTGTTGAGGACCGGGGATGATGGAAGGGAAAGTGATGAGACCCCCTTCCTCTTCCTGGTATCTTTTATAACTCTCACAAACATTTTTCAACACATCAGTTTCAAGGTTTGACCAGGGCCTCGAAATCCGTGTGACTAGCCCAAGCCCATGTGTATAGGTCACACGGTAGAGGGCAGACCTTGAGACTACGTGGCATCTTTTAAGTCTGAAAATCGGTCACGGGTCAACGAGCGACAAGGGTCCAAACAATCTGCGTGTCCTTTTTCTAAGGGAATCAGATTCTCAGCTTGGAAACATTAGTGTCCAGGAGGCTCCTGCACGAAGCTCTATTCAAACTGATTGAGCCAAATCTTAGCGAGGAAGAAGCTCCGGTTTCGCTCGGGAGAAATGGCGCAAAGCACTTTGCGACGGCGTCTAAGACAGCAGCCCTCCGTCGGCACCGGGGGAAGGAGCGATCACGGATCAGCGGCAGCTGCTGCTGGCCGGCACGCCCCATCCGCCGGTTGCGGCGGCATCATGAGACTAATGCGAAAGCTAAGGAAGCATGGGAGAGATCTCTTATCGGCGACGAGGCCGGCAACCTTTCGTTGTCAGTACGATCCCTTGAGCTACTCCCTCAACTTCGACCCGGATGGTCTTGGCAATGACTCCCACTTCACCTTCTCGTCGAGGTTCGTCACCGCCGTCTCCACTAGGCCGCCGCCATCTGCCCTCCACCAGGTTGCACCTGCTAGATTGTAGCAGAGAATTCGTTGCCTTCGTTTCTTTTCCTCCAGACCGTCGGCTGATTTCGGTAACTGGGGAGTAGGGAGATGTTGATGTTGACCGGTCATCCCAGGTTTTGAAGTCGGAGGATGACGAGTAATGGGTTTGTCTATGTAAATGGAGATCTCATCACGCCCTTTCATGTGATTCTTTTGCAGGTTTTGTTCGTCCTAAGTGGTGCATTACAAATTTATTATTTTCTTCGTTCTTCACAAAAACTTTGTTAAAAAAGCCATACACATGCCAAGTATACACACATACACAAACAAATAAGGACACGCACACGCATAGCGAGAGAGAGCCCCTACATTCCTATTAACTTCCTTTAACGAGGTTAGCTAGTCATTAATTTCCATCATCTAACATGATTTAAAAGCTTTTTTTCTTACTTTTTGGACTCGTTTCGAGCATTGATTGACATATTATGCACCATATATTGTCATTAATGGACTACAATCTCTTGATCTCACTTAATCAAGCTTTTATGAAAAGTAGCACTTGTAACTTAAACTCTTGAAAAATAACGTTAATTTGTAATTGTCAAGGTTCAGGTTGAGACGCAATAGATCAATTGAAAGTATGCATTCAATTACCATGATTACACCAAGTGTAAGTAATGAGGGGTAACAAGCTGTAAGAAAGTGATGTGAGGGCACACTGTATAGCTATTCGAATATCAGCCAGCCACCCGCTTACTCTGAAAGTGAACTTGGAACTTAGGAGAATAGTTTAAGGCGTGGTATGACATAAGGATCATAGTTGTCAAGATAGGTATCTATTTGGACTGTCCAAATGTCACTTAGCCATGCTAAGAATGCTGGTTGTTATGAACAATTTGGCCTCTCTCTCTCTCTCTCTCTCTCTCTCTCTCTCTCTCTCCCTCCCTCACTACCAAATAATAGTACAACAAGATGGCCTTTTAGAGTATATAACCAGGCCAAAGAGATCTTTGAGATAGATTTTTTTTTTGACTAAGAAGGTGGTATGTATGTGAGCCCATATGGTCAATTTTAGCATTATACTTGTTAGGACAAGACGACCATCCTCATTCTCCTTACACATGGAAGACTGACGCAAAACACATGAAAGAGAGGAGAGAGAGAGGCGAGAACAAAGGGGCACACACGATTTAACATGATCAGAGAATGTGCCTACATCCATAGTTGCATAAGGATCTTCTTCTTCCTTCAGGAACGAAAATATCATCTTACAGCACTCAGTGCGGCAGCATACAATGCTCACTTAGCATACCTTCTCCCATGTTCTAATACAAGGGGTGGCTTCCCCCTGTCCTATCACAGGATTAGGGAAAGTACGTAGGGACAAAGTATTTGGTCCCCTTGAGATTCCACGCCAAAGACGCATTGTCACTCTGGACCTCACTGCCAACTCACAATGAAGTTGAGTCTACGTACTTGTCAAAGAGCCCATTAGAGGCAATTACGGCCCAATTGATCAATCGTCACTACTCCAACAATATTGACATCATTGATGCAATCAACAATCTTTTGCGTATATTAAGTAATAATGTTTGACTTCTTTTGCCGACCACAATTAAAAAATTAAAAAAAAATGTGGTTGATCGTCCCCAATCCCTCTCCACCATTTCTTGACTCACTTTCGCAATTAGGCAAGTGAGGTTGTGTAAATGTTGAAGAGAGAGAGAGAGAGAGAGAGAGAGAGTGAGAGGGAGGCTGAGGCAAAAGATGTGAGATTTCCAGAGTTATACCAAAATTGTTTCCATAACTCTTTCCCTTAGAATAATATAGTGGAAGAAAGAAGGGAAAAAGATGAGATCCATTAACATGTACTTAGTGGGAATAATATGACACTGCTGTGTATCGGCCCAATGAAGAAGCCAACCGTAAGCTTGGCTTCATAAACTAGAAACATAAATACATTTTGAGGCCGAAGCCTAAGGAAAGATAGTCACGATGATCACAAGTTTGACATATGAGATTAACTGGAGGTCAAGTATCAAAATTTCGGAACGGAATTGATAACTCCGCACATGCAACCCTTTGGGATATCAGCTCTCAAGGCCCTGAGGTTAGTGAAATTTTTTGGGGTCGGTAACTTAATCCTTAGGCTTTATTTTGATACGCATGCACTTCCTTTGATATCATCGAAAGACATAAATTTTGAAGAACTTTGGTCTTCTTGATTACTTCTTATAGTTTTCTATTTTATCTCCGCTAATCGATGACACCTCCCCCGAGGTCTAAAAGCGTATGAGCAGACGCCACTTGTGGTTGGAAGAAGGGGTGAAAGGGGATGAAAGGGGATGAAAGGCATGCATATTCGTAAGAAGATGGAATGAAAGGAAATTCTATAATCCTCAAAGGCATTGTCAGATGACATATGCCTTCCTATTGGAGCTTTTGGAGAATCATCTAATAGGCTCTTCAGCGGCAGATTGGAGTGAGAGGAGTTGGCAGTGGGATCCAAGGGGCAGCACCCTTTTGCAGGGGGTGTCAATCGGGGCAGTGCCCCCTGAGGCAAATTTTGTATTAAGGCTAGGATTATCGTTTGCCCCATGTATTTTCCCTAACCTCGAGATATGCGGGGGGGAAGGTCGCCGCCTCTGGTGTGTACTGTGCAAGCATTATGTGCTGCCATGTCGAGGTGTAAGATAGATGATTCTCCACCCTTGAAGAAACTAAAGCCATGTATATATCGTGGGTCTTCTTCTCTTGCTTCTCTTCACCTCTGCCTCTCACGTTGGTGTCTGCATTGTCTTCCATTGTGCAAGGACATGGACTCTCCTCCCCAACACCTTCTAACCTCACTGGCACTCGTGTCTTCTCTCTTTTTCCTTCTGATCTTCGAAAGCCAATCTTGAATGCGTTTCTTGACGGACAATCTTAACCCTCTACATTCAACGACATCATACTCTTTGGGGATGTTTTTGTGAGGGTGAAAGAAGGCATTGCTTGTGAATAGAGAGGAATGCTTCAAGCCAAAAAGGGTCAGAGAGAGAACAGCAAACAACGCAAGGGCTGTTCAGCACGTCATCTCCTTGAGAAAACACAAGGATTTGTCATATTGCTCTTTTTAGTCATACGTTAAAAATTGAAGTTACCACCACCGCATTCGGAGGTAAATGCGTTCATAGCTTCAGAAATCAATGACATTGTCTCTCCATTCTTATTTTTAATGAAAGCATTAAAATAATGCACTTTTGCAATCATGGGGTCATTCGACTTTACTAATAAATGGTAGATTACAAGCGTTAATTGCCATCATTCGATTATTATAAACAATTTGAGCGATGAATTTGAACAAGGTAACGTTCTAGGACTCAAGAATAGGATGCTGACCTTTGTTGTCCACAAGTGTGTTCTTGATGCGCATGCTTTGTGCTTTGAGCCAAGACACAATCAGTGGGCAATTTAAATTATCATCATTAAATAATGAGAGGAAGATTGAGGGGTTTTTCAGACATTGAATGCGTCACTTCTTCATCCAAAAAAGATGAGATTTTTCTTCAGCAATAAATCTTAAGTTATGCTAGTCATTAACCCATGAATACAAACAAGTGGTACAACGAGCGATACGGCTGCCCGCTATATGTGGAATGATACACATGCACCGCTATGTAAGCGCAGGTAGCTTTCAAATATTCTGCCCATGATGGGGTAGTAACGTTCTAACATTAAATCGTAGGGATTAAATGGTTATCTAACTAAGCAAGTGGATGGCCAGTACACAACAGCACACAAGGTGGTCACACGACAGCGCTGCTATGATGTGGTTTTTGTATGTGAAATCAAGAAAGAGGATGAGTTAGTGATCGTAGGCAAAGCCGGAGTGCACGCCGGTGGAATGCGCATGCAGACGAGATGAGGTGGCCGTGACGGATCTCAAAAGTCAAAGGGATGCCCAGACGTGGACGACCTACGTTCTCCTTTTGACTTCCCTCCTCCGACAGACGAGTAACTGAGTCCGAACTGGGTGTGAAGTTTGACTCAATTGAATGACGACGAAGAGAGTGCAAGTCTTCTAAGCTTCCAAATATCTTCAGGTCATCACAATGAAACAAAAGGTCGGCAAAGTTGACTAATTCCGGATGGATGAGGTTGGCCGTCATTTTTAGCAACCCTGGTATTTATCTGCAAGCCGGAATAGAACCGTCGTTGACTTCAGTTCAACAGGGTAACGAGGGCCATGGACGTTAACTAGCAGAAGAAGAAGAAGAAGAAGAAGAAGAAGAAGAAGGAGAAGAAGCTCTTCAGAGCTGCATTATTGTGGTTCCTGAAGGCCTTGCCAACAGCAGTTGGGCGCCAAGGCCATGAAAGCAGGCGGGGGTGGGGGGCCTTCAGGTCCGGATCATTCGAGCTGCACACATTTTCGCAGAAATATTTACAAAGAGAGGAATGATCTGATGCTTCTTTCTATCTGGGCAATCCAATCCAGGAGGGGAGAGGAGTTGACATCCTTGTGAAGTAGTGGCGCTGACTCTACTTGTTCTTCGCTTTGAGTTCATTCACCTTCTTCTCTGTGAACTTCAGTGCGTCCCCGTATATGCTTATCAGCTGACACAACGTAGATATATGCTTATAAGCTCCAAGGGTTCTAAAAAAGGCAAAGTTTGACCAAAAAATATGAGGCAGAATCTGGTTCCAAGAGGTTTATGGTTCATGCTTCATAATATTTGATTCATCAGGTTTCCAGCGAACAGGATTATTAATAAAGAGATTAAAAAATTGAAAAAGATGCTTCAAATCTAATAAAAAAAAAGGGGTAGCTATAAATCTTACTTCGTCGATTTCTCCGGGAGAGATTATCAGCGGAGGAGACATCATGATGTTATCCCCCGAGACTCGAACCAGCATCCCCCGCTTCTCACATTCAGCTCCGAAGATGGCGCCCACACCTGCCACCGCAGAGCAGAGGATATAACAATGTCTATATTTGGCTTCTGACAAAGAAGGCATAGAGTAGGCGCTAAGAGAAAGGATCTTACCCCATTCAGGAGGGAAGAGATCAGTTGGGGACTTGTTGTCAGTAAACTCTGTGCCGAGGATCAGCCCGGTTCCTCGTATCTGTGAATTCCCATGAAAATATACGCCCACTTTTTATATTAATAGAAGAAAATTAATGCCATAGCAGTGACCACTCTCAGGAGAAAACATCTGAAATGGGTGCGTGGGTAGGCACCTCCCCGATGATGGGGCTGTCAGAGAAAGCTTTCAGCCCATCCTGGAACCTGGGGGAGACGCTCTGGACCTTCTCGGGGATGTCCCTTTCCCTTCAGATCACAGAAGGGAGAGAGGCAGCAGGGGTCAAGGTGGAGCAAGCCTCAGATGGCTTCATATCCAGTACATTTCATCCAGAGCAGTTACCTGTAGATCTTCAGTGCCTCAAGGGCAACGGCGCAGGCGACCGGGTGGCCGGAATAAGTGAACCCATGAGCAAAGGAGCCTAGTGAGAGAAGAAAGGAGCGTGGGATTTCCAGGACGGCAGCGTTTTTACATATGAGAAGTTGTGAAGAAAGATGGCAAGGATGTTACCAAGCTTGTTGCTTTGCGAGTGTATGACTTCTGAGATCTCAGGGCTGACAAGAATCGCACCAATCGGCATATATGCGGATGAAAGCGCCTGAAGCCAAGAAGGTTAGAAATCGAGTCATTCTGCTGAAAGCTGCCATTAATAGTAAGCCAGGGGATAACCTTCGCGATGGAAACGAGGTCAGGCTTGATGTTGTATTTATCGCACCCAAACATTGTCCCCAGCCTTCCAAAGGCGCAGATGACCTGGAAGAGGCAGGGAGAAACCGGGAGGGGGGGTGGGAATCATGAAAAATTTCCTAAAAAGGATATGATTAACGTTGTAAGGCATTGTTGATGAATCAAGTACCTCATCTGCGATGAAGAGAATATCATACTTCTTTACAACGGATTGAATCTGCAGGGATTATTAAAACATAAATTATGCCGATATTTACAGCTTCATGGAAGGTCGACAAAATGAAACTGATTAAAAATTAACAAAAATGTTGAATATGACATCAGATTTCCATCGAAGAAAAGTATTTACATTTCCACAGTCGAAAATACCGATTAAATTAAGGTGAAAATTGGTTTAAAAATCCGAAGGATAGATAGATGCAATGAAAAATACTTGAGAGGATGTTGACGAACTTCGGAAGATACTCAGAGAGAATTGTATAGCTTAGAAAAAGATTTTCATACTGATTAAGATAAGGTGAAAATTAGGAAAAAAATCCGAAGGATGGATAGATTGAATGAAAATATTTGAGAAGATATAGACAGAGAATTGTATATCTTAGAAAAATATTTCCGTGTATTTTCAAGTAGAAAGTAGAATCTACAGTTATCCTTCTTTCTTTAGTACCCAAACTCCACTAGTATCATGTCACAAAAAAACTATAAATTTCCACCAATTCTCACGCGACTGTAGTCTGGGATCCAAATTTTTAATGAAAACTGGTTTCATCACGGTTTTTAAAAGGCTGAGTGAGAACTACCCCTCATCACATCTAAGAAAATTTCTTCAATACTTTTAAATTATTTTGATTGTCTCACCAAACAAGCTACAAAATCTATATCAAGTCGCAAGTCCTTTAGACTCTGCCTGACGTTTTCAGGCAGTAACTGTGCTTTTATACAAATCAATTGAAGAAAAAAACTGTTCTGACATTAACAAAAGCCAAACTGGAGAAAAAGGAAATGACAATAAATTAAGAACTAACAAAAAGAGAAAACGTTGAAAGATGTCAGAGTGACTACTTTTGCTCAGTATATCGAATCTGTCATTTTCGCAGCAAGAAACATGTTGTTTTACCTTCTCAAAATAAGTCTTTGGGGGAGGAAGGACACCACCAGCACCCATAACAGGCTCAGCAATGAATGCAGCAATCTAGGACAGGAAGCATACAAATTAGAAACATTAAATTTCTTCAGCATGATAAAAAAAATAGAAAGGAAAGGTAATCTATACCGTTTCTGGACCCTCCTTGAGAATAAGGTTTTCCAGGTTATTAGCTAGCCTGGTTGAGAATTCTTCCTCCGTCTCACCTGGTAAAGGTATTAGGATCCTTTCCATACATTTGAAAACAAGACAAAGGAAAAGATAACACAAATCATTTACATACCTGGCAAGTGAAAGCGCCAATAGTGAGGGCAATCTGTGTGCAAAACAAATGGCGCTGGCAAATCAAATTTTTGATGTAGGGCTGGAAGACTGCGGATATGAATTTAAGAAGAAAAATATGAAGATCCTATGGAGGAGACAAGCATATAATATTCAATTACGTCGTTAAAAATGATCAAGAAGAAGAGGAAGAAAAAGCTTATGGAGATTTAAGTAAGCTGAAAGGTAGATAACTAAACTTTATGCTGAAAAATGAACCTTTTATTTTCTTACCCAGAAAGACTAGCAGATATTAACGTAGATCCGTGGTATCTGTCAAAATCCAAATGAAACAAGAATTTACTTCTTATCAGTCTTCAACATAATATGCGAATTATTATTGGCAATCTCACGTAAGAGAAACAGATACAGAAGCTAGCGATTGATGCCATACGATTTATTCCTCGCAATGAATTTCTTCTTATCTGGTCTTCCAAGTGCATTGTTATAATACCAAACAAGCTTTACCTACAACACACAATCCAGACTTCAGTTAGACAATGAAAATAAGGGCCTTACAAGCATGGCGATTTTGACCTCGGAAATCAACAGGGTGAATGAAGATTGAAATTAATTATTTAATAAAAATTGGTTGCGAAACGGGTAAAGTGTAAAAATAAAAATATTTTCGTTCCTCAGAAGCGATTCTATGAACATTACAGTGATGTGCAAAAACAGAGAATCTAACTATATGTAATGAATGATGCAGATTTCAATAAATCATTATTCACTTAAATTAAAGAACATCCAACTTTCTCAAATCCAGAATAAAACATGGGATGCTTTCGGGAAAGGAAACGACTCATTTAGGAGAAAGAGTGAAAAGCCATTCACTCAGAGGAACTTCCAAACCAAAGCCTTTAAAACTGTTTGAGAAAAACCTCATTTTGGAGTCTATGAGGAGGACAGATGAATCAACATTGTCTCTTCCAGTAAACTATAGCCTCAGACCTAGGACTATGATGATATTTTTACTCGTTGCTCTCTGGCATAATAAACGTGATGCTATTATAAAAGATATTTGTTAAAAAAAATCTAACAAGATATATTATATATTATCTTGTTCACTTCCATAGGAGCCTAATCAATCCCAAGGCCCTTGTTTATCCTGCATCATACTTTCTATACAATCTTCTTTCTACTATACTATGCATTCTTGAAAAATTTCGTTCTAGCAAAAGCTAGAGACATTCTCATTTTCGTAGCAGTTATATATAACCTAACCTACATGCGAAAAATAATTACAGTTGGTTTCAGGGTGGATTTCTCTATTTAGATTGATGGATGTATAGTCATGCAGACAAAGTTTTGAAGGCATAAGTTCCAGAAGATAGGAGGAACTTGCTTGCGCACAATGGTTCATGGATCGATAGATGTATAGTGATGCAGACAAAAACAAAAACTCTATGCAGCAGAGGCAATTAGCATAGAAACACATTCTTCACCACAGATTTTCTCAGAGTTCATTTCACCAATATTCATAAGGTTTAACCACAATTTGAGAATGACCTTTTCATGAAAATGAACTCTTCAGAAAGTGGTACTGGAGGTATTCAAGAAGGGGCCATTTGCTTGGAGCTCGTGGGCATGCTTTATTAAAAAAGTTCACAATTGACAAAATGCTTGGTGAGGCAGTGATGAGGGTACCGACCAATGGCTATCACATGTTTACTCAAACATTTACGTCTGTAACAGCTTTCCCTTATTTGGTTATTCCTCATGAAAACTATACAAAACATTAGGGCCACAGTAACATCTGCATCTTCGTTTTAATCAGAGATCACGCAAATAACCCACTAACAGACCCAACCTCATTTACTGTAGTGAATGCTAAAAGTTCTTGTCACTGTGCTTCCAAAATTGACAGGATGAAACTGTCCTGTTGGGTTTCAGATAAATTAGAAAAATATTAGCACAGGTTATTTTATTAAATAGTGACAGATAACGTTAAACAGATAAAGATAGGAAGCTACGCACATGAGAAATAGGCTTGGAATATCATACCTGAGAGTCATTAGCTTCTGAGCCACTATTGGTGAAGAAGACCTTCCCCATTTTTCTTGCAGTGAATATATCAAGAATTTCTTTTGCAAGGTCCTAACAAGACATAAGGTTGATTAAAGTAGAAAGAAAATAAAACACGGATATTAAGAGTAGATTACACAAATAAATTCTTGCATATAATGAAGTAGAATGAGCATGAAAAATAATTTGCAACATACTATATTGAAGAACAAATAAAGTTACGAAAATCAAATAACAACTAAAGAAGGTACCAAGGAGGGTCTTGTGGTTCGGTTCCAAAAGGAGTGGTAAAATGGCAAGGTCTTTAGCTGCTCTGTTGCAGCTTGAACAAGCCGTGGTTCATTTCCGCCTGCACAACAACAAAAGATCACACAAGAAAGAGATTCAACATTCTAACTTGAAGAATATGAGATTCATTGTTCAGGAGCGTTTTGTTGAATACCTAGAGCCGTAGACCACAAACCAGCAAGGGCATCAAGGTATTTTTTTCCATTGATGTCATAGACATAGCTCCCCTGCACATCAGTTTTTTCCGATTATTAAAGAGAGTAGGAATAACAAACATTGACAAATGGTTAGATTTGTTCAAATCAGCTTTACATTTTTACAACATTTAAATGCCAGATTAAAAAAATGCGTTGACATTGGATAATATCCAGGTTGGCCATTAAATGTGAAATATTTTGTTAAGCATATCATGGTTTTTCAAATGGATGGCTTAACAAGAAATTCTAGATCATGCCATACATACTCGGACGTGATAAAAAAATCATAATATAATTGCAATGCGAAATGGGACTCTCTATAACATCAAAGCAACGAAAGAAAATTTCGTCAGCATATAATCACGTTCAGATAGCTATCTGTCATGTTGGAAGCACTAGGTCGTAGGGAAATAATTTGATAAGTTGAGGGTGTTTTTGGAAAATTGTCTAGGGTTTCTCCCTATATTAAGGAACGTAATAGTTGACTGGAATGAAGGCGGTTTCCGCCGTTCTCCCCTCTGTAGAAAATTGTCATTTTCTACAGTCCGGGATGTCCTCTGCGCTTTATGTATATGCTTTATCTCTGGACATCTGCCCATTGTTTTATATGAATACCATTGTCTTGAAACTTCACGACAACAACAACAAGATTTATCTTGTGCATGACCTAACTACTCTCAATTTCCCTGGAAGTCTTATCACGATCACAGACCTATATTTACCCTAGTAATTAGTTTTCCTCAATTCTATATTCCTATTAATCATATAGCCGCTCACATATCTCACTAACCTATTTCTGCTTCTCAAAAAACATAAATCTTACCATCCTCCGTGGTGTCAACATCTTGTTCTAGATGGCTTCTTTCCATCTAACGAATATAAAGCAGTGTACCTGTAACTAAATTTTTTGAGACCAAACCAAACATCCAACTGAAACCATTAACGGAACCACAGATAAGATGATATCAATTCCTCAGGTAATGTTTCACAGTTCAGTAAGAAATAACTGCATCTATTTTTCCTTCATTTTCAGGCAGTTTTGGAAATAACAAAACTTCTTAGTGAGAATTTTGTAAAAGTTACTCGTCATGGTCCCTCAAATTTGATGATTTTCTATTGAAATAAACTTTGACGTTTGAACATAAACTGTCTAAATTTTGTTCTCTTTAAGGGGCTTCTTGATATTAACACACAACGCTGCCTGACTAATTTACTTCCCACAGTATTACCAAATCATCATTAACAAAAAATGTTATTCCTCAGATCATTGGCTTGAAAAAACTTTGACTAATTTGAAGGTGGAGAGTTACCCCTCAAAACTGACATTCACAAAGACGGTTGGCTTGAAAAATCCCTCAGATCATTATCCATCAGATTGCCTAAAGATACACAGGGACATCCCCAGCACTTTCAGAACTTTGAGAACACAATATTCCATTGAAAGATGACCAGAACTTTGACTGTTAGATAATATGCCAGTGATAGTGATACTCTACACGGATTTATAAACATTGGGAGCTAGTGTTCCCAAAAATATTCTTAATTTTGTGATCTTAATTTTAGCAAACTTAATCTGTCACGCTATATCACATGCATCTTTAAACCTCTCAATAAGCGACCATCTCTGGGGTCATTTATCCTCATCATTTGATATAATGTCCATTTGGGTAAAGCTAGAGAAGACATAAATTATTCCCCATCAACTTGGTAAAATTTCTACTAAATTCTACCAGCTAGTCTTCCTTGGAAATGTTACTGAGATGTGCACTCCGGTACAAACAGTCAAAGGCTATGGTAGATTTGTTTTTCAGGCAGACATTCTCACACCAAGTACACCGAGATGCCTTCGCTACAAGTTCTATTCTTCATCTTACATTTTCATCTGAAAATTTTTAATAGTTATGGTAATTCAAAAAGGTTGAAGCAACATGACAGGTTACTGAAAAAGGGAAAACACTATAATGTAGTAACAGATATGGTAAGGGTGAATCTCATGAAAAGTTCGCATAACAGTATAATTAAAACCTGAAAATAATCCGACTAGAACAATGAGGTACTTACTTCAGATCTTTGAATGACCAGGGGATGGACGTCACTGCTCTGCCATCCAGCTGTGAATGGCGCCAGCATATCGTGCCCTTTAAAACTGACATACCCAAGATAGCACATGGTAAGAATGACCATTAAATTCACAGGGAAAGAAGATTACCATTGAAGCAAAGGAAACCCCCACAGGACCTTCAACTGAAAAGGGCATACCCAATCTCATCCTTAGGTTCACTTTTGAGAGAGGTCTCTGAACTGGTTTGTCTTATGAATACATCCGATTGTCCCAGCTTCCCTTGAAAACTTCCAACAGCGGCGCTGCGCCCTAATAATGCACCACACTGCAAGAAAATCAAGCACCTAATGAACCACAAACAAGAAATAGGAGCAATCAATACATCTCATCAAGAGGCAGCACGGATATCATTATTGAGTAATTTTATGGATATAAAAATAACGGAGTCATCCAGAATCATTTTCTCCACGGTCATCTGTGCCTAGTATACACCACTTTCTCCGGTCTCTTTTTTTTTTTTCCTCAATTCTTTCTTGTTCCGTGAGGTTTAAAGGAAATCTCAGTTTAACCTGATAAATTGGGATAAATCTTCAGTAAATTAAATTAAAACGCAAAAACACTCTCCGCTGTCTATTCGGCTCCACATCGTCCCCCCTCTCCTCTCCTCCTGATGATCTACCTTCATTCAAACCACATGATCAGACCATCTACAGTCACCGCACCGAAACTAAATAAGGCAAACCCGGAGAACGCTAGCCACAGAGCAACTTTGGCAGTACAAGAGCTTCGTTTTCACAGAAAGGCGGAAGTCACTGGGAGCATCCTGCGACAGAACTAAGGATAAAAGCTGGATCACATTACAAACCTCAGAGCGCGCCTTCGATCGGAGGAGACGACGGCATACGATCATCGCCATCTCCCAGTCCCTCCTGATCCCCCTTCCTCCCTCCAGAAATCAAACCGTGTCTTCTTTCTCCGGAAACAAGGAAGCTCTCTGCTCGACAGACGGGGACAGGCGGAGAAAGAGACAAGGCGGACGGGGTCGCATTCCCTCCGTTTGTAAACACCTTGTGGTGACTTTTAGCATTCCCTCACCCACGTCATCGTGAGCTCCAGTGGGCATAGGGTAGAATTTCTTGGGAATTTAACCGCCCTCCATTACCGCGGCCTAACGAACGGGAGTGTCAGAGAAGTTACCGTCCAGATTCAACGCATCTTATCTGGGGCATTTTTCGCGCGCTCTCTTAGCTCACTCGCAGGTGACGGGACCGCCACGGTGGATATGCGACAGAGCCACGTCAGCGTGACTAGTTCCAGATGGCCCCAAGGCTGACTTTTTAACGCTTTGAGACCCTGAGGATATCCGAAATTTGAAAAGGCCTGAGTTAATAAAGCAAATGCCCCTCATAACGAGCCTCGGCCTAGTTAACATCCCATCTATTCCTGAGAAAAGACTAAAATAGCCTTTCACGAAGTAGAAATCTCCTCCCCAACCCCATGATGGTAGGCCAGGGTCCGGTGCCCTGTGGGTGGAGCCCAATTGCTGAGGTCCGGACTAGGAACAAAAGAATATAAGTGCACTCTTATAAAGTAAAACGATTATAAAGTGACATTTAGGAGTTTATATGAATTGTTAAATAAATCAGGGTTCTTCTCAAAGATAGCCTCTCTCACTTTTAGTGGGAGGCTTCAGAGGAGAGGAGAGACCGTGGTTTCTGCTTCTTGAACGGATCTTCTTCGGCGTCTTTCTTGTCTAATCTTCGCCTCCCCTTCATGACTGCTCTGCTTCGCTTATGGGTTCTTCGTGGTCTCGAATCCTCTTGAGCCAGTTCTCCAAGAATTCTGCCTGCCTGCGTTCGACTCCAACACTCGGAGCTCTATTTCTTTCTATGTTCAGTTCGTCGCGCTCTTTCTTTCTTCTCTCCAAACCCGCGAAGTGTGTTGCCCACAATGCTCGAATCATATCTCCAGCATTGAGGCCACACCAAGACAGATTCTGTGAGAGTCTCTCTCTCTCTCTCTCTCTCTCTTCCCGCTTCTCTCTCTTCCGCAGGCACCCGTGAGATCCCATCGTCTTGTAGTTGAACTCGGTGTCTTGGCAAATATCGTTGCCTGAGAATGCCATAACTTGATGGGCAAATTTATCCTCCAAATATGATGGGACTTGATGAATTATTGATAAATTTGAGATATTTGCCCGGAAACGGTGGGAACGGTACAGATAAAAAAATCGGATGAGTATGAGAGATCCCATTGCCAGCTTTTGAAGAAGCGAACTTGAGGATTAAAGATCGATTGGCGAAAATACATAAAACAGTGAGGTGAACTTCCATTGTTTAATAAATAGGGATCGACCCACCGAAGAAAATACTGGTGATAGAGAGAAAAAAAAAAAAAGAGAAGGAAAAGAGCAAAGGACGAATTATACTAAGGCATCTGGGTCGCCTGCGTGAGTGGCATTCAAGCGCTGCTACGCTCTTTCCTTCGCGAATATGCTGTGGCACGCTCTCGAAATGCAGTGTTTAAAAGAATAGTCTCATTAATCAAAGGGAAGTTCTCAAATTGATTTGAGTCGAAACCAGACGCTGGAGGTAGTCAGTGAGGGAGCTTCGATTTCTGAACACGTAACACCTCTTAGAGTTTATTATGAGACAGAGGGAAACCGCACGGGGCTTGTATTTTTTCTTTTTCTAGATTTTTATAGAGAAAACGTAAATTCGACGAAAGAAATAGGGAAACCGCACGAGGCTGGTGTTTCACTAGAGTATCTTTATGTTAGAATACCAAGCAGCAAATTGTGAATTCTTCCTTAGTTTTTGTTCATTTTGAGGTCTAAATTTAGCCTGCCAACATGCAATTTTCCTTCCAGTATGAACTTTTTTGGTGCATATGCTGCTATTCAGTTCCTTTTAGTTTTTCCGTCAGGTTTACTTTTTTTCTCTGCACATAAATCAGTTGTTTACAGTATTGTTCTGAACCTATGCATGCAAACCTTTTGCTAGAACTCTTGTTGTGTTTCAGTTTTCACTATGACGAATGGATGACTACACTGTTCGTCATAATTATTAATACAGCATGCATAGTGCCTTTCACCACTCTTCTATAACAACCTAATATGCGGATTATTTTCATCCAGAAGCTAATTGGCTTGTTTTCTTACTCTAATGTGTCTACTATTTTGTCTAATTTGCTATATTTTGAGTTTTCTCTCGTAGTTTTGATATCCTTTACTGCTTTGTATCTCCTGTGGATTCATTAATGGAGCAGAAGCTACTCGCTGAACTAGCCGGCTCCAGAGTAACTGATGGCGGTGCTTGTGACGACACCGTTTTGCCTACTTCATGATGCTAAACCTTGTGTCTCTTATTTTGGTGGATGATTCAGTCCTTCTAAATGTTATCGGCATAGTGCCCTTAAATTCATCGACAACTAGAATTTATGTCTCAATTATTAGGTTACTCGGATGTATTTCTAATAACACGCTGACGTATTTCTAATCCCTTCCCTTCATCTTGCTTTGATTCGGTGGGAATAGCAAGGCTATTGTCATTGCTGGGCCTTCTTGTTTTCTTCGTTTCTTTGTCATGAGTAGTCTATTGCACCTAATGTAATTTGCATAAATTCAAATGCTAAGGAGGGTATGCATTCGGTGACCGCAACGCTAAAAACAAGGTAAATCTATGTATTCCGTTTCTTTCTAGTCTCACCTTGCTTGTTTTGAATAATAATCGATCGAATTTGTTGAAGTTTATCGTATTCCATGAATTTTCTTTTGCATCACAGAAGGTAGTTGACAATCAATCAATGACGAATGAACTGGAGAATCCGTTATTTGGAATCGGCGGAATCGAAGATACTGAAGTTGTTGATGTTCGTCGAGGTTTATGAAGACTAAAACTCATTTACGACTCATTCTCATGCTTAGAGTTTGAAAGTACAATGTAGCATGCTCTTCAGCATGCTGTAGCTTGGCAATGAAGGGGGACAATTACTGTAAACCGTGCAAACCTTTGTAAGGAAGTTTATTGACAACGAGAATTTGCAGTCAAACGATTAGCGGTGAAGGAAAGCATAACATGCATTGTACACATTTCGTTCATACTCCTCCTTGCGAACTTTTTAGGCGGTCTCCAAATCTTCGCTTTTTACAATGAGAACCTTTGTTAATCAATAAAAGCGATGCCAAACTAGGGTTAAATAAATCAAGAAAGATCGGTTTACCGCCGCACACTGATTCGAGGATTTTCTTGGAGTAACTCTTAGTCTATTGATGATGAGTATGTGCAAGGTTGATGGAGAAAGTTTTCTTCATTAACTGTTGGCAAGGCATACTAGCACGTATCCCGAAGTTTCAACTACTTGACAAGCGCAGCTGATTCTCAAGTATTGAACATGGAGCAGTTGGACGTCACTTCAATACGATGATCTGAGCCTCCATTAAAGAGCTAACGTAGCCAATTGAATTGAATCAACTTTTTTTCTGATGTGATCTACGTCGCTACCGAAGACTACAGTTGCCCACAACCACGGCTTTACATTCTTCCCTGAGGAGATTCTATTGAGCTACGTCTAGGACGAGAGCAACGAGTGAAGCAATTTAGTGGGTTTGAGTTTGAATTTGATCCCCGCCTGCGTTTCAGTGTGGAATATGATGTTCATTAGAGCGATGATGCCGTAAAAGAGAATAGGGGGTTATATGATGGGGGGATCCTACGTAGCTTTGCAAAGAAAATGTATGAATTTACTCCCTATATAGAAATATTTACACCCATCAACGTACGACTGTACTTTCTGAAGGAAGCGAGAATAGTGGAGGGTGAAGAAAAGGTAATTTTTTGTGTTTTTGATTGGTATTTAAGCTTTGTCATATGTCATTTTCTCGTAAAATAGATCATTGAAATCTTGTAGAGGAGCGTCTACAGGGGGGGGGGGGGATACCAAAGACCAACATCAGATAGTGCAGCTGAGTAATCGTCTTGGTGGAAGAGCAATATTTTTCCTATTTATCACTGTAGACAAGCCTTCTCAATGGCCAAGGAACATGAAGCGGCGACCAGAAAATCTAATCTGCACTTTGGTCTCCATCAGCAGATAACATGTATCCTCTTCTTTTTGAAGCATCACCTTGTGAACCACTAAATAAACGTCGCAATCATGAAATTTTAATTGGAATGAATCCCGAAAATATGAAAGCATACAAAAACTGATGCTAAATGTCGTTTTTCTCGTTGAATGATTTTGATATTCTTCTTCTCCGATATGCATTAAGTGCGGGATATTATTTAAATATTATTTCTCTGTTAGTGAATTAAATGTTCATTTCATGAGCATGGAACAACGATCCCCATATCACATGAACTTTACCCCGCATTAGATATCATTGATTCATAAATAATAGCAAATATTATATGAAGTACGTTTCTAATATACTTTTCGTTTTCTTTCTTGACAACATGATAATAAGAAAACTTCTCTTCACATTCAAGATTCTGCTGTTCCTACTCCTTGCAATGGTATATCTTACATATAAGATACTATTTTCATTAAATAAAAATCATTCCGGGAATATTTATCCGACTACCGATTTAAATTTGATACCAGATAAAAAATTCTTTCTGATGGCACCCAAGTATCCTTTTTGCCCGTGTAGATTCATGAATAATGCAGACCCGTAATGCTACTGGATGTCATTGGAATACCATTGTCTTTACATAATTGTGATTCTCCTATGGTTTATGGCATTGACTTGTCATTCTTAAATTATTAGAAGCATTTGCCTCTAAAACTGTTTAAAATCATGGGAGGAATAAAATGAATTCGTGGACATATCCTCCTTTTCTCGCTTTTCATAATATTTATTGTCAACGAACTGTATGTAAGTTCCTCATGGAGATATGCTGTTAATTAATC